GTGTTTGAGTGGGATATCCATGTTAAACTGCGGCATGGTATCTCAATGGGCTAGCACTATGAAAGCGGTATTGTCCGGACTAGTACAAACAAACAGTTGCTATACAAGTGCAATAATTTTGAATGCGACGTTTAGCCTCACCTCACCTCACCTTGTGCCATATTCCAGAGCCTCTTTCACCGACAGTGACACCAAACCAGCCCTAGCCTGTTAGCCTCAGCCTCTAGGCTGGTTAAAACTGAGAAGAAGGTTTATACAGCACAAAATGCACCGTTAATCCATAAACTCAGCCTCTAAATCGGGAAGGCTGTGAAAAGAAACCAAAGTGCTAAAACATCACCCAAACTACTTCAAAGGAAAAATCTATTCACAGAGATGAGTGATCGGATTTTAATCACCAAGCTGTTCAAAATGTGTTTGTGTAAGGCTTTGTAGCCTCACTCGATATAAGGCGGGTTCAGGACATGGTCTTGATCTAATTCGCTAATTCCTGGAGAGAGGGCAAAGAAATTGGGTTGCTGCTTGTTTAAACTTGGGAACGAATCAGGGCCATTTTACAGGTGACAGAACTGAAACTGTCGTTGAATGCAGCACCCAGATAAATTCCAGCTATATGCTGGCATACTGTAAATAATCGAGTCTGGACCAGACAAACCAATGATTGATATTTTGAGCAATATCCCTTGCAAATCACAGCCCGACCACTGAATCCATTATGTCACCCTACAAGCACAGTTCGCTGCAGACCTCGTGTAACCAATGAACCCCGCTGGTACCAGAAAGTAGTGACATTCTAGTGCACATGGCTTCTTTTGCCTTAGGTTCGTAGTAGTAGTAGTAGTAGTAGTAGTTGGTTGGTTGGTTTGTTGTTTAACGCCGCACTCAGCAATATTCCAGCTATATGACGGCGGTCTGTAAATAATCGAATCTGGACCAGACAATCCAGTGATTGATATCATGAGCATCGATCCACGCAATATGGATCGATGACATGCATCAACCAAGTCAGCAGCCTGAGCACCCGATCCCGTTAGTCGCCTTTTACGACAAGCATAGTCACCTTTTACGGCAAGCATGGGTTGCTGAAGACCTATTCTACCCCGGAATCTTCACGGGTAGTAGTAGTAGTAGTAGTAGTAGTAGTAGTAAGACAGCGGTAGAAACTAACATTTTTAGTCTACTAGTCCTTATAATGACAACATATAGCAAAACCCTTAAAAAGGGCAAATGTCTACTAGTCCTTATTAACTATTGGGCAGTTTGGCAAGGACTACAGGACCAGTGTCAATGTCTAACGCTGTAGTAGAGTAGTAGTAGTAGTAGTAGTAGTAGTAGTAGTAGTAGTAGTAGTAGTAGCAGCAGTAGTAGTAGTTGTCCTAAGGTACCAATACGCAGCTATCGTACTAGTAGTAGTTGGATTTTTTTGTTTGTTGTAGAAGTAGTTGTAGTTGAAGTAGTGTTTTGTTGTTGTTTGTTGTAGAAGTAGTTGTAGTCCATATAGTCCACACATAAAGTGCTAATCTCCATGCTCAAAGCCTACGCTGGAAGAGTCTAGAGATACACATGGCATGAGGGATGAGTCCTGAGAAGTGCTTAGAAGGCATCTTCCCGAGGCAAGGGCGTTGACTGACTATAAAAGTCCAGTTTCAACCCTTGCCGAACTAGGCAGGAATTCTGGAGTTTTTGGCTGGACTAACGAGTCTATGCACAGTCCAATCAAAACCGCGTAACGAATTAGACATCCGGTTCGTAAACAACATGGATTTCAACATGCAAATTTCGGTCGACTGCAGGTTTTGCAAAACATGTGTAACGCCAACTGGTCGTCGACAGATAGTTTGCAATCTTTTCATGTTTTAATCAAGTTGCTCAAGTGATTTGATTCACGTCGCAATGTAAGATCCGCTTTATCAAAATATAAATCTTGATTATCGATCAGATTGACTTCATTGGGCGCCGCCATTTTGTTTGAAGCAAATGCAAGTGAAATGATAGATGGAATCTGATTGGTCAATAGGAGGGACATAGAAGGGACACTGGTGGTGCTACAGTCGAGCCCAGAAGTTCCACCCTACTTTGGCGGAAACTGGACTTTTATAGTCAGTTAACGCCCTTGCCTCAGGGAGATGTTTGAAGGTAGAAAAGACAGGACAGGTTTGGAGTTCAAATGCCAGCTGGTTCCATGCAACTGTGGCTGCAACTGAAAAAGACTTTTCTCCATGGTATGTTGACCTCATAACAGGGACAGTCAGGAGGGGACTTTCCTGAGATCAAAGTGATCTGGACACACAAAGTCACACATTGTCACCCAATCCTTATTTTAGTCGACTCTTACAAACACAGGTAAGCAGAATTGCGTCCCTTAGTCGTGCCAGTATCCTATGATTAGGACACTTGGTTTGTCAGCACCAAGCCCTACTCATGGGTTTCAAGTGGTAAACATCTAAACCTGGCATCACTTTGGGCTGTCTTCCCATATCAAGCTGACAGGCTGTAACACTGAAGCCAAAGTCTCGTAGCAATAATTCATAAAAAAGTAGGGCCTTACCTTAGAGACTCAGATATACAATTTTTTACACTAAATACATGTACAGTAAATCCTCGGCGCTAAGAAAACCAATGTTGGGTTCATTAAAGCTCTTGCATAACTTACTTGGTATAATAAAGAATTTCAGTGAATCATGGTGGCCATCTTGAAAATGGTGTCCATCTTGAAAAAGTGGATCAATAATATATTTTTGTTAATGAATATATTTAATTTATTTTATATTTCTGATAAAAGAATATAAACATACAAGGTAAATGGTGTCTGTTTAATTTACTTTGTTCAAGAGTGAAAACAAAGTAAAACAAGACCCTTTTCAAAATCTGATGCCATCGACTAAAACCCTTTTGCAAGAGTGATCAGTTGTCCAACATTGTTTTTTTGTATTGCTCTTTGTTGGAAAAAATGACCAAAATATTATATCAGGAAGGGCAATATTTCATCATGTCACTACATAGATATAACTAGAATACATTCATAGCAGAGTTACACCCAATTCACAAGTCATGCAGACAAGTACGTTTATATATTTTTAGCACCCGGGGTAGAATAGGTCTTCATCAACCCATGCTTGCCATAAAAGGCGACTATGTTTGTAAGAGGCGACTAATGGAATCGGGTAGTCAGGCTCGCTGACTTGGTTGATGCATGTTATTGTATCCCAAATGCGTGTATCAATGCTCATGTTTGTCTGGTCCAGACTCGATTATTTACAGACTGCCATCATATAGGTGGAGTATTGCTGAGTGTGGCGTTAAACAGCAAACAAAGAAACAACAAAATAGATTTTTAGACAATATACAAAATACTTTTATGGCTGATGAAAGGACAGAAACCACATCTTTCTAAAACTTAAAGAAGGACCACAGTGTTTCTTCTGAAAGATCACACAGAAGTCCATTGTAGTGATAACCCGCAAACATCATCTTTACCAAGGTTCATCTTCAGTTGAACTGATCTTTTAAAAGATTAGAAAAATATAAAAACACAATAAAAATATGACAAACATAACTGTTTAATCATAACATATTTGATGAAATGGATTGCAATCATCCAACAATATAAGGTAGTGAGGCAAGATTGGGTTTTACGGTCGTGATCAAGATTATTGCACTTATATAGTGTGTGAGTGCATGCACGTGCGTGTATCTTGTGTATGTGTGTCTGCTTGAACTAGTCTGGACTAATGTTGATTTTATAGTGCTAGCCCACTGAAATATCATGCCACAGTTGGGATACCCCACTCAGACACAGTATACGGACTCCGAGCCCACCAGTCCTTGTTTTATCCACTTGAAAAAGTGAGGTGAGGTGAGGGGAGGTGAAATGGGGTTTAACGTCGCGTCCAAGATTATTGCGCTTATATAGCGACATGCATGTATGTACGTGTGTGTGTGTGGCTGTGGCTGCTTGTACTAGTCCGGACTGATGCCGATTTATAGTGCTAGCTCACTGAGATACCGTGCCGCAGTTTAACATGAATACCCCACTCAGACACAGTATACTGACTCCGAGCCGACCCAGCCGACTTGTTTTAGCCCCTTAATCCCGAGCGCCAGACAGGGTAACAACAAGTACCATCTCTTAACGTCTCTTGGTATGACGCGGTCGAGGATCAAACCCCGGACCTTCCGCACTCCGGGCGGACGCTCTACCACTAGACCACGGAGGCGGTCTCACTTGATAAGGAGCACTAAGTTGGGTAACAAGTACTACCTGATCAATAGGTGAGAAAAAAGACATTTCTGATGTCTTTTGTTTCTTTAACAAGGCATTTGACTATATTGCAATGTGCGGATGAGATGGTAATGTGTCTGTTAACCTTCAAGTGCCTTGGCCGCTTGGGTTGTATACTCCCCAGGGAGATGAGAATGAAATAGAGTGCACATTGATCCATTAACCGGGATATTCATCAGACATATCCTTCAGACACCTTCAGACACCAAGCCAAGTTTTGTGAAAATATATTAAACCCATGAGCAATGATCAATAGAGAACTTATGCACAGACAGATGGACAGTTTCTGTATTATATGCTAGGGTACTGTATATCGCCTTCTATAAAGTGACCCCACGTATAAGGCGACTCCCCTGTACAAGCCATCAAAATCGATGCTACTTTATATACCCCGTCTATAAAGCCAATCAGAATGAAGCACATCACCAGCAGCTACACAATCCCTACATTTGCAATAAAAACGTGTTCGTCTTCTGCAGAAAAAAATTACATCGTATCCCTTCAGTGAATTCGGGGAAGTGAACAGATCATAACTATTAAACTTGGTCAATACAAATTTGAGATAACACATCACTAGACATGATGATTTACCGATTAAATTGTATTTCCTGTTCTGCTTGGAATTGTTTTATATGCAGAGATTAAGGTCACCACGTGTATTGTCTTGTATACCAAACCAGATTCAGCCATCAGCTGTAATAAAAAAAGCAACACATTGTAACACGTAACACGAAAAAGTGTTTATTTGAATGCAACAAGAGGTAGATTTCAGTCAAGACGATCACAACAACTTCCTGTCCTTTATTCCAGCATCAATTGATCCTCACAACCAGACAACAAGCACGGCTACACAACACTCATTCAGCATGTTCAGTACAGTCAAATTAAAACATATAACAGCTAGGGGACAAATTTATTTTGTTGCAAATATACTACTAAAAACAACTAAGGGATCATCCGATTCTTTCATATTACTATAGTTAATCTGTCATGCCCAGTGTTCCCCAGTGTCCTTGTGGACTGGCAACTCTAAAAATTACCAGTCCCCCCACCCCCTAATTTTAGCCAGTCCCAACTTTCAACAAATATAAAAACGTATGAAAATTATTTGGTTTTACTTCTTTCAACTTCATGTTCAGTGCAAAGATGTCATCTCTGAAGTCATTCACACAAACTTCAGTCACAATTTTCTCTTTATTTTTTAATATTTCCAGACAAAGTCGCTGCAACTGGATATTTAACCTAGAAATAGACAAGGTTAAACCCTTATAACAGAAAAGCTGACTTTGTTTGAAAAATGTACTTATATGAATATCACCGATGTTTTGTTCAACAACAAAGATTTATAAGTACTTTATTTGCCGGTCCACAGGGACTGGCAGTCACATGAATTACTGGTCCAAGCCTGATTTTACCAGTAAAAAACTGGTAATTACCAGTAAACGGGAACACTGCATGCCATGACTTTTTTTGTTTTTGAGTAGTACAGTCACCCACCAGTTCTGCATATTCATAATAATCTCCTGCCCATGCTTGGCCATTTCAAAGTCAGGCATACGTACAATGCAATCCCTTGTTCTCAAACTTGACGGATATCTCAAATTATATATAAAACACTTTATCTCAAAGCTTATTTATCTAAATGTTATTCTCAAAATAAATTCTTTATCTCCATCATTGCTTATTTCAAAATAATCCCCATGCTCAAATAAATCCCTTTAATTTTAATTCTGGTCATCAAAAACATAAGTTCTATGCTCATTGTAATTCCTTTATCTCAAACTTTGATTATTCTATTCTATACTTATCTCAAGCTTTGCTTATTTTAATTTTTACTGAGATAAGTGAAGCTTATAATAGCTTCACTTATCTCATGCTTTACTTCTTTCTAATCTTTACTTATGTTTAATCTTTCCTTATCTCAATCTTTACTTAGGATATAATCTTCACTTATCTCATGCTTTACTTATTTCTAATCTTTACTTTTGTTTAATCGATCCTTATCTCATTCGATACTTTTTTTAAGCTTCACTTATCTCAAGCTTTACTTATTTAAATCTTTACTTATCATACATTCTGTTCATTCAAACATAACCCTTATGCTCAATCTCTGAATCTCAGGCTTTAGTGATCTCCACCATTCCCCTTGATCTGTGTGAGGTCATATGTTGGCCATATGCTCACATGAATCTCTTCATCTCCGTCTTTACGAATCTAAGTCTTTACTTATCTCCAAGAAGCCCATTTCTGCTGTCCCTCGCCGAGGAATTGCTGGAATATTGCTAAAAGCGGCATAAAGCCATACTCACTCTCTCACTCACTTATCTCGAAGTCTCTCTTTTGTTCTTCCTAGTTTACATATTAAAACACGAAGGAATGTCTTTTAAAAGAATTATGTCTCTTGTACACATATACCTGAGAACGTAAAATAGTCATGTCATGCGTGAAATGTTAAAACCCTGAGTCAAACAGTCATCACTGCTTCTTCTTGGCTTCCCGTTGTCGTAATGTGTATGCACGGTAGTAGAAGTTGCCGAACAGGAGGATGAGGGAGAGGGCGTACAGGAAGACAGCGATGTTGAAGCCGCGGGGGAAGTCGCAGTCTGTCATCAGGTTGTAGCCAGTGTGCACCACAAACGCCAGGAACTGGGTCTAAAACACACAACAGTGTTCCTCTCTAAGCTTGTGAAGACAGCAAAAGATTCATTTGCAAATTTTTGTTTTTGTTTAATAACATACTTAGGTCACACATTTTACTTCCTTTACAGATTTTTTACAGAAAAATATGTCGGTGGGTTAAAAAGAAAAAAAAATAGAAGCAATTCAGAAGCAATATATAAAAAAGAGTGTTTCTTTATGTTTCTACACAAAATCTTGTTTGTTGTTCATGAAAAATTGATGCAATATTGTTAATGGTGGGCCTTTCATTAGAAAATATTTTTTGGCGCAAATGCTTATCGGTGGGATGAAAAAAGGTGCAAATTCAGAATTCTAGTGATGTTTTTTCCATTTCAACAAAATTTACAGTCATCAAATCAATAAAGCAAGTAAAAAAGTGTGACCTTATCAATAATCGAGCCATGTGACATTGCAGGTTTAACCAGAGGCAGAATATAGCATCCCATTCTCATAAAAATGTGAAAGGACAAAGATAAAATCAACTTCAAGTCCCATTGGATGCTAAAGAGTATGCATGTTGGAATGATTGAAACAAATAAAGTTTAAACATGTTCGTTAGACTTTACTCATATATCTGCTCTGTGAAGAACTACAACCAGTTTTCAGAGAGCCTATGTCAGATTTTCTTTACTCAATCACTCTAAGTCTCAAAATTCCCATCTTTTAAAGCATAAGGCATCACACAAAACTTGTAGTTTATTTGCTGTTGGAACAGAAGTCACTTATGACCCTATTTTTATGACTAAGACTTTTAATATTAATTCACAAAAAACCCAGAACCCAGGTAAACCCCTGACAGCGGCCTATAGGTAATCAAGCCTGGACCAGCCGAACCAGTGATTGATATGATGAGCAACGACCCACAAAGTCGGGGTAGGATGACTAAACCTGGAAAAATCACAAGTTGACGAACTATTATAAAGGGTAACACATAAGTTTTAGCCCCAAATGAGGTACAAATATATTTGGTTGAGGTGAGGTGTGGTGTGGTGAGGTGAGGTGAGGTGAAATGGGGTTTAACTGGCATTCAAGATTATTGCACTTATATAGCAATGTGCCTGGGTGTCTGTGTCAAGTTGTGTGTGGCTGCTTGTACTAGTCCGAACTAATGCCGCTTTTATAGTGCTAGCCTACTGAGATACTATGCAATAGTTTAACATGATTACCCCACTCAGACACAGTATACTGACTTCAGGCCGACCAGTCCTTGTTTTAGACCCTTAATGCCAGGCAGGGTAACAACAAGTAACATATTTTAATATCTTTTGGTATGAAAGGGCCGGGGATAGAACCCCCGACCTTCCGCTCTCTGGACAGGTGCTCTACCACTAGACGATGGAGCGGTATTAGGCCACTAACAGGCTTGTGACCATCTCAAATCCTGACCAACCTGAAGATGAGTTGATCTGTTTATCTGTAAATGTAGTGATGCTATGGAATGACTAATGTTTCCCTCTGTGCCCTACTTCATGATACAGCATCAATGATAAATTCAGGAATAACGCTTTCTTCTGACATATTGCTAAGTGGACCCATTTTGTCACCGAGCATCTCTCCGCAGATATCAGTCCTGATTCAATCTAAGTCTCATTTTCCAAATTAACAACCAAATCATATTTAGCATCCTTTGAAACACTCCTGCATCAGCTTCATCCTTGATATACATCTTGACAGCTGCTGCAAATCACAAAGAATTCCAGCCGATAATACACCCCATCCCATCCAGAAACCTACACTCAAAGAAACATTTGGATAAAGATTGGTGCCGACCAACACGTCCAATCACCTGGTTATCTCAAAGACCCATCCTACGCTTCCTCCAATATATCCTGACAAACCACAAACTACGTAAGCCCTCAAGCAGGTCCTTCCAATGCTTTTAACACTGGAAATACATCCACATTCACAATCAAACCCGACATAATCACAACACCCTGTCATTTCAATTGCGATATTTGTTTTGCACAATCTTTTTTCCGCTAAGATATTAAATTTCTCCACAAATAAGGTCCCACCAGGATGCTAAGAGTCAAACTAGCTTCGCCCTGTGATCACCGACAAAAGAAAGTGTGTCTTCATTAAACCCGTGATAAAGTTCCGCTAAGCATGTCCGAGCCACCAGGCAATGTCAGTGTGCCGACATCAGACAGGTACGGCCTGACAGATTCCGCTACATGAATCAGAAAACAGGCTCAACTAAAGAAGTCAATTGTTTCAGAGCAGTGACCAAAGGCGACACCATCACTGATGTTCAAAGGCGGCGCCACCAAGGCGTCATGGTGTGGCAAGATGAAATAGCGGTGTTATGGTTAATGTCACAGCATGTAGCCATATTCTTCACTTCAGAGTGAGACGACACTTTTGATTGGTCATTTCATTACCCAGACACAAAGCAGTTTGATGTGCTTGATGACTCCTAATTAAACAATGAGTGACAGGATGGACATCGATACGGACTGGGCCACGCATCCCCAGGCTTTGATTCCCCATTGGACGAAACTTGGCTATTGATGTGTTATCATAAACACTTCAGCTGTTTCAGTAAAATACAGATAAAGTCACATCAAGGCTTTTCCTCAGCTAACTAAAGCATTATCAATTGGTAATAATCTCGATGCAAATACATGAGCAGGTAGTTAGCATAGACTGAAGTGTACCGAACATCTTAATGCCTGTTGTCAATAGCTGTCGATCAAACACAAAAAACAAGATGCAACATTCAAAGCAGGCAATAAATTGGGTCAGTGATCACAAGTTTCAATTTCTAATAAATGACGTTGATACTAAAAGGAAATATTTGATTTAGACCCATACACTGGGGAATAGAATGAAAACGGATTCCGAATTGCCATAGTGACGTTGATACAGTTGTATTGAGTTTGTTATCATTTGATTTGTGTAGACATTCCCACCGGTTTTCACATGATATCTGCATATCCACCTGGAACGAGGATAAGCACCACTTCCTACAAAATTCCATATAAAAAGACCATTTTTAAATCATATCCTGTTATTTTTGTTAATTTTCTGATTAAAACAAAAAACATTGTTCACAAGGTGACTCATATTGAAATACAGAGGCAAACCAATCATCTAATGACATGTTATGTAACTGTTCAATTTTAGTAGTCATGACTACCCTTTGTAGATCTGCTTCTTTGCATCATGTGATGTGACGCTGTATTTGCGACCTTATGGAGGAACACAGTGTTCTTCTCCACTTTTCAGCTATTATTGGTGGTATCCTTGACATTTAACAACAAGAGATCAATGTCATGTGTATTTCCAATAGACACATGTCTATTTGGGGATAAAGGAAGATAAGAAGGCACTGGCTGTGTTGATGTTTTTACCTTGTGTATCTGCTGGATGTCTGCATGTTTGACGAGGCAAACGAAAAAATTCTGTAACGATCATGAACCTTTTTTTAAAAACGTATTGGAGAAAACTTGATTGTATTTTGTTCAATACAATCAAATCTTTTACAAAATACATCAAAGTTCAGAGTTGTAGCAGTGAGTGAGTGAGTGAGTGAGTGAGTGAGTGAGTGAGTGAGTGAGTGAGTGAGTGAGTGAGTGAGTGAGTGAGTGAGTGAGGGTGAGTGAGTGAGTGAGTGAGTGAGTGAGTGGAATATGTGGTGACCATGTTGGACAGTTTCTTGGGCTTCGACCATGCCCCACACTGAAACACGTTACATTGGTGTCTCCTTAGGAAATATGCCCCTGTTCACCCAGCAGTGCATGGGTACCCGGTAGGGGGAGATGGCCTCATATGCAGCTGGGTTGTAGACATCCCTGGGGAGCTGAGGATGACATCCAAGTTCACGCTGATCCATTGACCAGGATCATCATCATCATCATCATCATCATCATCATCATCATGTATTCGACACAGGTACTGTCTACTTGATGACTGGTCATCATGATATTTCTGATCAATCACCACTTCATTTAAATAGTGCCAACTCTTCATGTATAAGATAACTCGATATCAGTACTTAACATAATTATTTCCGAAATCCATCAAGCTGATAACTGCCGACAATATGGACAAGCTCTGATTCTGAGAACAGGTGCATGACCGAATAAGATCACACAAATTACCCTTGCTTTTCACTAGATAATGAACCTAATTGATTTTCGTTACTCGAACTGAAAAAAATGTGAAGCCACATCAAAACTCCAATGACATGAATTGCCACACTAAATCTGAAATTATTAATCATCCTCTTAATACAGAAAAAAGGATGATAAATAATATCATCAAATGCTTAATTTAATTCATTTGACAGAAAACTGCTCACTAATTCATTTAGAAATTCTAACCAGATATTTCGCCTTTTTATGTCATTTTATGTTTTAGTAATTCACAGATTCCAATATGAAATCATAGCATTTGAAAAGTGACATTAAACTGCCATTGCATGTGGCACAATGACAGTATCAATTCATCACCACTGACCAGAGATGTGGGGCTTTATCTCGCTGTCAGACTACCATCTAACTGCATGAAGTGAATCGCGTCGGCAGATGACTTAAAGTAACTTGAGAAGGTTTCACACAAGGAGATCACATATTACAACAGACACATCAAAGTCATTTTTTACTGAGGATTCTGTCAAACATTAACATGGGCAAAAAACATCCATCAATACATTTTTGCCTTTGTCATATTTTCTATGTTGTGAGAGCATTCATCCCGATCAAGAATCTTGTTGATTACATACAAAAACAGCTGTTGACAAAGAAGAAAGTTTAAAGATCAAAAAATGTTCTTTTAACACAGTACTTCCAAGTTCATGCAAAAAGCCTTGTGGCATTAAAGCAACTTTTTCATCTTCATCAAAAGGAAAGACAAAGATTTCTTTTTAAAACACTGAACATCTTCACATAGTATAAGCATGGGATGAAATGAATTTGCCACAGCTTCTGTCCGGATGGTCAAACGGTTTTATGTTAATAACATTGTGTCCATTTTTTAGAACCCAGCACACAACGTTCTTAAATGAACTTTATTCTAAATTGGCACTAATGATTTCTCCAGGCTTTGCTAAGCTAATTATGTCTGGACACTTCTGACACTGTAACAACCAAATGAGAAACCAAGGGGATGATATACATATGGTATGTTGTTAGTTACAAGCACAGCTTGGCAGCTTTGTCTGGTCAGGGTAATATAATGGATTTGTCTGCTCGGTTAATTCTTAATATACCAGCAACAAAGTGCTCTAAATGACTGGAGTCTGTTCCGACCCATAATTACCTCCCATTGTCAGGAGAACAAGACATGCAGCAAATAATCACAAGAAACAGACAAATGAGATCCCCCTGAGTATAAGAATACCAAATATATAAAGAAACAATTTTAATGACATTGCAGTGAAACCTATTTGGTTGAGAGAGTTCAATTTTGTCAAGTTTGTTGTGGATGCGTTCTTAAGAAGCAGACCACTGTAACTTGTATTTGATAGCGTTTACTCTGGGTTTCGCATGATGCAAGCATACTGGGTATTTGGCATGGTTTCCATCAGAAATAATTTTGTCATGTTCTTGATGAGTCATATTTGTGGCGGGTGCTATGGTAGGGCAGGACATGCTTACCCTTTTCGCTAACACATGGTGTCGTCACAGATTTTCAGTGACTTATTTGTATAATTTTCACAAATATTTTGCCTTTTACACCCAATGCAATCTGTTTCGGCAGATAATCGTGACTGATTATTCTCTCGTATTGATTTTTTATATAATTATATTGACAGAGCATTCCCTCTCAGGCATATCTATATCTCTCAGTAAATGTCACAATTTGTGTATTTTCTCATCATAATGTTTTCTATCTAGGGAACATTCAATAGAAAGAAGGTAAACTCATGCAGGCCTCCAAATTAACTATATACTCACAAATTATCATTCACATTGGGTAGAGACAGTTTTCTTTGGGTATTCAATATAGCAATACTCCCTTGCGTGCAGTCTATATTGATATTGTACACCAACAAGTACACATTTTTAAATAATAATTCTGCTTGAAATGCCCACAATGTGAGTGAGAGAGTATGATTTTACGCCGCTTTTAGCAATATTCCAGCAATATCATGGCAGGGAACGCGATTAATGGGCTTCACACATTGTACCCATGTCGGGAATCAAACCCAGGTCTTCGGCATGAGGAGCGAACACTTTAACCACTACGCTACTCGACCGCCCCACCAACAGTGTGTAACATGTCACATAAAATCACAGAAGTGCTATACATCTCTAATTTACAGGAGGCACGGGTGGCACACTCGTCTAAGGTGATACAATTTGCTGTGAGAATTGCATACCTTGGCTACACCAGAAACCTATGATTGTGGTTTCGAATCCCAGTTCGCCCCGATTATGTTTCTACGTTGTCAGCACCATACCCGTGCTCATGGGTTTCACCAAAGTGGTAAGAACTGCATCACTTCGGGCTTTCCTCCCACATTGAGCTGACACGCTGTGATATGACTGGAATATTGTCACAAGCGACGCTAAACCCAACTCACTCACTCTAATTAACTATAAGGGACACGTAGCACCTGTTTTATGCATCATTCACTGCAGTAGAGTTCATGTATGTGTGGTGCCTACATTCAATCAGTATAAATAAAGCTAAAAAATAGAAATGGTACGCAGATATGCACGCTGAAAATTGATACGTATATTGATACATTGATTAATTACACCAACTGATATTATACTATTGGGTTTTTTAAAGTTTTCATTTCTATTTGTATGCAAGCAGCTAAAAATTAATTGGGTTATGGTGATTTAGTTTTCGTGTTTTACGCAGACGCAGATTATCTGAAGCTCTGCTCGTGCATGAATCATATTGAGCTTATGATTCATCATCACAAGCGAGGAGTGATTCATGTCTCCCAGTTTTCATGAGCCAGGTGAGGTGAGGTCAAATGGGATTTAACGTCGCGTCCAAGATTATTGCACTTATATAGCAACATGTATGTACGTGTGTGTGTTTGTGTGGCTGCTTGTACTAGTCCGGACTGATGCCGATTTATAGTGCCAGCTCACTGAGATACCATGCCGCAGTTTAACATGAATACCCCACTCAGACACAGTATACTGACTCGGAGCCGACCAGTCCTTGTTTTAGCCCCTTAATGCCGAGCGCCAGACAGGGTAACAACAAGTACCATCTTTGAACGTCTTTTGGTATGACGAGGCCGGGGATCAAACCCCGGACCATCCGCTCTCCAGGCGGACGCTCGACCACTAGACCACAGAGGCGGTCTCATGAGCCAGGTGAAGCCCTGTCAAATGTAGGTACTGTGTCGCCAACGTCCATAGGTTGCTGGTGTACCCAAGGGAAGTAACTCCATATATTAGAGTGACAAAGGCTTGTTTAAAATTGTAATGCCATGGTTACCATGTTAGTTTGTTGTTAAATGCAGCCCACCAGATGTCAGCTTTCTTAAACAGCAAGAGTTTGCCACTAACATGGCTATATCCCCCACCCCTGTTGCAGAATTTATGACAGAATTAAATGTAAACAAACCCTAACCTTTTTGACCGAGGTGGAACTTGTCATGGAAATTGTAAAAAAAAGAAGAGTTTGGAACCTAAGTCCATCTTGTTGCCATGGAAACGTAAAAAATAAAAATTTCTAAAATTTCTAAATAGCAAAAGGCATCAGTTCAGCATGTACCTGACAGACCTGCAAAGTTTCATGAAAAAATATTAAACGGTTTATGAGTTATGCTCCGGAAACAAACCCTACCCTCACAGAACCTAAGTCCATCTTGATGCCATGGAAACGTAAAAAATAAAAATTTCTAAAATTTCTAAATAGCAAAAGGCACCAGTTTAGCATATTTCATGAAAAACTATTGAACGGTTTTTGAGTTATGCTCCGGAAACGAAACGTGACGGATGGACAGATGGACGGAGCCCGTTTCTATATCACCCGCCAACTTTGTTGGGCGGGGGATAATGAGGGTTTATTTGTTTACCACCATGATTCAGAAATTTCAATCTCTGTCCAAGAAGAGAACACAATATGCCCTCCATAGTTACTCTCAACAAATACCACAACAGTGTAATAGCATGGCATTATTTTTTTCGCATTCTGATTTCCTCGATTATATTTGTTTAGGAGATGCAGAAATCGGATATGCTTTTCTGAATGCTTCGCTCACTTGTACTGAGAATTAAGGAGCCTTGACACTGATTTTCTGACAAGAAAGTTCACCTGAAGTAACCTACTAAAGTGACCTTCGACATACTCTATTTAGAGTCACCCTACTATAGTGACCTTCGACCTACTATAGTGACCTTCAACCTACGATAGTGACCATTGACCTACTATAGTCACATTTGACCTACGATAGTGACCTTCGACCTACTATAGTCATATTCGACCTACTATAGTGACCTTTGACCTACTATAGTCACATTCGACCTACTATAGTCACTTCGACCTACGATGGTGACCTTCGACCTACTATAGTCACTTTGACCTACTATAGTCACCTTCATGCAGAGATATATGGTATAGGATCAGATTGGAATAAGATTGCAATGTCAGCATGGAAGGTACAGGCTTCCTCCCTGTGAGTACCTACCAGCTGAAGGCGAGTGAGGTACTTCTTCCACCACAGGTACTTCTGCATGTGCGGGCCCAGGCAGGACAGCGCGTAGTACAGGTACATGGCTATATGCACACCCGAGTTGAGCATCGCCACGAAGAAGGCTGCAAGTGGAGGGACATGGAGTCAGCACTATATAGACACCAGAGTACATTGTACAAACGCAGTGAACTGATTGTGGAATATTCCGCCTTGAGTTAGCAACTGTGATTAGAACATGATCATCTTGTTATAAATAGGATCATAATAAGACAAAAAAGTGAGCAGAACTCACCAATACCCCCAACTTCAACTCTGAACATTATTTCCAAGTTCAAAACATTAGACAAGCAATGTCTCCTCAGAAAATCCACTTATCGAAACCAAACTTTGCACTGCACCTATCCTATTGGTAAGAAACTGTACCCAGAATTGAAAAGAATCCATGAAGTAGTTTTTAAGTAATAGGTCGAACAAATGTTGAAGTAAAAAAGTAAGTTCAAAACATGACAAAAATCATATTTTTTTCAGAAAATACACATACCAAAATTACTTTGCACTGCACCAGTTCTATTTGTATGAAAACTGTTCCACAAATGTTTCAGTAAAATAAATCCAAGTAAAAAATGAAAAATAGCTGTATTTTTCCAGAAAAACAAAATATTGAAAACAACTTCTCACTGCACCTCTCCTATCGATATAGAAACTGTACCCCCCAATTGGAAAAGAATCCACAAAGTAGTTATCAAGTTTTGGTCACACAAAAAAATGTCAGACGGACGGAATTCCTTGGTATAACTATATACCCCGCCCTTTTAGGTCAGTATAATAAAATCTGGGGATTTATCTAGACCTGCTTAGAGGCAGATATTCGGCCCCATGTCTTCAGTAAATGACAGTAAAAATTGGCAATTTGAATTAAAAAGATTCATAATCCTCAGAATTTACAAAAATAATTTTTTTGTTTTTTATTTAAATTTTAACACTATCACTATTTTTCCCCAATAGCCTGGCAAGGGGCACCTGTCTGGAATCCTAGATAAACCCCAAACCTCTCACACTGGCTCCCTTTCCCCTTTGATGATAACAGCTGATGTCTACATATCTGTAGTATTTCGAGCATCTTGGGAGATGTGTAATTTGTGACTGAGAATGCAATTATAGTTTATATGTGTGTGCAAATAACCCACCGATAACATTATTATTTTGAAGGTATCTGCACTGATATTGGGCAAGATTGCGGCATACATTTGTGTCTGAGCAACATCCATATTTGAACAAGTCAAGTGTTGTCTCCTGTCAATTTTAAACAATAAGCATTCGACAATTTATGGAATCAAAAACTGAGATCACAAGCCCATGCACCCCCAACCCCAACACATACCCACACCCACAACACCTACCCACATCCACAACACCTACCCACACCCACACCCCCAACACCTACCCACACCCACACCCACACCCAACACCTACCCACACCCACCCCACCCAACACCTACCCACACCCACACCAACCCCCAACACCTACCCACACCCCCAACACCTACCCACACCCACACCCACAACACCTAACCACAACCACACCCACACCCACTCCCACACGCCCACACCCCCAACACCTACCCACACCCACACCCACAACACCTAACCACAACCACACACACACCCACACCCCCAACACCTACCCACACCCACAACACCTAACCACAACCACAACCACACCCACACACCCACACCCACACCCACACCCACACCCACACCCACACCCACACCATGTTCAATGGTCAGTCCCAAACTGAACATGGTGTCAGTGATTGGATGGTCACAACTCACACTGGCCGCCGGCGACGTACTTGACCCCGAGCCACCAGTTGGCGATCATGGTGCAGTGATGGTAGACGTGGAGGAAGGTCACCTGATCATTCTTCTTACGTAATATGAAGAACACCTTCAACACAAAACGTCTTCTGTCAAGAATTTGTTGACTGTAGTCTAGCTGTAGGCTAAAGTTAGGCATAGTGCATTTGGGCAAGGAGGCACCTCCATGGGCACTAAATGTGCATCCCATCGTGCTGATCTGTTTGTTTATGCATACAAGTCAGCATTACTGCTTGGATTGGCAAAATTTAACCAAGGAATTTGGCCAAGAAGTTTAACTCCAGCTTTAGTGGATTATCTGATATAGAGACCATTGACACCACTCATCTGGTCAATAATTAGATACAATAATTGATTCAGAGTGACAAACAACTATCCATAAGTCTGTTATGACAAGAGGGATGATTGTAACTTTCCAACAGTCAACTTTCTCTTCATGTCGAGCAATATTCCAGCAGCTCCAGCCTTTGATGTCTACATTTCAGAACTTTTGAGGTACAACTGACAACGCTCTTTCCTTGAAGATTTCAAAGAGCATCATACAACTCTTGCTCTTGCTCAACCACGGCCTTCAAAACGTTTCGTGGTAAACATATCAATGACATTTTGAAATTTGATTCATCAGTGACAAACATTGTCTGATCCAGTTCCATATTCCATCATGTACCATAATTATGTTTTGTTTCAGGTGAACAATTAACTTGCCTTTGCATGTGTTTGTGACGGTTGCCACGTGGGGGCAGGATACGCTCACCTTTTCACGAACTCCTGGCATCGTCACTACTTGATAGCGATTCTATGCTAATCATCTTGTCAGAATCATACAATGGCCTCTGCTTTTAGCAGAGGTTTCTTATGATCATGGAAAGTTTTTTCTGCATTTATCATACTTTATAATGAGTTGTTGCAACAGAGACAATCAGATACAGGCAGTTACACTTTTTAAAAACACTGCAGAGATTAAATATAATAAATAACCATCTTCATACATCAGCCCAGTTTCCACCATTGCCAAACTACGCTGGAATTTCAGAATCTCAATGGTAGCGCCACCAGTGGCTATTACAAGTTATGTCCTTTATGTCCCTCCTACTGACCAATCAGATTCCACTCATATCACTTGCATTTGCTTCAAATTGGGGAACCGAGTGAAGACGATCTGATTGATAATCAAGATCTATATTGTAATAACACAGGTCTTACTTCGCGAAGTGCATCAAAATATGTGAGCAATTTGATAAAAAACATGAAATGATTATAAAAAATATCTGTTGACGCTAACTTGACGGTACACATGTTTTGCAAATCCTGCAATCGACCGAAATCTGCACAGCAATTTATGAACTGTAAATTGATTTTGTTATGCAATTTTGATTGGACTATCCACAGACTCGTTAGTCCAGCCAAAATATAACTCCATAATTCCAGCGTATTTCAGCAAAGGTGGAAACTGGAATATTAGAGTCAGTTAACAACCTTGCCTCGGGAAGATGTCTTAATAGCACAACAGTGGAATCTGTCCAAACAAGACTCTGACTTTTACAGATCTCTGTCAATACCAGGCCAAACAGATGGAATCTAGACAGCACTTGTGGGACAAAGAACTAGAAGTTAGATTTGTAAAAGACTTACGATACTAAAAACATGAAATCCAACATGAAATTTAAAAAATGTATTCGAGTTTGTGAAAGTCCTGTAAAAAAATTTTTTTCAATTAATTTATAAATATCAATTTCATACAGACAAATGGCTCTTGTATAATTTTAATAAATTTTGTCTTTGTCTTCAATTTTGAGTTAATGGGGCATTTGGATTTTGCATTATTTCTATCCAAGTCATATAAACACTGCTTTGTTTGTGAAACTTAATGATGTATATCAATCTCCACTAATTATGAAAAGACAATGTCTCTGTTCTGAGAATTCGGCTGTCACATAATCACAGCTAGCAGTGTCTACGTCTCAGCAGCCGAAGCTACAGGGCTTTATTATCAGCGTGTACTGATTCCCTGAAAAGTAAGGTAAACTGATTACGAGTCATGCGAACCAGACACAATTCTAAGGCTTCATTGTCTGAGGCCATATAATACTTCCCAGACACCTTTTCACAACATAATCTAGGCCCCTCAGATGCCAAATGGCCTTCACTCAACAAAGACTTACTGTAATGAGTGTTTTTGTGTTGTATAACACCACACTCAGCATCAGCCATGCTCTAGGACGGCGGTCTGCCAATAATTAAATCTGGACCAGACAATACAGTGATTGATATTGTTAGCAACAATCGATGCGTCAGGTTGCGAAGACATGCATTCAACCAAAACATCCAAGTCTGACCACCTGATCCACTTAGTGCCTCTTACGATGAGCATAGGTTGGAGGGGACCTATGTTGACTGGTGGTGGTGGGTGGAGGTGGGGTGGTGGGTGTTGGGGGGTTGGTTTCTTATTACAGTGACTTGATCAAGAACACCTTATAGGACCAGGTGGATGTACTAATGCACACGGTGCTGACTCAACACAACAAATACCTGGCTTTCTGTCCAAGTAAAAGTGCAAAATTAATTTGACAATGAATGATACAACAATGTTTAACAATAACTTCAAATATGACCTTGACCTTTGACAAACACGCCAAAAACTTGAGTGAGTATGGTTTTACGCCGCTTTTAGCAATATTCCAGCAATATCACAGAGGGGGACACCAGAAATGGGCTTCACACATTGTACCCATGTCGGGAATCGAACCCGGGTCTTCGGCGTGACAAGCGAACGCTTTAACCACTAGGCTACCCGACCACCCCGCCACAAACTTGAAGTTAAGCACTGTAAAGATGCATGCAATTATAAAACAGTTTCATGCTTGTAGATGTAACAGTGCCTTAAAATAAAGACATGATGTAATGATATGATACATAATGATGTCCTACAATTACCTGCATAATGACCTTGACCTCATGACTCAACACCTTCATATAAGAAGATATATACAATTTGACAATACAAGTGTAGCAGAGTTGAAAATAATGTAATATTTGAATATATTTGGTGGTGGATGTTAATTTCAAAATCATTAATATAATATTATCAAGATAAGTGTATAATTTCCACAACCAAATAAGAGCCCCCAAGCTATGTATGAAATGATCCAACACATAGACTCTGTAAACTAAGTAGGACCATTTTGATTGGTTTACACATGTTTTTCCTGCTGACCAATGAAGATTCGGGTAAGGATAGCTAGGTCTTCAGCAAACCATGCAGGTCGTAAGAGGCAACAAAAAGGATCGGGTGATCAGGCTTGGGGACTTGCATGGTTGATGCATGTCTTTGTATGCCAATTGCGTGGATCGATGATCATGATATCAATCAGTGGATTGTCAGGTCCAGACTTCATTATCTACAGCCATCATATAGCTGGAATAATGCTGAGAGCGTCGTAAACAACAACAAAGCACATGGTCCCTATTCATGGGGGTTCCAATGCAATAATGATAATATATACCGAGTAGCAAAGAGAAAATATGAAGATATCCAATTTACTATGTATTGTATAAAGGAGCACAAGTGAAGGCAGGCCATGATTTATACTTAATGATCTAGCCTGGTACTAGATACTTAACATAGGTAGATAATTCCATCAGTAATTATCGATTATAAAATTGTCATAAATATCATAATTGATTATTTACAGATTGCCGTCATATACCGGTAGCTGGAATATTTGAGTGCAGCATTAAACAACAAACAAACAAACAAACAAAGGCTTTTCACGCTACATGCACAATCATTTGGCTGGTAACATCTTTGACTTGCTGGGGAAGTTGTGGAAACAATAGTTCCGGTAAGTTTAATTGTTTTATGAAAAAAGTATAAAATATCAATAAAAAAGTTTGAATTGTTTTACACTTTGTAATTGCTCATGAATTTTGGTAATAACATAACTTTGAACATTTCAACACTTCTACAAAAATCATGGTAGACTGTCATGACATTTACATAGTTCGGAGGTCATTTTTTTAGCAAATATTATTTCAAATATTATTATGGACAAACCATCAAAACTCATTATGGTGTGCATAATGCACACCCCCTTCTACACAGCTGTAGTGTTATTTTTAAAAATGCACACTATACTCAAGAAAATACCATATAAAAGATATCTAAACATTCATCGGTATTCCTCAAAGAGGCAGAAATTAAACTCTGGAACTTCTTTCGACTCCACACGAAGTACGGATGATAGGATATCAAACCTATAACGGCGTTAGATTTCAATCTAATGTAACAGATGAGCTTCCTGCCTACATTTATTTATGACTTGACATTTGAACATGGGAGTACTCTGTTTTCGAAAATAGATCCCCTATGGTCAAATAATTAGAATAATCACTTAAAATGATATTTGTTATTACGCTAATAAGATTTTTTTAGTTCACAATTCTTAAATTAATTTGGCCAAAGTAGGATAAGAATGTTTGGAGCCTTAATAAAGTTCTAGTTCTGATATCTAATTACCAATATGTCTTAAAAGATTATGCACAATCTCATTACAATCAAACCTTTCACTCAGATACGATATCGCTCATGAAGATTTGACTACACTAGAAATACAGGAGTGAGTGAGTATGGTTTTAACCCACTTTTAGCAATAGTCCAGCAATATCATGGCAGGGAGCACCAGAAATGGGCTTCACACATTGTACCCACGTCGGGAACCCGGGTCTTCAGCGTGACGAGCGAATGCTTTGACCACTAGGCTACCCGACCGCCCCTCACTATAAATACAGGGGAGAACTGGAATCAAACCCACAATCATAAGTTTTTTGCGTGCCCAAAGGATAAAACTCTAGAGCAATTTAGACGTCTCTTAAACAAAAGAAATCAGGCTCAGAAACTAAATAATCTGTGAATGAAACACACGGTACATCACGCACAGAGGAATCATATCGGAGAAAACCATCTAATTTTAAAAAGATTTAAAGATATAAGGTTCTGTTAATGGTTGCTAATGCAGTTGGTGCAAGTAAACCCGGTAGTCAACCAACACCACACCTGGAACATGTCATGTTATAACTGCATGTTGAATGTTTCCCCATCAAATGTTGAGTAGTATTCACGGTACATATGGTCCATGATAACCCACATACCGTGTCTAGAAGTTCGATGATTTTGGAGAAAAAGAACCACCAGCAGACTTGTGCCATCTGAAACATCAAAATCAGTGTTCAGGAAAACAGTATATCAACATTTGAAACACCAACATCAGTCTTCAGGTAAACAGTATACAGATTTCCGAACCATCTACATCAGTCTTCAGGTAAACAGTATACAGATTTCCGAACCACCAACATCAGTCTTCAGGTAAACAGGATATAAACATTTGAAACATCTACAACAGTATACAGGTAAACAGTATACATCTGAAGCATCAAAATCGGTCTTCAGGTAAACAGTATATCAACATTTAAAACACCAACATCAGTCTTCAGGGAAATAGTATACAGACATCTGAACACCAACATCAATAATCAGTGACAAGCCACTGCCCTACCCCAACACAAGGAAACAAGAGCCCTGACAAGCCAACACTTTAACCACTGTCCTACCCCAATACAAGGAAACAAGAGCCCTGACAAGCCAACACTTTAACCACTGCCCTACCCCAGCACAAGGAAACAAGAGCCCTGACAAGCCAACACTTTAACCACTGCCCTACCCCAACACAAGGAAACAAGAGCCCTGACAAGCCAACACTTTAACCACTGCCCTACCCCAACACAAGGAAACAAGAGCCCTGACAAGCCAACACTTTAACCACTGCCCTACCCCAACACAAGGAAACAAGAGCCCTGACAAGCCAACACTTTAACCACTGCCCTACCCCAACACAAGGAAACAAGAGCCCTAACAAGCCAACACTTTAACCACTGCCCTACCCCAACACAAGGAAACAAGAGCCCTAACAAGCCAACACTTTAACCACTGCCCTACCCCAACACAAGGAAACAAGAGCCCTGACAAGCCAACACTTTAACCACTGCCCTACCCCAACACAAGGAAACAAGAGCCCTAAAAAGCCAACACTTTAACCACTGTCCTACCCCAACACAAGGAAACAAGAGCCCTGACAAGCCAACACTTTAACCACTGCCCTACCCCACCATCAGGAAACAAGAGCCCTGACAAGCCAACACTTTAACCACTGTCCTACCCCACCATCAGGAAACAAGAGCCCTGACAAGCCAACACTTTAACCACTGTCCTACCCCAACACAGGGAAACAAGAGCCCTGACAAGCCAACACTTTAACCACTGCCCTACCCCAACACAAGGAAACAAGAGCCCTGACAAGCCAACACTTTAACCACTGTCCTACCCAAGAACAGGGAAACAAGAGCCCTAACAAGCAAACACTTTAACCACTGTCCTACCCCACCATTGGGAAACAAGAGCCCTGACAAGCCAACACTTTAACCACTGTCCTACCCCACCATCAGGAAACAAGAGCCCTGACAAGCCAACACTTTAACCACTGTCCTACCCCACCATTGGGAAACAAGAGCCCTGACAAGCCAACACTTTAACCACTGTCCTACCCCACCATCAGGAAACAAGAGCCCTGACAAGCCAACACTTTAACCTACCCCACCAACTTGAAAGGGAAACAAGAGCCAAACAATACAAAACTATTACAACTACCTTATCCCATTGCCCCAAATAACCTGATGAAATGATTTTTTAAGTTGTTAATGATAAAAATGTATGTGTGATCAAAGAGTGCTAATATTTGCTACACTTAATACTTTTTTCATAATTGTTCTACTTCAGGTTCATAATGGTAAAAAAATGCTGCTTTGAGACGTGTTCATGATTAAATTAAAAAATAAAATTTAATGTGCAAATAAATTACAAAAAAGAACACATATTACGAGGTCTACTTTGTTCTTAATCGAACAATCTGAGGACCACTTTTTTAAAGGAAAAACATCCAATTTACTCTATCTTTTTCATTTTCCCTCTCATGTCAATTTAATGTACAAAGAGCAAATAGTATATAAATCATAAAAATGTCCCCAAACAATAAGACTCTACCAAAGTTCCTGATTACAATCAGAAAGATTGTATGGCAACCATGGCGCCATGATTCCACCGCCTAACATGATCTGAGACGAACCAATCAATAGCTTCATAAACATGTCTCAAGTATAGATAAACGTCTTCATGCTTGAAACTATGCCGCAAGATATAAATACCACATCATCATCAATTCACGACCATGATCAGACTTGGTTCATGGTATCATGCTGTCTGTAGAAGCATCAACACGATGAAACGACTGTTATTTCGGTTGTACATCACAAAAGCAATTATATCAAGCCCAGATCTAATAGCCAAAGAGCTAATGATGTGATTAGTATGGAATAGAACTGGCTACAAGAGTGTTCCACATAAAGGTTGCAAATACACATTAAAACAGAACATGCATCATGAATATCTCACAAAACAGCTATTCCATGGTTAGCTCGAACCACATTAATCCTTATAATGAATGTTTGGTCACAAAATATAAGGTTAGTTTGGCAAACAAGATGAAAGCGGCTGGGTAATTGTCATAATCGCCAAGCATCGGAACTCTTCCTAGGTGGCGCTGTGACAACAGTGTCAGGTCAGGTGACACTGATGATGTGATTATACACCAGTATCGCGCTGATCAAACGTACATGGAGGAGAATCAATTCTGATTGAAACTGCGACAAACATCACAGCATTGTATCAGCTAACATTGTTTGCTTCGTTAAACAGAGTGGGTGTGGTACTAGGGAAAGCAGTTATTTTCTGAAGTAGGTTATTCACCCTTTTTGGGGGGGAATAGCCTATTATGGATGGAACATCCAGATTAATCTGGCCAACAAATCACTGATATTTTGGATGCTTCGTTATGTGTTCCCATCAATACATCAGACATCAGGTCATACGATGCAGAAACAAAAACAGTTATTGAAACCCATTCACAGGCCTCACTGCCTTGCATGAACTCTCAGCACCCTTTACAGAAAGGGTCTTAGCGATATGATGGTCCTAACTCTCATTCTTTTACACTGACTTATGACATTCGTCATGCTGGGATCCCCTTCCACTGCCTTGCATGAACACACAGTACGATGACCCTTTCCAGAAAGAGGTCTTAGTGCTAAGATGGTCCTAACTCCCACTCTTTTACACTGATTCTTTTACACTGACTTATAACATTCGTCATGCTGGGACCCCCTTTCACTGCCTTGCATGAAGACACAGTACAATGCCCCTTTCCACAAAGAAGTCTTAGCACTAAGATGGTCCTAATTCCATCACGGCCTTGCACGAACACACAGTACGATGCCCCTTGCCGAAAAGAAGTCTTAGCACTAAGATTGTCCTAATTCCCTTTCTTTAACATTGACTTATGACATTTGTCATGCTGGGACCTCTTTCCACATAATGATCTTAGTGCCATGACTGCCATAAGTATATATAAAAGTATCAGCAACAATCACCGTAGCACTAAGATGACTTTATGGAACGAGGGCCCTTGGACTTTCCATGTAATGATCTCAGCTCTACAACAGCCGTAAGTATATATTAAAGTAAGAGTTTCGATGATCTTAGCACAAAACTCACTTTATGGAACAGGACACAGCTCAGCCAAGAACAACTCAATCATCGGTTTAAGTCTAAATCATCATTGCATCCCTCACATTTCAGTTTCCATAAAGTTTTAGGAAAATGATTCAGGAATTATTAATCAGTATTACTACTTGCAATTTACAAAATCACTTCATACCACTAATTTGTTTCTCATTTTTATGAATACGCCTGCATTAAATTTTCCAAAAGTAAAAGCAATTTTCTTCTTAACATGAGCTTCTAAAAATTATCTGCAGAAATATAACCAGGTGGCAGATTACCTGCATTTTCAAAGAACTATCCTGACTTTAGAATATTAAGCTTACCTTCATAACTTAGCCCCAAGCAAACATTTTAATATTTGATTAATATTGTCTCCCTCAACCTGGCATACTTGCCAAGAAAATCAAGAAAATCAATAAAGCATAAAGAGAAAGAAATCTTGCCTTGAACTGAACGATAGTAACATGCATGTCTTTTCTGCCCATGCCATCATGAAAAGGGGATAAGGGACTGTCGGAGTAGTCGACTGGTTGACACAGGTAGAAAAAGACTTACCCATGGGGATAAGAGACTGTCAGAGTAGTCGACTGGTTCACAGGTAGCTGTTGAATTACCAATAGGGATAAGAGACTGTCGGAGTAGTCGACCGGTTGACACAGGTAAAGGGACTTACCCATAGGGATAAGAGACCGTCGGAGTTTTCGACTGGTTGACACAGGTAGAAAGAGACTTACCTATGGGGATAAGACACCGTCGGAGTAGTCGACTGGTTGACACAGGTAGATAGAGACTTACCCATAGGGATAAGTGACTGTCGGAGTAATTGACGGGTTGACACAGGTAGCTGTGGACTTACCTATGGGGATAAGACACCGTCGGAGTAGTCGACTGGTTGACACAGGTAGATAGAGACTTACCCATTGGGGTAAGTGACTGTCGGAGTAGTTGACAGGTTGACACAGGTAGCTGTGGACTTACCTATGGGGAAAAGACACCGTCGGAGTAGTCGACTGGTTGACACAGGTAGCTGTGGACTTACCTATGGGGATAAGACACCGTCGGAGTAGTTGACTGGTTGACACAGGTAGATAGAGACTTACCCATACGGATAAGTGACTGTCGGAGTAGTCGACTGGTTGACACAGGTAGATAGAGACTTACCCATAGGGATAAGTGACTGTCGGAGTAGTTGACGGGTTGACACAGGTAGATAGAGACTTACCCATAGGGATAAGTGACTGTTGGAGTAGTTGACGGGTTGACACAGGTAGATAGAGACTTATCCATAGGGATAAGTGACTGTCGGAGTAGTTGACTGGTTGACACAGGTAGATAGAGACTTACCCATAGGGATAAGTGACTGTCGGAGTAGTTGACGGGTTGACACAGGTAGATAGAGACTTACCCATAGGGATAAGTGACTGTCGGAGTAGTTGACGGGTTGACACAGGTAGATAGAGACTTACCCATAGGGATAAGTGACTGTCGGAGTAGTTGACGGGTAGACACAGGTAGCTGTGGACTTACCAATGGGGTTAAGAGACTGTCGGAGTAGTCGACTGGTTGACACAGGTAGATAGAGACTACTTACCCATAGGGATAAGAGACTGATGGAGTAGTCGACTGGTTGACACTGGTAGCTGTGGACTTACCCATAGGGATAAGAGACCGTCGGAGTAGTCGACTGGTTGACACTGGTAGCTGTGGACTTACCAAAAGGGATAAGAGACTGTTGGAGTAGTTGACTGGTTGACACTGGTAGCTGTGGACTTACCCATAGGGATAAGAGACTGTCGGAGTAGTCGACTGGTTGACACTGGTAGCTGTGGACTTACCCATAGGGATAAGAGACCGTCGGAGTAGTCGACTGGTTGACACTGGTAGCTGTGGACTTACCCATAGGGATAAGAGACCGTCAGAGCAGTCGACCGGTTGACACAGGTAGATAGAGACTTACCAATGGGGAAAAGAGACTGTCAGAGTAGTCGACTTGATGACACAGGTAGATAGAGACTTACCCATAGGGATAAGAGACCATCGGAGTAGTCAACTGGTTGACACAGGAAGCTGTAGACTTACCCATAGGGATAAGAGACCGTCGGAGTAGTCGACTGGTTGACACAGGTAGATAGAGACTTACCAATGGGGAAAAGAGACTGTCGGAGTAGTCGACCGGTTGACACAGGTAGATAGAGACTTACCAATGGGGAAAAGAGACTGTCAGAGTAGTCGACTTGATGACACAGGTAGATAGAGACTTACCCATAGGGATAAAAGACTGTCAGAGTAGTCGACTGGTTGACACAGGAAGCTGTGGACTTACCCATAGGGATAAGAGACCGTCGGAGTAGTCGACTGGTTGACACAGGTAGATAGAGACTTACCAATGGGGAAAAGAGACTGTCAGAGTAGTCAATGGGTTGACACAGGTAGATAGAGACTTACCCGTAGTGCTAAGGGGCTGTCAGGGTAGTCAACTGGTTGACACAGAAAGCTGTGGACTTATCCATTGGGCTAAGGGACTGTCGGAGTAGTCGACTGGTTGACACAGGAAGCTGTAGACTTACCCATAGGGCTAAGGGACTGTCGGAGTAGTCGACTGGTTGACACAGGAAGCTGTAGACTTACCCATAGGGCTAAGGAACTATCGGAGTAGTCTACTGGTTGACACAGGAAGCTGTAGACTTACCCGTAGTGCTAAAGGGCTGTCGGAGTAGTCGACTGGTTGACACAGGAAGCTGTAGACTTACCCGTAGTGCTAAAGGGCTGTCGGAGTAGTCGACTGGTTGACACAGGAAGCTGTAGACTTACCCGTAGTGCTAAGGGGCTGTCGGAGTAGTCGACTGGTTGACACAGGAAGCTGTAGACTTACCCGTAGTGCTAAAGGGCTGTCGGAGTAGTCGACTGGTTGACACAGGAAGCTGTAGACTTACCCGTAGTGCTAAAGGGCTGTCGGAGTAGTCTACTTGTTGACACAGGAAGCTGTAGACTTACCCGTAGTGCTAAAGGGCTGTCGGAGTAGTCTACTGGTTGACACAGGAAGCTGTAGACTAACCCGTAGTGCTAAGGGGCTGTCGGAGTTTTCGACTGGTTGACACAGGAAGCTGTAGACTTACCCGTAGTGCTAAGGGGCTGTCGGAGTAGTCGACTGGTTGACACAGGAAGCTGTAGACTTACCCGTAGTGCTAAAGGGCTGTCGGAGTAGTCGACTGGTTGACACAGGAAGCTGTAGACTTACCCATAGTGCTAAGGGGCTGTCGGAGTAGTCTACTGGTTGACACAGGAAGCTGTAGACTTACCCGTAGTGCTAAGGGCTGTCGGAGTAGTCTACTGGTTGACACAGGAAGCTGTAGACTTACCCGTAGTGCTAAGGGGCTGTCGGAGTAGTCGACTGGTTGACACAGGAAGCTGTAGACTTACCCGTAGTGCTAAAGGGCTGTCGGAGTAGTCGACTGGTTGACACAGGAAGCTGTAGACTTACCCGTAGTGCTAAAGGGCTGTCGGAGTAGTCGACTGGTTGACACAGGAAGCTGTAGACTTACCCGTAGTGCTAAGGGGCTGTCGGAGTAGTCGACTGGTTGACACAGGAAGCTGTAGACTTACCCGTAGTGCTAAAGGGCTGTCGGAGTAGTCGACTGGTTGACACAGGAAGCTGTAGACTTACCGGTAGTGCTAAGGGGCTGTCGGAGTAGTCGACTGGTTGACACAGGAAGCTGTAGACTAACCCGTAGTGCTAAGGGGCTGTCGGAGTTTTCGACTGGTTGACACAGGAAGCTGTAGACTTACCCGTAGTGCTAAGGGGCTGTCGGAGTAGTCGACTGGTTGACACAGGAAGCTGTAGACTTACCCGTAGTGCTAAAGGGCTGTCGGAGTAGTCGACTGGTTGACACAGGAAGCTGTAGACTTACCCATAGTGCTAAGGGGCTGTCGGAGTAGTCTACTGGTTGACACAGGAAGCTGTAGACTTACCCGTAGTGCTAAGGGCTGTCGGAGTAGTCTACTGGTTGACACAGGAAGCTGTAGACTTACCCGTAGTGCTAAGGGGCTGTCGGAGTAGTCGACTGGTTGACACAGGAAGCTGTAGACTTACCCGCAGTGCTAAAGGGCTGTCGGAGTAGTCGACTGGTTGACACAGGAAGCTGTAGACTAACCCGTAGTGCTAAGGGGCTGTCGGAGTAGTCGACTGGTTGACACAGGAAGCTGTAGACTTACCCGTAGTGCTAAGGGGCTGTCGGAGTAGTCGACTGGTTGACACAGGAAGCTGTAGACTTACCCGTAGTGCTAAAGGGCTGTCGGAGTAGTCGACTGGTTGACACAGGAAGCTGTAGACTTACCCATAGTGCTAAGGGGCTGTCGGAGTAGTCTACTGGTTGACACAGGAAGCTGTAGACTTACCCGTAGTGCTAAGGGCTGTCGGAGTAGTCTACTGGTTGACACAGGAAGCTGTAGACTTACCCGTAGTGCTAAGGGGCTGTCGGAGTAGTCGACTGGTTGACACAGGAAGCTGTAGACTTACCCGTAGTGCTAAAGGGCTGTCGGAGTAGTCGACTGGTTGACACAGGAAGCTGTAGACTTACCTGTAGTGCTAAAGGGCTGTCGGAGTAGTCGACTGGTTGACACAGGAAGCTGTAGACTTACCCGTAGTGCTAAGGGGCTGTCGGAGTAGTCGACTGGTTGACACAGGAAGCTGTAGACTTACCCGTAGTGCTAAAGGGCTGTCGGAGTAGTCGACTGGTTGACACAGGAAGCTGTAGACTTACCCGTAGTGCTAAGGGGCTGTCGGAGTAGTCGACTGGTTGACACAGGAAGCTGTAGACTAACCCGTAGTGCTAAGGGGCTGTCGGAGTTTTCGACTGGTTGACACAGGAAGCTGTAGACTTACCCGTAGTGCTAAGGGGCTGTCGGAGTAGTCGACTGGTTGACACAGGAAGCTGTAGACTTACCCGCAGTGCTAAAGGGCTGTCGGAGTAGTCGACTGGTTGACACAGGAAGCTGTAGACTTACCCATAGTGCTAAGGGGCTGTCGGAGTAGTCTACTGGTTGACACAGGAAGCTGTAGACTTACCCGTAGTGCTAAGGGCTGTCGGAGTAGTCTACTGGTTGACACAGGAAGCTGTAGACTTACCCGTAGTGCTAAGGGGCTGTCGGAGTAGTCGACTGGTTGACACAGGAAGCTGTAGACTTACCCGTAGTGCTAAAGGGCTGTCGGAGTAGTCGACTGGTTGACACAGGAAGCTGTAGACTTACCCGTAGTGCTAAAGGGCTGTCGGAGTAGTCGACTGGTTGACACAGGAAGCTGTAGACTTACCCGTAGTGCTAAGGGGCTGTCGGAGTAGTCGACTGGTTGACACAGGAAGCTGTAGACTTACCCGTAGTGCTAAAGGGCTGTCGGAATAGTCGACTGGTTGACACAGGAAGCTGTAGTGGGAAAGAGTAGATGTGACCACAAACTGAAAAAGAAAATATGAACATGGCATTTCTTTGAAACAAATTGATCTTCAAACATCAGGTGATGCAATTATATAATAAATGCTGGAAAAAATCAATTTCCTTTTAAATATATATACATTAATCAAATCAAGAATGGACATTGTTATTCAGCTTAAGAGCCAGACTTAAATAATCATTGTCAAAGTTGACTGCAGGCAGGTGAACTGTCTGAATGGCTCCTAATGAGGTGGGTAGAAACGATGTGACTGGATATTTCAACTTTGATTAGTCATCTACATCTGTCTCAAATGTCACTGTTGACTTGATGAAAAATTTATAAATCAGAAAAACGTCCTTTGTGTGCAGTAGTTATTTAAAGGACACCACAGCTCATGTGATTCTGATTGATCATTTTTATTGTTGCCCAGGCAAGACCTGTGTCAAACATCAAGCAAGGCCTGTGTCAAACATCAAGCAAGGCCTGTGTCAAACATCAAGCAAGGTCTGTGTCAAACATCAAGCAAGGCCTGTGTCAAACATCAAGCAAGGCCTGTGTCAAACATCAATCAATGCCCAGTCTAACATCAAGAAAGGCCTGAAGAGAGATAAACCTATTCACTGGGATCGCTATTAAGTAAGAGACTTCTTTCTATAGGCATTAAAACCTATTGTGAAGTTTTACTTTCCAGTCGGGTTAATCTCATAAACAGGGACGTTGTATTGTCCCTTGGATTTTATATAATATCCCAGCGATTTTATATAATGTCCTTGGTATTTTATTAATATAACTTCCGTTCAGATTGTAACATGTAATGAAATGTAAAATCAAATGACAAATGTTTTCTTTATATTCCCGAGGATCGAACTCGCAACCTTCATATCTGTAGCCCAGTGAGTGTACCACGAGGCTACAGAGGTGTTGATAAGACTCACTGGTTTTAGAATGTCCTTTTCAAGATCTGTACGCCAGCAACAGATATTTTATGAGCGTTTCCTAAGGTTCATGGAAAGTATGTTCGAAACAAGTTTCTTTTTTCGGTTTACAATGCTTGTATAAGCATGGAAAAACACTTTCCCTCGGTTTTGGTAGACAGAGCATGCCCTGGGGGTCGGGAAAAACCGCGGGGGCTTCGGCCCCTTGGTTTTTCCCTCTCCCCAGGGCATGCTCCGTCTACCAAAACCGAGGGAAAGTGTTTTCTCCAATACATCAAGCAAGGATTGAAAGAGAGGGTCAAAGCAAGGCTTAAATGGAAGGTCAAGCAAAGAATCTGTGATCTGAACTGAAATTGGTTTCAAGCTTCATCATTCCATCATTCTTTTCGATGTTGTCACACTAGTAACCACTAACCTCACAGAACATGTAGCAGGACAGAGCCACGAGACCAAAGTTGTAGGGGATGAGAACGAGCTTCAAGTTGACAGGCTTCCGGCCAGCCATGATGCGTGGGCCCAGCCATACCACCAACAGGTACAGCAAGAAGATCACAACACTCGGGACAGGGGAGTCCATCAACAGCCAGCCGGACACACGAGGATCTGCAATACACAGATGGATGGAGGTCTGCAATACACAACATAAATGGAGGTCTGCAATACACAGAGGGATGGAGGTCTGCAATACACAACATATATGGAGGTCTGCAATACACAGATGGATGGAGGTCTGCAATACACAACATAAATGGAGGTCTGCAATCCCCAGAGGGCTGGAGGTCTGCAATACACAGAGGGATGGAGGTCTGCAATACACAGAGGGGTGGAGGTCTGCAATACACAACATATATGGAGGTCTGCAATACACAGAGGGATGGAGGTCTGCAATACACAACATATATGGAGGTCTGCAATACACAGAGGGCTGGAGGTCTGCAATACACAGAGGGATGGAGGTCTGCAATACACAACATATATGGAGGTCTGCAATACACAGAGGGATGGAGGTCTGCAATACACAACATATATGGAGGTCTGCAATACACAGAGGGATGGAGGTCTGCAATACACAGAGGGATGGAGGTCTGCAATACACAACATATAAGGAGGACAGCAATACACAACATATATGGAGGTCTGCAATACACAGAGGGATGGAGGTCTGCAATACACAACATATATGGAGGTCTGCAATACACAGAGGGATGGAGGTCTGCAATACACAACATATAAGGAGGACAGCAATACACAGAGGGATGGAGGTCTGCAATACACAACATATAAGGAGGACAGCAATACACAACATATAAGGAGGTCTGCAATACACAGAGGGAAGGAGGTCTGCAATACACAACATATAAGGAGGACAGCAATACACAACATATATGGAGGTCTGCAATACACAGAGGGATGGAGGTCTGCAATACACAGAGGGATGGAGGTCTGCAATACACAGAGGGATGGAGGTCTGCAATACACAGAGGGATGGAGGTCTGCAATACACAGAGGGGTGGAGGTCTGCAATACACAACATATATGGAGGTCTGCAATACACAGAGGGGTGGAGGTCTGCAATACACAACATATATGGAGGTCTGCAATACACAGAGGGATGGAGGTCTGCAATACACAACATATAAGGAGGACAGCAATACACAACATATATGGAGGTCTGCAATACACAGAGGGATGGAGGTCTGCAATACACAACATATATGGAGGTCTGCAATACACAGAGGGATGGAGGTCTGCAATACACAACATATAAGGAGGACAGCAATACACAACATATATGGAGGTCTGCAATACACAGAGGGATGGAGGTCTGCAATACACAACATATATGGAGGTCTGCAATACACAGAGGGAAGGAGGTCTGCAATACACAACATATAAGGAGGACAGCAATACACAACATATATGGAGGTCTGCAATACACAGAGGGATGGAGGTCTGCAATACACAGAGGGATGGAGGTCTGCAATACACAGAGGGATGGAGGTCTGCAATACACAGAGGGATGGAGGTCTGCAATACACAGAGGGGTGGAGGTCTGCAATACACAACATATATGGAGGTCTGCAATACACAGAGGGGTGGAGGTCTGCAATACACAACATATATGGAGGTCTGCAATACACAGAGGGATGGAGGTCTGCAACACACAACATAAATGGAGGTCTGCAATACACAACATATATGGAGTTTGGTTTTACAGGTTATACCCATATGGGGAATTGAACCTCGGACTTTAATGTTGTTACCAAATTCCAGATCCTGAAATAGAATGAAGAGTTACCTCCCCTGTCCAGACTGTCCTGGTAGTATCCTGTCATGTTTTGCCAAACGGATCCCATCCCTCTCGTCAATAAAAATTCCTGTGATCACAATTTAAGATCTGAAAAAGATAAAACAACTTGAATTATACTACTTGATTGATATAAGTGGAAATAGGCTTGAGTAATATTAGCTTTGGCCTGAGAACTCAATTGATTCTTGCTTTTAGACTACCATACAAACACTCTTTTTGTACTTATTGCAAAACTATATATTCATAGATGCAAATTCCAAAATACAAAACCTTATTTTCATGTTACAACAAAGAATAGGACACTGCTTTCAAGACAGGTAATCAGCAGAAATCTATAGAGCTTGGATGCTGTATCATAAACTCTTTGAAAATAAGAAGCAGCTTACACATAAATTAAGTTTTACACTTTAGACTTTAATGTATGACACCTGTATGGTCTTCCTGCACTGCAGTGTAACATAGAAGCTTTAACAGTTTATGCCTACGTGATATATGCAGTATATTTGTTTTACTAGAGTGCATGTGTGGGTGAGAAGTATGTTATTATTTGTAAAAAAAATCTAATATGTACTGATAAGTTGTGAAACTGGCTTGCTGCTACCCTGGGCCTAAACAAAGAGAAAAGAAACAAAGAAAAACTCTTTTTGAAACAATATTATTCTGACATTGTCATAAATTCCTGACGAAATAGGAATTACCCATTGCATCCTTGTCACCATGCGTACATGTACTTCTTTACGGATCTTTATTATAAAAATACTGATTGGCTGCAGGTATCACACACACAGGAACTCTAAGACCGATTTGGGACCGATTTGCTAATCCCAATTGTTAATCCCCATTGTATTGTACAATGACTGCCTGCCTTCCTGAATGAGCTGTGCAACTATGTCACTGATTAATTACTGTTGTTTATATTTATGATTCAATCCATGTCAGATGACCTTTGCTATATAAGCCTTGGTCCAGAGATGAAACAACGCTCACAATCTGAAAGCGCACGTTAAATCTCTAACTTAAGTAAGTAAGATGAAATGACCAAAATGAATTAAAACAAAACACAAAACACAAAACCAAATAACATCTTCACACCCAATCTTCAATCCCCAAAACTAGACACAGCACTCTCCTCTAGAATAAATAAGACAACTAACCCAAAACTCCGCTAAAAACACCACACTAGCATACAAACATGATAAATGGCCAAATTAGTGCCACATCTACATTGACGGGTCCTCTGACCCGGGCTCGAAACACAGGATTCAGCATCCATATTTCTCAACTGACAAAGGAAACAAAATCCTATAGGCTCCGAAACAACCAATCAATCTTCACGGCCGAACTAATGGGGATATCAACAGCCCTACACACACCCCAAATTAAAAAACAAAATAAATTCCTAATTTTAATGGACACGCTAAGTAGATTACAAGCTATTAAAAACAACAACACAAAAAACTAAGACACCAAATACATAAATGCTCAAACCAACTCAGCCAACTAGGTAAAGACATAGAAGTCCTAAGGATCTCTCCCTGCCCACGTCGGAGTGTTTGGCAACGAACACACTGACCAAGCAGCCAGGAGTAAGCCTAAACTTACCAATTTCCAAAAAAGACAAAAAGAATCGCTAGGGAAAAACTTCCCCAAAAGTGGGAAACCAAGTACCTACACTCAAACTGTAAACAAAAATTTGAATTGACAGGGCAATGACCAAACTACAAACAGGTCACACAGAATTAAACTCCCTTCTGCATAGAATAAAAAAACCCATCAAACAGGTTAATGCCCAAAATGCAATCAACTAGAAACACCAGAACACGGACTACACTGCACGCACTACAAACACCACAGAACAACGCTTAAAACCAAACTAGACTGCAACACTTCTAAATCTGCTAAACAATACACAAATCTTCAAAGCATTAGGCACCTTCCTTATTAAAACAGGCCTACTAGGCCACATATAATGACCTACAAAACTTAAACTATTACTAATCTAAAAAACCTAAACAACGTAAACCTAAAACCACAAAATCACACCCTCCCTTAGTCCCCCCACCTATGGTAAGCTTTCAATTTCGAAATTTCTCAAAATCTTAAATAACAACCCTAAAGTCCCCCCCCCCCCCCCCCCGGTTGCCTCACCTTTCAGACATATTCTCATTGGCAAACCCACTAAAGCACACGTAAAATCTCCAAATGTAACTAAGTAAGATGAAAATGAGAGAGAGGAGGTCTTACCCTCAGCCTAGGGTTAGGCTAGGTGATCCAGGGCACCAAGACAACAACCACTACCACTATGTGCTGACCTGGCACACAGTGCTTCTTGCATATATATATCTACCTGTATAAAGCAAACTCGTATATACCCAAGCCATCAACACCATGTTGTCACTTCCTACCAAGAACCCTACACCGCCCCCTTGCACATAGGAATATGCTTTTTATTTATTGGCAACACACACATGCATCACCTGAAATGGACTTGTCTCACATTGCCATGGTCGGATTGTATTCTGAGAGCCATCATTAATTAAATACAGGTACATATTGTTAAAGCTTGTACATCTTATTAACATCCTCAAAGAGGCTGTATATAATGTTGATATCTCATACTTGTGGTCGCCCACTCTTTGTTTTTTTCTTAAGTAACAGCGTTAGAAATTGGCACTAGTCCTATAGTCCTTACCAAACTGCCCAATAGTAAAGGTATCCTAAGGAGTAGTAGAAATTGGCCCATTTTAAAGGTTTTGCTTTATGTTATCATTATAAGGACTAGTGGACAAAAACTGTTAGTTTCTAACCCTGAGTAACCGATGATAATAATAAAATATCTTCTTTTTTTTAAACAAAACAATAAATCCCTCCCTACCCATTCAGTTTTGGAAAAAAGTTGTAAGAAACAAGAATACTAGGGCCTAATTCAAGGTATCAAGTGGGAGAAAAATACCTTTTGGTGTTCATGTACTTTAACATCAAGTGTCATTTTTATCCTATGCCCTACATTTACTGATAAGAGTTTACAAAGAATTCAGCTAACAGGACACGTTGTAAGTTCATAAGTTCTAAGTCACGCATGCATGTGATAACCTCAATGATGAAGTTATCAGTCAAGTTGTAAAATGTTCACGAGTAGCTCACAGCACTATCATGTTATATAAGCTTGACTGGACTGATAATCAGCGACCTTTAACATGCTACAGATAACACATTTGACAAATACGTGATCTGTAATTACACAACCTTGGAATCTGTCTAGCCCTGGCCCACTGAGGTACATTCCGGTACATTCCGGTACATACTTGGCCAGGTTGACTTGTCATGAAACACAGAGATCACACATGCTGGTTCGAATGCTTTGCTCACTCGTACAGTGAACTTAGACCCCTCAATGCTGGTTGGCTGATTAGGAAATTCACGTGACACCGAAAGGTATTGCTAAGGTATTTGTGACCGACCCGGAGAAATGGGACCTCATGGGTGCTTGGATACAACTGGCCTATGACGTCATAAAGAGAGACGTTGGACCTCCACAACATGGGTACAATGTGTGAAGCCCATTTCTGGTGTCCCTACCATGATATTGCTGGAATATTGCCAAAAGAGGCATAAACCATACTCACTCACTCACTTCCACAACAACTGCCATGTGTGCGGACAGTTACAAAATTATCCTATTTTTCTTTTGTAAGTTTGTAATGTAATAAAACTATTTCAAAACATTTCAGCTTACATGTCTACTTTTAATTAAGCAGACATTATATTTAAAAACTGCAACCATTACATAAACAGTCATAAGTCTGAAAATGGGACTTTGCAGAAAAAACAAATGTTTGATACCATGCATTTCAGTACTAAATATACTGATGGAAATAAATAAGGAACACTTAGTTTCAGACACAGTAAAATGCTATGCTATCATGGGTTGGTTCCCTGCCTGTCTACCAAATACACGTTGGAAACAATGCACACAAACACATCTCAACATTTGATTGACGTGTTGAATATGTATGAGCACTATTTCAAATGTACTGACAGTAAAGCTTATTTCCCAAAATATTTCATTGTTCCTTATTCATTTCCATCAGTATATGAATTGAAGCTTATGAATTGTACTGTTATGGTCTTAAGATGCCGTAGTTGCAAAACATATTAAAGAAATATAAATATGATTTTTCACCCCTAAGGTCCCTTATCTCATGGTGGGTCACATTTTTTATAAAGAAACAATGACCTTCACTTTATCAAATAAAGCATCCATATGTGTCTGTCTGGCCTTACTAAGTGAGTGAGTGAGTTGGGTTTAACGCCGCTTTTAACAGTATTCCAGTCATATCGCGGCGTGTCAGCTTAATGTGGGAGGAAAGCCCGAAGAGATGCAGGTCTCTGACGTTTACCACTTCGGTGAAACCCACGAGCACGGGTATGGTGCTGACAAACCTAGAAACATAATCAGGGCGAACCGGGATTCGAACCCACAATCACAGGTTTCTGGCGTGTCCAAGGGATGCAACTCTGCACAGCGAATCGCGGCGCCTTAGACGACTGGGCCACCCGTGCCCCCTGGCCTTACTAAGAAAGAGACCAATGAAGATCCGGGGTAGAATAGGACTTCAGCAACGCATGCTTGCCATAAAAGGCAACTATGCTTGTCTAAGAGGTGACTAACAGGATCGGGTGGTCAGGCTGGCTGACTTGGTTGATGCATGTTATCATATCACAACTTCATGGATTGATGCTCATGATGTCAATCACTGGATTGTCTGGGCCAGACTCGATTATTTACAGACCGCCGTCATATAGCTGGACTATTACTGAGTGGGGCGTTAAACAACAAACAAACATCAACATAGAAAGAACACCTATTTTACATTATACAAATAGAATACATATATTTATTATGTTAAATATTAGTGGAAACATGGTTCAATTTTTTTGTAAAAACAACATTATGATGATGGCATACCAAGGAGTGTCTTTTATCTCTTGATATGCAAGGATATCCCCTTCCGATTGTATCTCATTAGGAGCAATGAATCTCCTCAGATATGTTATGTTTATACTCCACCCATGGACCCGGGTAGCCACAGTACTACCCCAACCCGTAGTTAGTAGGGCTGTTACGATTCACTCGTGTAATCGGTGAATAGAACCGTATCCATTCATGAATTGAATTTGTTATTCGTGGCCACTAGAATCGAATATTTATGAATATGCAGTCATGTGTATTTACAAACCCTGTACCCAATAATATCCATAAGAACATATTATATTCATAGATTTCTTTCAAAGACAACACTCTTATACTATTTAATTTGACAATATTGTGGTCACTGGTCATTATCACATTTGAGCAGATACTAGTACCTTGACAAGTGCAGTATATAAATGTATAATATATTAATAATTTGCAAACCATGTCAAAGAATTTATTTTGTTATTCATTCATCTGCTGACTTGTTTTTGTATTCGTAAATTAATATTTGTATTCTTTACCCTATATTCGTGATATGATCGTATTCGCCTCATAATGTATTTATTTGGAGCCCTAGTAGTTAGTCACGTGATATATTGTTTAATGACATAAACTCACTATAGCTCAGTAGTTACACTACAAGGAGCAAATGTTAACATTTCTTTCTGACGATGCACACATTCCCTTTGACTTGTATAAGTTTGAGTGAAGATGAAGCTTCAGTCAACTTCAGTGTACGCATGATCTGATCATTAGATACATGTATCTAATTAGTTTTTGCTAGGGTTCTGGTAAAACAGTTCGAAATCGGACAGTTTGTACCCAACTCTTGAGACCAGTCGGTACCCAGGTAGGGCCGGGTAAAGGGGGTCGGGTACCCGGGTGTAAATGTGGACACGTCCCAGCCCTAGTCGACATCTGTGACCGGTCTAGTAGAATTTGTTTGTTTGTTGCTGAGGCAATATTCCAGCTATAATCAAGTCTGAACATTTCAGTGACTGACGTCATGAGCACCGATCTACGAACCCGTGAATCAATCTTACGACAAGCATCAGTTGCTGGGGAATTGTATTCTTACTCAGGATTGCCCCAGGTCTGTCTATCAGAAGCTTGACTTACAAAATTGAGTAAGAGAGCCATGCATGGTTTTATACATACTGACAATCATCCGGACCGTTTAACATTGCAAGAGATCAACACTCTATTATTGTTAGCTGAAAACTAGAGACTCATATTTTAGCTGTAAACTAGTTTGCAATAAGGCTATTGTTCTCAAGATGATCAATACAATCAGAGAATCTTGAAAGTATCGATCATCACTTCTCTTTCTTCGAAGATTTCAAAGAACACCATACGACTCTTTCTCAAAAGTTGTTTGATCAAGGGTACAACTTTCAGGGCTCAGCAAAACTTTTAAAAAGTGTTAAGGTAGACATGTGAAGGACATTTCCAAATTTGACACATTAGGCCTAGTGACAAAAATTATGTCCCGTAAATATTCCCGTGTTTTTCAGGTGAACAATTTACTTGCCTTTACATGTTTGTGACAGGTGCTACCTGTGAGGCCAGGTGCCTGGTAAGTCATTCATAAACACATGTTTATGTCTGTAGATCTCGGCCTGGTCGGAATCGATTGAGGTCTGCTTTTAAATTTCTTATGCTTTGGGAAATGTTTAATTGTGGCTTTATATTTACTTATCTAAGTCATTATTTTATACGAATACTATATTATAAGCAGCCATAAAACTGTCAGAAGACTGCATTCAGTTTTAGTTTAATTTGCACGAATTTTAAAGTGCACTACACACATTTTTATAAAATGATTTACAGATAATGCCTACCCATACAGAGCCTCACACGAGAAACTTGAGGAGTTGTCTTGCCAAGATACAACTTTTAACTGTCTACAAGAAGATCGAAGTATATCCGACATGTTCTACTACATTGTGTGTATACTCGTGCTATTCCTGTTAGATAGAAAGAATAATTTCCATTGATACTTTTGATTTTAGATGGATCGAAGGTCACTCGTTCGCATGTACCCATAACGTACCCACCTTTGCACCCATCAAAGAACGGCAACTCTAGTTAATATTAGTTACCTTCGATTTATCTCCCTTGTAGTATATACACGCATTTTATGAGAGCTTCGTGACTATTTCTTTGAGTTTTTCTCAATGACAACCAGCAAAGAAATAATTGTGGTTCATGAATAGACAGAATCTGCTGTTACTTTGACAGGAAAATACCGAGATTTTCGAGTGAAATAACTATTTATGACAGCATTTCCCCGATTTCACCCAGTTTGATCTGGGTAGTTATCTATTGGAGATTGTCTGGCGGTATTACTGTACTGGTCAAACTCTGTTTGGTGAACTTGGCCATTTAACATGTTGATGTGATAAAGGAAATTTGGGATGTCCAAGTCCAAAGGCCTTCGTTAACTTATTTTGAGGGGAGGGGGGGGGGGGGGGGGGGGGGGGGGGGTGGAGGGGGGGGGGGGGGGGGTGGAGGGGGGCGGGTGCAAATATTTGTGCAAGTATCACTTGTCCCCAACTTGAATTTTCATGATCAAATAAAACTGTTTTCTATGTTTAAAAAGTCCAGGGGGGAAATTACTACTAAAACAGTGTTCATCTCTTATAATGTGGTCTTGTTTAATTGCCGCCGTGGAACTGACACTGGAACTGGTGATTTTACATTTATTAGTACGAATGGGTCTAGTGTTGTAGATTACGTTATGTCATCCCTTGTTTTCTTTATGTGCACGTTTTCATATTGTATTCCGATCCGACCTCCCGATTACGTGCTCACTGTTGTCACGTGACTTTCCGGAAGCCTCTGATGCGGGGAAATCAGGTGCCTTTCACTTTGATTGCCGCTATGTTTGGGACGATTGTAAACGGGACTGCTTCAAAGCGAACCTACTTGCTGATGAGATTATCTCCGCGTTTGACACTTTTACCGATTTAGTATTTGGTGATATAGATAATGCTGTTAACATCCGAACTGTAGCTATATGTTGTGCTTCTAGCATTGTGAAAGTCATATATCATATTTGTGAGTGGTGGTTTGAAAGAGTGAGTTTGTTCGACTTCAATATAAGAGTGGGGATTCTCTTGACAATTACATTCAAACCAGTAATAGATGTACTGCTTTGATACGGAGGAAAATACAGCTGTGACATGCAGCAGTTTGTTGAATAATATTAACAATAGTGAAGTATGTTGGTGTGTATTTAAGCGACTTTCCAGAAAGTCTTCATCCTTGCTATCTACTGAAAATGTTGAACAATGGCATGAATATTTTAGTGGTATGTTGTCTACAGATCTGGCCGCAGATGTAACTTCATGTGATATTGATAGGGATGATGATGATGATGATGATGATGATGATAACGAGGAAAATGATATCATGCCTGCCACTGATAACGACTTAGATGATAAAGTTTGTTGTTTCTTGTTGTTAAACGCCACACTCGGCAATATTCCAGCTATACGACGGCGGTCTGTAAATAATCGAGTCCGGACCACACAATCCAGTGAATGACATCATGAGCATCGATTCACGCAATTGGGATACGATGACATGCATCAACCAAGTCAGCGTGCCTGACCACCCGGTCCCGTTGGTCGCATTCGACGACAAGCATAGTCACCTTTTACGACATGAATTGGTTGCTAAAGACGTATTCTACCCCGGATCTTCACGGGTCTAGATGGTATAACAAAATGTAATTTTGATAGTCCAATTACTGAAAAGGAAATTGTAAAAGCTATTATGGGTCTGAAATGTAACAAGCCAGCAGGAAATGATAAAGTTATAACAGAATTGTTGAAAATGCACATGATATTTCCATGTTCATTTTATGGCGGTTAAAATCTACAGGTAACATAGCTCTCTACATTGTTTGTTGGATACCGCCGCACTCAGCAATATTCCAGCTATATGACAGCTGTCTGTAAATAATCGAGTCTGCACCAGACAATCCTATGATTGATATCATGAGCATCTGAAACTAAGGTAAGATTTTAATGAGATTGCTCATGTTCCATGTATAAGCACAATCAAATATGTGTGTCTTTGGTTTGCTTTTCGTAAACAAAAGTAGGATCTACATAACGGTTCCAAGGATTTTTGTTTGCAGTACTGCTCTGCTGTGATAAAGGTTTCCGCAATAATCCAGTTATATAACGGCGACCTTTAAATCATCGTGTCGGGCAAGACAAACCAGTGGTTGATGTTATGAGCAACGTCACATTATCGGGGCAGTACGATGGCACGCCTTCAGCCATGTCACCGAGTATGACCATCCGGTCCAGTCACTCGCCACGTACGACTATCATAGGTCGGCAGCGATCTTATCCAACACGGACTCCGACCGGGGAGGTATGTTGATGAAGTGTACCTGACATATTTAGAGGTACACCACGTGATATCGGGTAACACGTGGCCTTCATATAACCACTTATCTGTTCGCACAACGTGCTGCCGCTCTGAAAACAACTACTGGATAGTTTTATAAATATTTCTATGAATATCGTGAATTACCTTGTCTTGATAAAAAAAGAAAAATTGATATCCATAAAATATTTTTAAATTTATACCCAATCTCATTAAAATAAGACCTTAGTTCTCGCTACCGCTAAACAAAGATCTGAAGACATCCCATTAGGGGTCATGTCAGAACGACCTTTCATCCGTCTAATCAGAGCTTCGCTTACCAGATTATGAACGTGACAGTCGGAATGTGATTTCTAATCATGCAACCTCGAAAACTTTAGCACGGGATATTCTGAACGATAGTTACGGGTTAAACAACAGAATCCATACAGTCTAGACCATCTATGACCGCAAGGTCGGTCTGACGTGACCCGTAATGGGACGTCTTCAGATCTTTGTTTAGCGGAAGCAAGACCTAAGATTTGATTTTAATGAGATTGATTTATACCTTTATGATAATTTTCAAGTTGGTCTATTTAGTAGTCCATGTGCTGAACTTGGCAAATAATATCATCTTCAGATACAGTAACACTTCAATGTATGTACAATGTGGTGTATTATTGTGACCATTTCATTAATAATCATAATCATAATCATTATTCAAAAATGGTTTAAAAAGACATCCTGATCGCAAACTTCGTCGGATAAAACACGATTGTCATAATTAAATGAGCGTTTCTTTCAAACAGATCAAGACGAAAAAGCTTCATGAAAGCTGTCTCAGCGAGTGAGTGAGTGACTATGGATTTACGCCGCGGGATTCGGGATATATTAAAGATAATAATTATAATTCAAAAGTATTTATGGTGCAAGAGCGAGCGAGCGAGTATGGTTTTACGCCGCTTTTAGCAATATTCCAGCAATATCACGGCGGGGGACACCAGAAATGGGCTTCACACATTGTACCCATGTCGGGAATCGAACCCGGGTCTTCGGCGTGACGAGCGAACGCTTTAACCACTAGGCTACCCGACCGCCCCTATGGTGCAAGAAATTCGGGTCCCAGTGCCCCTCATGAGTGCGCGTTTCCTTGAGTGCGTGCCTATGATATGTACGTGGTCGACTCGTGTCTCGTAGGCACGAGCAGGTATAATATTTATCGTTTCAAAGCTGTTTTTCAGCTACATTCTTCTAAGATTCTTCTTTACTCATTGTACCATGTGGGAATCAAACTCGGACGCTCAGCCCTAAGCGCTTAATATATTACATGCAGGCAGAAGAACAACAGTTACTGTTGCACGTTAACTATGTTGTCAGGTTTTAAAATTCGGGTTTGGTCATTTCTTCTGACATTTTCGGTAGATATGGGGACAAGTCTAAAGACATCCCTGGTATCGTAAGATAAGATTAGCAGAGTCAATTTTCTGATATTTTCTGTAGATTTTGGGACGAATATGGGGACAAGTCTAAAGTGTGAGTGAGTGAGTGAGTTTGGGTTTAACGCAGCTTTTAACATTATTCCAGTCATATCGCGGCGTGTCAGCTTAATGTGGGAGGAAAGCCCGAAGTGATGCAGGTTTCAGACGTTTACCACTTCGGTGAAACCCACGAGCACGGGTATGGTGCTGACAAACCTAGAAACATAATTGGGGATTCGAACCCACAATAATAGGTTTCGTGCGTGCCCAAGGGACGCAACTCTGCACAGCGAATCGCGGCGCCTTAGACGACTGGGCCACCCGTGCCCCCCTAAAGACATCCCTGGTATCGTAAGGTAAGATTAGCAGAGTCAATGATATCGAACCTAGAAGTGAATATAGATGTTCAACATTAGTGTCATATATTCAAATAGATTTCTGTAATTATTAAAAAGATTGACTGGAAAATTTCCACAAAGATATACTAATATGGCACTTGTAAGATATTTCAACTTTACGGTGACATAAAGTGCTCAATTTCGTCCAAAAATGGTTGAGAATCAAAGTCAACACACGGACGTTATTTACATAACGTCGTTCGTCCAAAGTAGGAGAGCGGGTATAGTTTTACGCCGTTTCCGGCATTGTCACGCCGGGAGACCGCACAAATGGGCTTCACCAATGATGACGTGAGGTGAAATGGGGTTTAAAGTCGCGTCCAAGATTATTGCACTTATATAGCGACGTGCATGCAGGTGTGTGTGTGTGTGGCTGTTTGTACTAGTCCGGACTGATGCCGATTTATAGTGCTAGCTCACTGAGATACCATTCCACAGTTTAACATGAATACCCGACTCAGACACAGTATAGTGACTCCGAGCCGACCAGTCCAATGAACGACATAGGGGGTGGAACGCGAAATTTCGGACTGAACAAGATTACTCCCTTTGACCCCGTCCAAGAGGTGAGTTGAGGTGAAATGGGGTTTAACGTCGCGTTCAAGGTTATTGTCCTTATATAGCGACGTCCTAGCCCATTGAGATACCATGCCGCAGTTTAACATGGACACAATTTTCTGACTCCGAGCCGTCCAGTCCTTGTTTTAGCCTCTTAATGCCGAGCGCCAGGCAGGTAACAATAAGTACCGCCTTCCAACATCTTTTGGTATGACGCGGCCGGGGATCGAACCACCGACCTTCTGCTCTCCGGGCAGACACTCTATCCACTAGACCACAGAGGCGGTACCCCCGCCCAAGAGAAGACAATGGTAGACTGTGAATTCGTATAATGACATTAATTTTATTCCAACGATTTACAAACACAAACAGACACACACTATAGCCAGAAAAGTATTAAATTGAAATAAGAAACAAGAATATAATTCGAAATATATTCGCCAAAAAAACCATAAATAAACATTATGAACGTAGGAATAAAAACATATATATGCATAGATGTAAATAAAGCTTTGAATCATGAAAACTTATGGAATCGTGTCAGGTAATGCCAGCATAAAAATTAAATATAGGAACTATTGATATTTATAGCACATGGCCATATTCAATAAATGAACAATTATTATCACGTGACCACTACATGTGACCCGTCATGTGATATGCAAAATAGCCTGTGGCAGTGGTGTATTACTATGTCATCACGGAACCGGAGTATGGAAGTATTTCGCGGACACACATTCAAGTCTGGTACTAATTAGCTAAATGACATACAGCGCATCGTCCATGGAGGGTTGTATCACCGGAACACTTTCAACAAGTGCATTTTCACAAAAATATAATAGTGAATTAAAACTTTATGATATACTTAAAGCTACACAAAGCAACTGGTTTGTTGTTATAGGGGTTCTTTTCTGCAAGTCAGCAATATCACAGCTGCATCAATCACGCTTATAAATAATAGAATGTTGGCCATACAAACCAGTGATTGATAAATAGAGATTATTATTATACGAGCGTGTGCGTCATACTGCTTTTACGAAGATTTCTTAATATGATCATTCTCTGATAACACAACTCAAGTCTTTCCTATCACCTGATAACCTAGTCACGTGATAATATGAGCCAATGAACTACGTCACAAAATGATCGCGTTTAAAGTTAGCCATCGAGCCATTTTACAAATGCTTACTCAAGTAATTGTTTGTTTTGCGAGATACCTATATTCCAAATGATTAACTGCAAATTTGTGTTCAAAACGAATTATATTGTTGCGTTTTTAGATCACGTGTTACTTAAGATCTTACAACATAGTACTATGGCTCGATGACGATCTCCAAATTACAGCACGTGGACCCAAAGTAACGCTTAAGGGGCTGTTGTCGTATAGGACACTTCAGTACCTTAGGTACCTTTGTGTACACTGAAATGTATCCTAAACAAAATCTGAATACACTTGACAAATGTACCCTTTGCAATGTATGTTTTGTACGAGTAGGCGAATCCACAAACCCGTGAATATCCGGGTTAGAATAGGTCTTCAGCTACCCATGCTGGTGGTAAGAGGCGACTAACGGGATCGCTGACTTGGCTGATGCAGGTCATCGTATCCCAATTGCTTAGATCGATGTTCATGATGTCAATCACTAGATTGTCTGGTCCAGACATGCAGCTGGAATATTGCTGTGTGCGGCGTTAAACAACAAACACACATCGAATCCACAAAATCGCACACCGGTTAGGAAGTCTTCAGCAGATTACGCAAGTATGCAACGAACCGGATTGTGGACATGGACTCGTCCTAGCTTCTGTGCCGTACATTGTTTCGTATAGAGTTCGTTTTGGTATTCCGAGTTTTGCAAACACCCCTTGAAACCTTGAGCCTCACAAACAATATCAACTATCACTAAGGTCGGAGTGCTATGTAAAGAGTTATGTAACCTAAATGTTAAAATAACATATTGTTACACAGGTATACACACATCCTTGATTAAGAGAACAGGTTACACAGTGTGTGATCCACGAGATGCACGTGAAATGTGTTCCCTGAGACTTTCGCACGTAAACCTCGCGACTGTGGTTATGCATGTAAGCCCCGGGGCAATTCCTAGCGCACCAACTCAAACATTTGAATGTGTCGCCTGAATATTACTTATGAGCAAGTACAGAGCTCTTAAAAGAAGTATTTCACTTCTTCAACCATTAAACACTTATGATGACGTCATGCTGTGGTTATTGCTGTTGATTCCTGAGTCAGGAATCCATTGGCCATTCTGAACATGCATTATAAACTGACGCAACTATATGTCATTATGCAGAAGTACAGAGAAATTATATATAAACCATAATACGGTCTAAGACATAGACATCACTCGAGTCTGTATATTGCGGAAGTAGAATTTCTAGGGTGTGCTTCTGAGCCCGTTGATTCTACTTCCGGAATCAACAAATTCCAATGATTTCTCGATTACAAAATTAAACAAATTTTAACATGCTTACTTATTCATTCAATGTTTAGTATTCTCATTAAAAAAAATATCAAATGGACGTAATATATTTTTTTTAAATGATAAACTGTTAATTCAATTGCCTTGGCAAATGACCACATTTGTCTGACTTCGCGGGTTGTACTCCCCGAGGTTTTTAATTAAATTACACTTTCATTTACCTGAATGATAGAAACTTGAATTTCTAACACTGTCAGGCGTTTTCTAACTAGCAATTCTGCTGATCGGAGCACGTTAACTAAATTTGATCCATGATTTCATATATGAACATATTTAGTGAGCGTTGTTAGTTTAACACTCTGTATATGGAAGAATAGAGTATCAGTTGTGAATATATTACTTGTCAATGATTCAATGATTAGATCCACCGGAAGTTCACATCATCACCTGACCTTTCTGAGGGCGCTTTCCCACACACACCACCTGAGAGATCAAAGGTAGATGAACTCTGAGTATGCACAGGGCGACCATTTAAGGGCCCCAATGTCATTACCCAATCAATGGCTGCCCTTGTACATGTCGCTGTGTGGTTATTGTCTATGCTCTTTGAGCTGCCGTCTTTTCTTCAGGTACTCTGTGTGATAGAAGTTGGCAAACAGGGAAAGAAAGGTCCCCGTGTAGCAGACGACGAAAAGGTTTACAAGTTTGGGGAACGCACACGGCCTTAGAAATAATCCCCGTAGAGAATGGAGAATCACGATGGAGAACTGGAGCTGTAAGACACAACAAGACAAAGTCAGTATTGACTAAACAAGTCAAAGTCAGCATTGAATAAACAACAATAATAGTCCATTTACATAGTGATGTTGTCCATGCAAAAGAGATCTATGACCCGTCAATTGATCAGTGAGCACTCGATATTCATTCTCAGCTCCCTCGGGAGTATACGACCCACGCTGCTTATGAAACTCACCCTTCCAACCAGCCTCCATTCACCTACTCACTCACTCACGCAATCGTCCCAGTACGTAGAATCTGTAACTTGGTGAGGTGATGTGAAATGGAGTTTAAGGTTGGTCCTCATATAGCGACGTGTGTGTGTGTGTGTGTGTGTGTGTGTGTGTGTGTGTGTGTGGCTGGTTGTACTTGCTTGTACTAGACCGGACAATGTGTGAAACTCACTCACTCACTTACTCACTCACCCACTCACTCGCTCACTCACTCACCAACCAAATCTCTCATTCACAAACCCATTCACTCACCCACCCACCAACCAACCCACTCACTCACTCACTCACCAACCCCTGCACCCACTCACCAACCCAATCACTCACTCACCCACCCACCCACCCACTCACTCGCTCACTCACCCACCCACCAACCAACCAAATCACTCACTCACAAACCCATTCACTCACCCACCCACCAACCAACCCACTCACTCACTCACTCACTCACCAACCCCCACATCCACTCACCAACCCAACCACTCACTCACTCACCAACCCCCGCACCCACTCACCAACCCAATCACTCACTCACTCACCAACCCACTCACTCACCACCCACCCACCAACCCACTCCCTCACTCACCAACCCACGTACTCACTCAATCACCAACCCATGCACCCACTCACTCACTCACCAACCCACCCACCCACTCACTCACTCACCAACCCACTCACTTACCCACCCACCCACTCCCTCACTCACCAACTCACGTACTCACTCACTCACTCACCAACCCACGCAGCCACCCACTCACTCACCCACCCACCCACCCACTCACTCACTCTCCACAGTACGTACAATCTGTAGCTTGGTGATGTGCTTCTTCCACCACAAGTACTTCTGTATCTCTGGCCCCATGGCGGCGAGGGCGTAGTAGGAGTACATCATCACGTGGATGGCGCTGTTCAAACCCCCCGCTACAAACTCTGAAATACAATTACAAAACAATCATTTTCAGAGTATTGTTCACGATCGTCTCAGCGCTACGACTGATACCAAGACTTTGTGATGGAATGGGAGTCACGATCGTCTTAGTGCTACGGCTGATATAGTACTTTGTTAAGGAATAGGAGTTACGATCGTCTTAGTGCTCCGACAGATATATGACTTTGGTAATGAATGGGGAGGGGGTGCCGGGGATTTTATCCCTCCCCCCAAAAATGTCTTCGAAAATCCTTGAAAAAAATTATTTTGCTTAAGGCTCTTGAACCAAAATAATTGTCTCCCCCAATAATTACTTTGTAGCAAGAGGTTTTCTCTAAATAATATTCAGGCTCATGGTTTTAAATAAAAACTATCTGGGTTTGTAGCTCTAGCGGAAAAAAATCGAATCTCGATACAAAATGGCTTGAGTTTTGATGTAATATATGTGATGGGGTAGAGGACTGGTGGGGTTTGGATGGAGTGGCAAAAGTGGGTTGTCGCACTGACGGCGTGAGCGGTGCAGGTGGACTATGTGAGGTGGGTGTGGCTACTCACTGGCTCCCCCAGGCACGTATCTGGCCGATATCCAACAGAAGAAAGGCATGGTGCCGTGATGGTACACGTGCAGGAAGCTCAGCTGGTTGTTCTTCTTCCGGAGAATAAAGATAACCTGTAACATCAGATCACATCAGTCCTCCTCCTTCATCTTCCTTTATACAGTGCTTCGTCTCATTACATATACATATAAAACTTCGTCTCATTTGATACAAACTTCATCTCATAATATATATAACTTCGTCTCATTTGATACAAACTTCATCTCATAATATATATAACTTCGTCTCATTTGATACAAACTTCATCTCATAATATATATAACTTCGTCTCATTTGATACAAACTTCATCTCATAATATATATAACTTCGTCTCATTTGATACAAACTTCATCTCATAATATATATAACTTCGTCTCATTTTATACAAACTTCATCTCATAATATATATAACTTCGTCTCATTTGATACAAACTTCATCTCATGATATATATAACTTCGTCTCATTTGATACAAACTTCATCTCATGATATATATAACTTCGTCTCATTTGATACAAACTTCATCTCATTACATATATAAAACTTCGTCTCATTTTATACAACTTCATCTCATTACATATGCATTTATAACTTCGTCTCATTTGATACAAACTTCATCTCATAATATATATAACTTCGTCTCATTTGATACAAACTTCATCTCATAATATATATAACTTCGTCTCATTTGATACAAACTTCATCTCATGATATATATAACTTCGTCTCATTTTATACAAACTTCATCTCATAATATATATAACTTCGTCTCATTTGATACAAACTTCATCTCATGATATATATAACTTCGTCTCATTATATACAAACTTCATCTCATGATATATATAACTTCGTCTCATTTGATACAAACTTCATCTCATGATATATATAACTTCGTCTCATTTGATACAAACTTCATCTCATTACATATATAAAACTTCGTCTCATTTTATACAACTTCATCTCATTACATATGCATTTATAACTTCGTCTCATTTGATACAAACTTCATCTCATAATATATATAACTTCGTCTCATTTTATACAAATTTCATCTCATAATATATATAAAACTTCGTCTTATTTTAAACAAACTTCATCTCATAATATATATAAAACTTCGTCTTATTTTATACAACTTCATCTCATAATATATATAAAACTTCGTCTTATTTTATACAACTTCATCTCATAATATATATAAAACTTCATTTCATCTCATAATATATATAAAACTTCATCTCATTATATACAAACTTCATCTCATTCCATAAATAGCAATGTTGGATTCAGCTAAGGAATCATGTTTTGATTTTTTAAATTATGTCAAAAACATGTTTCTGTAATTGTGTAATCGTAGTTTTCATATGTTACCACCCAGACTTGCTGTACTCACACTGTCCATGAACTCGATGATCTTGGAGAAGAAATACCACCAAGCAATCTTTGTCATCTGGGGAGGACAAAAGAACTGATGTTTCAGCGCCTACCAGACAGTCTCTGAAATCATTTGTCTACAGAACTTTGGTTTCAACCAGTCCTAGTTGTGAGCAAGTTCGATTTTCCACCAGTTTAAAGATTATTTCAGTTTCGTCACCGCGTGTCAGCTTGAGGTTGGGTGGGGTTGGGGGTTGGAGGGGTGGGGATGTGAGCCCCAAGTGATGCAGGCATTAGACGTGTATCACTTTGGTGAAGCCAACGAGGATGGGTTTGGTGCTGGCAAACCAGGAATCACAATCAGCGAGTATATGGGATTCGAACCCACGAGTACAGGAATCTGAAAAGGAACGGAACTCTCCACTCTCCACCTAGGACGTCCTGGCCACCCGTACCCTCTTTTCTAGTGACATATTATTTTTTAAATTTTAATTTGTTTTGTTTTTTTCTCTAAGTTGTTCCACTAAAACTATATCAAGCAAATTGTTTTGTGATTAATTGTTTTGGGCTTAGCTCTTTGTATATACATATATAACATAATGAGACACTTACCCTCATGGCTAGCGGGGAGTTTCCTTTAACTACGGGCTGACAGCCGAACAGCGCGTAGTTGTCTAGATATGCGACACCGAAGAACTGAATAAACAGATCAGTAAAGTCGTAAAGAATGTTCAATGCAAGTTACTGGTAATCATATTCGACGAGATGCTATAGTAATCTTTAACCAGTAATAACTACTGGTAGATGATGGCGGCCGTAATAAACTGGCCTCTTCTTGCACTGTATCCGAGCAAGGAGTAGATGTACAACACAGTCATTCCAACTGATGAACTGGGGATGTATGACAGCTCGTGGACGATAAACAAGAGGGTGTATGACAGCTCGTGGACGATAACAAGAGGATGTATGACAGCTCGTGGACGATAAATAAGAGGATGTATGACAGCTCGTGGTTGATAAACAAGAGGATGTATGACAGCTCGTGGTTGATAAAATAGAGGATGTATGACACAACTCGTGGTCGATAAATAAGAGGATGTATGACAGCTCATGGACGATAAACAAGAGGATGTATGACAGCTCGTGGACGATAAACAAGAGGATGTATGACAGCTCGTGGACGATAAATAAGAGGATGTATGACAGCTCGTGGTTGATAAACAAGAGGATGTATGACAGCTCGTGGACGATAAATAAGCGGATGTATGACAGCTCGTGGACGATAAACAAGAGGATGTATGACAGCTCGTGGACGATAAATAAGAGGATGTATGACAGCTCGTGGACGATAAATAAGAGGATGTATGACAGCTCGTGGACGATAAATAAGAGGATGTATGACAGCTCATGGACGATAAACAAGAGGACGTATGACAGCTCGTGGACGGTAAATAAGAGGATGTATGACAGCTCGTGGACGATAAATAAGAGGATGTATGACAGCTCGTGGTCGATAAATAAGAGAATGTATGACATCTCGTGGACGATAAATAAGAGGATGTATGACAGCTCGTGGACGATAAATAAGAGAATGTATGACAGCTCGTGGTTGATAAACAAGAGGATGTATGACAGCTCGTGGTTGATAAAATAGAGGATGTATGACACAACTCGTGGTCGATAAATAAGAGGATGTATGACAGCTCATGGACGATAAACAAGAGGATGTATGACAGCTCGTGGACGATAAACAAGAGGATGTATGACAGCTCGTGGACGATAAATAAGAGGATGTATGACAGCTCGTGGTTGATAAACAAGAGGATGTATGACAGCTCGTGGACGATAAATAAGAGGATGTATGACAGCTCGTGGACGATAAACAAGAGGATGTATGACAGCTCGTGGACGATAAATAAGAGGATGTATGACAGCTCGTGGACGATAAATAAGAGGATGTATGGCAGCTCGTGGACGATAAATAAGAGGATGTATGACAGCTCGTGGACGATAAACAAGAGGACGTATGACAGCTCGTGGACGGTAAATAAGAGGATGTATGACAGCTCGTGGACGATAAACAAGAGGATGTATGACAGCTCGTGGACGATAAATAAGAGGATGTATGACAGCTCGTGGTCGATGAATAAGAGAATGTATGACAGCTCGTGGTCGATAAATAAGAGGATGTATGACAGCTCGTGGACGATAAATAAGAGGATGTATGACAGCTCGTGGACGATAAATAAGAGAATGTATGACAGCTCGTGGTCGATAAATAAGAGGATGTATGACAGCTCGTGGACGATAAATAAGAGAATGTATGACAGCTCGTGGTCGATAAACAAGAGGATGTATGACAGCTCGTGGTCGATAAATAAGAGGATGTATGAAGCTCGTGGTTGATAAACAAGAGGATGTATGACAGCTCGTGGTTGATAAATAGGAGGAAGTATGACACAGCTCGTGGTTGATAAATAACTTTAAGACTGAAATCGGACTACAGCAACACTCAACTCATAAATTATGCAGACCGAACTTTACGACACTCATCTGGCACTTGATAAAGAAGTAATTTACGACATCCACCTCGTACTTTACGTTAGAAGCCGTTTTACGACACTCACCTCGTAGCTGATGAAAAATGACAGGCAGACAAGCAGGACGTTGTACCAGAAGAGGAGGCGAGGAAACTCAAACGGCTTCCGGTGCTCCATCCACTGGGGACCCTTCCACACCACCAGATAGTACAACCCACAGATAGCCAGCACTATGCCAGGACTGTCCATAAGAAGCCATTCGTCCGTGCGGGGATCTACAACCGTCACAATGCTCCTGCTTCTATAGTTCATACATACTTTCAACAGAAAGCGCTGAGATATTGGTGGGCGTAACATATTTTATAAACAAGAATAATTTGTTCCAGAAAGTACTGACTTTTGTTTTGCAATGCTGGATATCCTGGAAAGGATGTGTTGTCAAAATATTGTTCGGTTTCTCTTTTCGAAGTCAATGAATATGTATTGTAGGAAGGCCTTTGGCCAATATATAAGTGTACATTTGCGTTACAATGGGACAGTAAGTGAGTTTGGTTTAACGCCGCTTTGAACAATATTCCAGTTATATCATAGTGTGTCAGCTTGATGTGATAGGAAAGCCCGAAGTGATGCAGGTCACAGACGTTTACCACTTCGGTGAAACCCACGAGCACGGGTGTGGTGCTGACAAACCTAGAAACATAATCGGGGTGAACCGGGAGCCTTGTGGTTAAAGCGTTCGCTTGTCACGCAATAGACCCGGGTTCGATCCTCTACATGGTTACAAGGTGTGAAGCCCCTGTCTGGTGTCCCTTGCTTTGATATTGATGGAATATTGCTCAAAGCGGCATAAAACCGCATTCTCACTAAATCGCATATATTCTCTATACAGATATTCATTAAGCTAGTGTTTAGTGCAGCTTTCTAGATTGAAAAAATATGAATACTGAAGTGTGAACATTAAATGAAATCCATGTGATCACCGTATGTATTTTAGCGGGCTGTGTCTCACGCATATGACTGTCCAAACATAGTTACACCTTGCTTGCCTTTTTAGGCATCGTAATTTAATCAATATTTAATTTCTTGAGTTTACAAAGACTGGCAACCGACCATATAAACCAGATGGTATTGCATTTGTCTGTTTACCGACGTTCAAAAACATTTAACATGGACCTTCTCTAATTCACTTGAAACCCAAAACTTCGGAGCCACAAAGGAAGATAGGTTGAATCTGTGTATCAAATATTTGTATAAGCGGTGGGTATCAAATATGTGTATAAGCAATGTGTAACCGAGATTGTTCGTTGTACCCTCCAGTAACGTTCTTTTTGCCCGGAGAGCTATAGAAGGGTATATTGAAAGTGGGGGTGAATTCATCCCTAATATTTACAGTTTAAAACCACTGAAATCGGTTCCCCTTTATTAGAGGTGAGTTGCCACCTGTTTAATACAACATTTGTCTTTCCCAGGTTAACAGCTAAATCCCTGTTTTTAGATGATTCCAAGACATTTAGCCGATTTTGCTCTTATCAAAGTGAATAAGAGACATCAGTCAACAATATAATATGTAATTCCATATCGGAAAATAATTGTATACATTTTCAATTTCACTTTTAAAAAATGAAAAAAGGGACTTAAAATACATCCTTGGCGTAAACCAGACGGGTAAATACTCAGAAAGGGCATGTTGCATGTAATACAAAATTGAATAGAAGTACATGTATATACACTACGAATCTGAACAAAAACATCTTGGACGTAATGTATCTTTCATGAAAAGCGGAGCCTTCTCGGTACTTACCGGCCTCTGGGAAAAAAGCAAGTTCTTGATACGCAACATCGAAAAACATGGTAGAATTCTTCATGATGTTGCCTAGATGCTGAAAATGAGCAAAGAGCACACGTGAACAAAGATATAATACGCATGACAACGTTAACGATTTCCAGTCCATTTCAAATAAGAATTATTTCCAAGTTTACCATTCCTCGGCTAGCTATATCAGTACATATGTCTGACATATCATCAGTCATTTCTAGGCTAGCTGCCAGTATACATGTCCGATAGTAACATCGGTCATTTCTTGGCTAGCTGCCAGTATATCTGTCCGATAGTAACATCAGTCATTTCTAGGCTAGCTGCCAGTATATCTGTCCGATAGTAACATCGGTCATTTCTAGGCTAGCTGCCAGTATACATGTCCGATAGTAACATCGGTCATTTCTAGGCTAGCTGCCAGTATACATGTCCGATAGTAACATCAGTCATTTCTAGGCTAGCTGCCAGTATATCTGTCCGATAGTAACATCAGTCATTTCTAGGCTAGCTGCCAGTATATCTGTCCGATAGTAACATCAGTCATTTCTAGGCTAGCTGCCAGTATATCTGTCCGATAGAAACATCAGTCATTTCTAGGCTAGCGGCCAGCATGACTTGTAGTGACTTGTACGGAATATACATCAGAATACGGGACAAATGCATTATTAATAAAGTATGAACAAAGCATCTTACAAATGCATCATTGACAAAAGCTATCCTACTCTCTCACATAACAATTTCTCACCACAAAACAACACTGAGGCTCGTCACGCCACTGTCGCCCCTCCAAACACCCCGAACACTATTGCAACATCGACAACCTCGCATTGCGACATATGTCAACAGTGAACGAACACGCGCGCTTCAGTCAGCAATACCAACCTGCGCTTAGGAGGACGGGGCTCGTGATTATGAGTCGGTGGTCATCGTGTACCTGAGGATGGTTATTAATGAAATATGGCCGCATTAGCGTTGTTGAGAACTTGTATAGTATGTCTAGATCACTGTCAATGAATCCGTCAGTCTGAATGAATTGATTTACATATATGAACAGCTGTTACTCCGGATTGCCAGGGCTGATGTTGTAATTTTTGCAAATAGTTTTGTGAACCTGAACCGACTAATATATGCGCATGCTTTAAAACACGTCTGTGACGTCATTCTATTGTTTGAACGCTCCATTATTTTTCAGGAATGGAGAGTTGCTTGTCAACTGTACATTATCTTGAAGCAGCATTTGAATTTTTCAACTACAGAATATTTTGTCAAAGTGTAAAAGTAAGGATGAGTTTTAAGTAGGGGAATATCCTCGTAACTCTCCATTCCTTTAAAATAATTGGCCTCGGCCCCTGCGGGGCCTCTGCTCCATTATTTTTAAGGAATGGAGAGTTACTCGGATATTTCCCTCTACATAGTGGCCGAGAGGGGATATCGCTTTCTCGCCTTCAATTGCGGCCCTGAGAAAGCGATATGCGATAACACGAGACGAGAAATCGATAACACGAGACGAGAAAGCGATAGCACGAGACGAGAAATCTATAAACCTAGAGACGAGAAAGCAATAACGCGAGACGAGAAAGGGATAACACAAAACGTCTCGTGTTACGCTTTATCCCCTTCTCGCGGTAAAGCATTATCCACTCTTGGCCACTATAGGTGTCTCATGTGTCATGTGTATGGTAAAATGTATATACGTAAAATAACAGCCCTGAGTTGTTAAAAAGCACCTCAGAAAAATTAAGGGGTTGACCACCTAATATACGGACATACACCAAATATATTATTCAACAATTATAAGAAATATATGAACAGACATCACCACTTATTTTTGTCTTTTCTTTTATTAACAAATTAGCAATTCCCCTCGGCGAAATACCTTAGTTGTGCGTCAGACGTTAAATAAATGAAATATGAGCGGGTGGTGATTGGCGTTCTTGCCAAAGTCGGATTATATGAGCATGGGTTTGTTTAAGTGTGTTTTTAAAGGAGAATAGGACAATTAATGTTTTCATTTAGTTTGAGAATCATTTCCTTCAGTCAAAGTTTATTCCCATAAGAACCAATCACGGTGGTACAAGAGCATAGTTGGCCGCCATAGTTATATCAACTTCATAAACCCTTAACTTATAGTTCGAAGTTGTGGTAAAAGTACGGAGACATCGCACATTAACATTGCATGATATCCATAGGCTTGTATTTTTACAAAACAATATTGTTCCGGATAATACTCGAAAAACAAAAAATTGTCTTCGATTTGAAAAGATTTTTTTCGGAAAACTTGATGCATATCATCTTCCCGAGGCAAGGAGTCCAGCGCCCACCCTCGCCAAACTAGGCTGGAAATTCGAAGCTTGATCGCTCCGATGGCTTCTATCCCTTTTTGTCCCTCCTGTGGACCGATCGGATTCTATTGCTCATATCACTTGCATTTACTTGAAACAAAATAGCTGCGCCCAGTCAAGACGATCAGATCAAGTTAATCGAACAAAAAATTCACAATCCCTGCCTCAGACACTTACAGTATGTGGATTGCAGCACAATACTTGAACACGTTGATTAAGACATAAAAAGATTTGGAAAATATCCGTCAACGCCCAGTTGATGGTACATATGTTTTAGTAACCTTGCAATCGACCGAAAATGCACGACAGTCGCCATGTTGTTTACGGACCGGATATCGATTACGTTACACGATTTTGATTGGACAATGCATAGACTCGTTAGTCCAGCCAAAATGTAACTCCGGAATTCCAGCCTTGTTCGACAAGGGTGGAACCTGGAATTTTATAGTCAGTTAACTCCCTTGCCTCGGGATTGTCAGCATACAAACACACCGTACCTCCTGATTGGCTGTGAAGACTACACGTGAGGCAAACTGTCCACTATTTTGAAACTTGAAAAAAATGCTGCAGTTTGCTCACTATCTTTAAGGTAGATCATGTTCCACGTGTACAACTCACATTGTAATCAATACCTATCGTCTTTCAATTTTCACTAACTTACATATATATTCTAATTGACAAACCTGAATTCTGTGAGATACATTGGTCTGTTTTTCAAGACTTAACATGAGTGGTAATAATGTTATGTTTTCGTGGTATTTAGCATCTTTCATCCTCCGCCTCTTAACGTCGATTTAACATTCGTATCTTGTAAAGATATAATTTGGTATTGGTGATTCAAACAATGGTTTAAAACCGACAGACGGGGTAGCACTCCTTTTTCGTTTTAAACACTTTTCGTATCAATATTTTTATATAGACACATACAGACAAGTCAGAAACAAACACATCGCACACTTTTTAAAAAATCCTCATCAGCATCTTGCTTAATTAACATGCTCATAGAATATTGATCTGAAACAAGATATGGCCGTCGCAGCGACATAAATTATTCACGCCTCAGCCACCGATTCATGACTGTCTCGGTGTGTTATTCGCTAACCTTATAAAATTTCTATCTGTAAGGGGTTTGAAAATATTTTGAACATCCTAAATCAATCCGTTTCATCAACCATGATATAATATCGATCTGATATAAAATATAGCCGCAGCGCCGACGTAAATTACCTACCATTTGGAGACTGGATATTTCTTTTATTATTATTCGGTAAAATCCCAGGCATCACTTAATTTAATTAGTTATTCGAGAATCAAAATGCTCGGTTCCAAATTAAAATAAGAGGTATCAGTTAGTGAGTGAAACTCGTTTTGAACATTCCGTATTAAACAGTATTCTAGTTAAATCACGGCGTGTAAGATGATGTGGGAGGAAGGCCCGAAGTGATGCAGGTCTCAGACGTTTACCACTTCGGTGAAACCCACGAGCACGGATATGGTGTTGACAAACCTAGAAACATAATCAGGGCGTACCTGGATTCGAACACAAAGATGTCTGGCGTCCCCAAGGGACGCAACTCTGCTCAGCGAATTGCAGCGCAAAAGCCGACTGGGCCTCCCGTGCCCCCTGAATTTACAGTGTAACTACAAAAAGTTTCAAATCACAGTTGGTATATCTCCTGAATGTATGCTGCAGATGTATATGTCATTAGGTGTTAAATATATTTAATATTGTGTTTTCAAATATTCGCAAACAGACCATTCAACAGTAAGGGAAACAATTGCATGTGCATACACATACAGGTGAGCTACAGGTAACCAATGGTGCCCACCGCAATCAATGATTTTCGACCGAGACGCCTTAAATGAATGGGGTTCTGGTTCGGTGACTTAGTTGATTGTGAGTTATTATTCCCCGACGATGTGGTTGCTCAGGTCAGGTGAGGTGAGGTGAAATGGGGTTTAACGTCGCGTCCAAGATTATTGCATTTATACAGCGACGTGCATGTACGTGTGTGTGTTTGTGTGGCTGCTTGTAGCAGTCCGGACTGATGCCGATTTATAGTGCTAGCTCACCGAGATACCATGCCGCAGTTCAACATGAATACCCCATTCAGACACAGTATACTGACTCCTAGCCGACCAGTCCTTGTTTTAGCCCCTTAATGCCGAGCGCCAGACAGGGTAACAACAAGTACCATCTTTTAACGTCTTTTGGTATGACGCGGCCGGGGATCGAAACCCGGGCCTTCCGCTCTCCGGGCGGACGCCCTACCACTAGACCACGGAGGGATTACTTGTGTGTAGATCAGTGACTCCGAGCCGACCAGTCCTTGCTTTAGCCCCTTAATGCCGAGCGCCAGACAGGGTAACAACAAATCCTTTAACGTTTTTTGGTTTCAATGTCTTTTAGTATGACGCGGCCGGGGATCGAACCCCTGACCTTCCGCGCTGTAATGGAGGCCACGGAGGCGATCTGTAGCGGTTCAGACTCGATTATTCACTCACTCACTCACTCAATCATCCACCCACCCAAGCACTCACTCACCCACAACTCACTCACCCACCCATCCACTCACTCACTCACCCAAGCACGCACTCACTCACTCACTCACTCACTCACCCAAGCACTCACTAACTCACCCACCCGACCATTCACTCACTCACCAACCCACTCACTCACCCAAGCACTCACTCACCCAAGCACTCACTCACTCTCACACACTGTCCTGATTTGTTCATTGTTAGTTTTATAAGGACGCGAGTATTTTATTTGCTATTTTATCAAGATCACGTGAACCCATCAGATCTCGTCTGATAGTGGAGGTGTGATAAACTCTATAAATCCCAGTGGTGTGAAGCAACCGTGATCAACCCTGTTGAATTATTGAACCGTGTGACGCGAGTTCAGCTGTTGTTACCAGGATATTGTTATACAAAGTAGGAAGTACGAAGTAAATGATTCGTCCAATTCCTACTGTGTATTGATAATATCAATAGGTTGAAAAACAGTGTTATCTCCAGCTACGAGGTGGAAGATTGCAACATCAGGCCAAAGGCTAAGTGATACATGCTGTCAGCTTCACCTTACATGAAGCAACGCATTTTCATCATCTTTTCAACGTTTTTTCTACAAAGTAATTGCTTCATCAATCATACGATGTTTCATATCGGTGTTGAGCTGCATTCTATCTAAACGTACACCTTACAGTGAGTGAGTGAGTTAACATTTAACGTCGCATCGACATTATTTCAGCCATATAGCGACGAGAACAAGTTGATATGTACACAAGTGAGTCATGAATATAAAGTTATATTTAAAACAAATTTGTCAACATATTTGGGAATAACAATATTATGCATACAGTCTTAAAACACGGGCTATAGGCCACCAATAACCAAAGCTAGGCCACCTCGCTGGGTATGATGGGGACTTACAGCACCTCAGCTTCCTGCATGATACCCCAGCAGGAATTACGTCATCGCTTTAGCTACTGGTGGTTGTGCTCAATACAAGCCAATATTAAAAAATACTCCGCAAAGAGTTGGCTTAAAACACTGGTTGATAATAGTTACATCGATTATGACAGGAATTACGTGTCACACAGGGGGACAATCATTTTACGGTACTTAATCTCTGGGGCAGAGCTTTCGATAAGGCTCGCAAAACGACCTCATCATGTCTTGGCTGACAACGCGAGTAGGCCTGACCAGATGTTGGTTTAAGTTCGAAAAGTTTATTGATTCCTACCTGGGTGTCCCACCTTCTTAGCATTAGATCCCGAGTATAACTCTTGATGGTTGGTTTGAAATCACTATGGGCTAAAGGGTGGAGATAACGGTTTATCAAGAGCTGGTTTTCGACACCTGCGGAAAAAGAGCCCTACTTATTTATAACACGACAAACTTATTACACCGACATCGCCATTTAGGCTCGTTATTTGTTGCCATGACAATACCCAGTGACAGTCGTTACGTTTGTTTGTTGTTGAACGCCGCATTCAGCAATATTCCAGCCATATGACGGCGGTCTGTAAATAATCGAGTCTGGACCAGACAATCCAGTGACTGACATTATGAGCATCGATCCATGCAATTTGGATACGATGACATGGATCAGTCGTTACGTATTTATTGCCTGCATGGTACGTCTTTTATATTTCCTATACATTATATCATTCAGATATTTATAGCAGATCGAGTGTAATAATATTCCGATATTTGCAAAGTTTTATTTTAGCGATTCAAAATTCTGACTGGTCAGTTGCATCGACATGACAACACATTGCTTCATTGTTGAGAATACGATGTGACGACATAAATTATTCGTCACTTCAAAAGCTGATAGCATTTCGTTATCTGAATAACAGGCTGGCTTCAGCATAATTTCTTTGTAGGGTTGACATTTCCTACGCTTTTCTTCATTTTCATTCTAAAACTGACAACAGTCAATAAACAGCATAACCCACTCGAAACTCAATACGGAGTATCTGTCCCTCGTGAATGTATTCTGTAAGTCACTTTCAAAGGATCGGTACAAGGTTAACGCTTTGTCCCAGAAAATATATAATTGGGATAGAAACAAACAACTCCCTTTAAATGAATAGGATCTCCTGTGAGATGTGAGATTCAGAAACTGAGGAATATCTAGACTTGCTTCATTTAGGTCTATAACAGTACAGTAAGGGCTGGGCAGAAGGGAAAACAATATAGTTCAGGAACTGTGAGGCAGTCTAGCTCGCGACTTACATCATTCATTCACACATAGACTTAGACATATAGACATATATATGTTATTTATGTGTCACATGTTGTATGTGTACACATTAGACATAAAAATTGCCTAAATACATACATCGGGCCATGAAAGGCCGATGAGACACAATGGACAATAAAAAACATTATTTATATAAAAGAATTATAAGTTATAGGATTGCAAAACCCGATAAAAATGAATGACAGTTTTAAGTAAGGAAAAGTTGCCTACGTGCAAACATTTTTGAAATAAGTGCGGCAAGAGGTTTTATATACGTGTTACAGTTCATTAAGAACACTGACTGGTCCACAGGAGAAAATGAAATAAATATATGATCAGACTTTATTATTCTCGACCATAAATCATATCTTAAGTCAGAATAAAATGGACAGTTAATGAGAAAATGTATCTCATCTTCTACAGCTTTATTATTACATAATTTACAAATTCTATCCTGTAAAGGAGTGATAATTCACTATTGCTCGTTAGTATAGATTAGGTCGCCTAGGACTACGTTTTACTTCTCCCTCTATTGTTACTGTTACATCATAGGCATTATGACGCCACAAATACTACCGCTGTGCGTCGCCCAGGACTACAATATAAGTTCAAGTTTCCATTACACCTGAAGAGCCCTTGAACGGCGAAAGATCTTGTGTGAATAAAGGAGTTTTGACAAGCACGAGTATCCGGACTCTGTTTTGTTTGTTTGTATATTTAATACTTATACACCTGATGAAATCGCTTGTTTATACATAAACTCTCTGTAAATAATCGAATGGACCAGTCAATACAGTGATTGATATCACGAGCATCGACCCAGGCAATATATATATATATATATATATATATATTTGTCGTAAGAGGCGACTAACGGGATCGGGTGGTGCATGTCATCAATCTCATCGATCTCTTTCTCTCTCTCTCTCTCTCTCTCTCGCTCTCTCTCTCTCTCTCTCTCTCTCTCTCTCTCTCTCTCTCTCTCTATATATATATATATATATATATGAAACCTATGCAAGTCTAAAAAGTTTCTTTTGAAAAAGCTATTACAATTATTCCAAGGAAATGTTTTCACAGACTAAGTGTTAGTCCAGAAATACTTGTGATGCGCCAGATACATGATATTCCTATGTATACTGGAAACATGAGATCCACAGTGACCGTAAAAAACAGCAAGTAGGTCAAGCAGTCGTGTAATGTTGGTGTGTCGTGTTCACTTCTCAGTTGGTGCAGTATTTGCCCAGAAGTGTGCTTGCAGTGAGACGCACTCTGTGTGTGTGTGTGTGTGTGTGTGTGTGTGTGTGTGTTTGCGTTTGGTGGAGCATCTACGGCGTTATTCCGACCACGTTTCAGTTGCGTCCCTTGGGCACGACAGAAATCTATGATTGTGGGTTCGAATCCCGGTTCGCCCCGATTATGTTTCTAGGTTTGTCAGCACTATACCCGTGCTCGTGGGTTTCACCGAAGTGGTAAACGTCTGAGACCTGCATCACTTCGGGCTTTCCTCCCACATTAAACTGCCACACCGTGATATAACTGGAATACTGTTCAAAGCGGCGTTAGACCCCACTAATTCACTCACTAGACAACCGCCTAAACGACCCATATCCACCACTGCTAGGCTCTCTGCGAGGTAACAAACACGAGGATGAGATGCTCAATTTCAAGAAAGAAATGAAATTTAAACATTAACATTTAGAAATACACATGATTTATATAAGGAGAAATCTCGAATAAGATGTAAAATCTGTCTTGAATAGCACTAGACATAAATGGCTCCCTGTAAATACACATATAAAATAAATACAGTAAACTACGGTTATAACGAACACGCTTATAACGAACTGGCGGATATAACGAACTTACGTTTTGGTCCCGACTACTTGCTGTAGTCATGCTGCATATGTACTTATAACGAACTACGGTTATAACGAACTAAAATTAGTAGTCCCTTTGAGTTGGTTATAACCGTAGTTTACTGTAGTATATCTAACAAACGAACTACTACATGAATATGAATATAGATATATAAACAGACCTTCAAACGCCTTTACAGACTGGCGATAGTTGCCTAGTATCTCGGCTAGCTGTTCTCGCATGCCACTTAAAATGACTACGGCCACACCACTTTTGTATTCGATATACGCTCATTGCGCGAGATGGGACGAGAATAATAATGCATGGCACTAAGAACACCCGGTGTCCCCTCAAAATATAATTTTATTAATATTAATAGGATATACCTCATAACAGAAATGATCGACGGCATGTGTACCAGCTCGTGACGATGGCACACAGCTGTGACATGTGTATCTGTGAATATGCATTAACGAACTTATGACCCTGGCTCTAGGTCGCGGTTACCAGGGGCCTATATACAAGTCCGTGCTATGTTTAATTACACACCTCTAGAATGTTATCCCCTCCGGCGCGAGTAATTGATAGTGCACGAACCGTTTATAAATTTGACCACACCCTAATTTCAACATAGCAAACATTGGCAGAGTGTCACCTCCAACCCTGCGCCGCCCCCCTCCTCCCTATCTTCACCTCCCCCATTCAAATTCATGCCATGCACTAGCAGCGTCAACGTCCATGACAGCCACATGTCTGTTATATCATGCCCTACTAACGCGACTTCGTGTACATGCGCGAGTGGGCAGCTGTGTCCACCGCCTGATGTATGGAAGATCAACACGCAGTTCGAACATTCAAATGCGTATATGAGTGTCAAATGGAGCCAAAATTAAATCCAGGTACTGTAGAAAACCTCAAACTCCATTTCAAGCAGGTCGTTCCCCTCGCGCTCACTCGCGTAAATTCTCGTAACACAAACCGGTGCAGGAAACCGGTGTGCAGTCAGTGACTCAGGCAACTGCGGATGCCCTGCCCCAAAGGAGGAAACAACATCACGCCACTTTAAACACATCGTTGAATGTGATAACCGATTGGATACATTATCAAGGACATTATCCTTTGGACATGAGTCTACACAATCTCAACACGTTTTTTATCACACTGTACGCCCATATTTGTCACAATCAGTAGCCTCCCTTGTCAAAAAGGTCAGCTTGACCGTACACTTTTACATGGAGATTGGGTTGAAGTTTTTTTCAGATTCTAGATTAAATCGCTAGGAGTGAGGGACAAGATCGGAATGTATGCCTTTCTATACGAGTATCGAACAAATAATGACGTAACTATGCCACAATTTCACAACTTCCTTGTAGTTAACTCACCAGTTTTTCCACAGGTCCCTTTACCCACGTGTTGTAACACCGGTAAGTGTGTTAGCAGGTACGAGAAGTTAGAGTCGACCTACCTTTTTTACGCCAGCTATCTCGTTCTCGGGGGATCGCAATGCCGGTCACAGCACGTGGGGAGCACACCCTTACTACCACTACCGGCCGTCACAACACAGTAGTGTGTATAGATACCGTCACACTCGTCAATGCAGTTTGACCCCGTCTGATCGCGTCAGGGTCACGAAGTATGCCGGTAGGTGGGGCGTTGCGAACAACTGAAGCGTGCGGGTAAGGGGAGATGAATATATATCGTCGTTTCTTGTGTAGATGTATGTTTGAATACACAAGAAACGGCGTTATTGGTTAGGTGTAATGCGAGCCTCGACTTTATATCCGTTGATGCGCGTAGTTGAACATGTACCGTCATACGACAGAACCTGTACGTGCATGTTGCAATATTAACCCTTCCACGGCTCACGCTTTCAATAAGCTATTTAAAACGCACAAACACCAAACAGACAGCATGGAGTACAGTATTCATTGTACTAGAGCTCGGGCATTATTTCCGTTGTCAAGGGGTCATTCACCTAGGTGGCAACTGTTGTATGTTTCCCATAGACGAGAGTATAAATACATGTGGAGGGGTGAAATAGCCTTATTAATATCCGAAATATTTTATTTTTTTTATCAACAACCCAGGCCGATGAAGTTTTGCTCATCGGATCGACATCGGCCCAACGTCGGCAAACGTCATCGGCCCTGCATCGGTGCTGCACCGGCCCAGCATCGGCCCAGCGTCGGCAAACATCGTCGGGCCGATGAAGTTTTGCTCATCGGATCGACATCGGCCCAACGTCGGCAAACATCATCGGCCCTGCATCGGCAATGCACCGGCCCAGCATTGGCCCAGCGTCAGCAAACATTGTCGGCCGATGAAGTTTTGCTCATCGGATTGACATCGGCCCAACGTCGTAAATAGTTATCTGGCCAGCCTTCGGCCAGAAATTGGCATTTGTTATGGAATCAGCATCGGATGGACATCGGCCCAACGTCGACAATAATTATCAGCGCAGCATCTGCCATCTGCCATGATCTTAAATAGGCTGATGTCATCAGAAGTCATAACTGACATCTCATCTTAATATTTCATGTAAATGATGCCACAATAGAACTTTTCCAAGTGTAGTGTTAGGGTACATAAAACTAAACATTTCTAAAGGCTCCAGCTAGCCGTGATGTTAAAGTTACAAAGATAAAAGGTAAAACTAAAAAATACTGAATTTTTAAAAAGATAATAATTTTTTATCATAGTTGATACTTTGAAAACCAAATGTAAGTAATATAAATACTTCTAGCTGTACAAAACAATCGAAATGCTTACACTAGTTACAATACTATTTTTTATGTACCCTAATACATGTGTAGTTAATACTTATAAATAAACACAAAGAGCAAAATAGAATAATAAACTTTATTATTAATTAATTATTATTAACAAGAAAACAGTGTTACTACCTGCAACAAGGCGGATGTGAAACATATATTCTCAAAACCAGTTTTAAAACACAGTCTAAACATATACCCCTAATATTGACCTGCAAAATTTCATTTATGTGGCTTCAAATTCGTTTGTGAGACAAACTGTTTCCCCCTATATTTCATCAAGTTAAAAAAGCATGAAGCAAAGGCCATAACTCCATACAAAATAAGTTCTTATAACCATCTTATGGAGTTTGTACCTTAGATAAGCACAGACGGTTTCATTTATTAACTTCAGTAGTGTCCTGGCAGTATATGTACCAAGTTCAAAAACAAGGGTCATAACCCTGTGAAAAATATGTTGTCAACACCAACTTTTTGGATTTCTTTGTTCTGTTGCAATTCAGCACTTTTGTTTGCAGATTCTCTTTCTACACCTCTGTTTTTCAGTACGCGTTTTCCTTATGCCATTTCTAAGCCTTGCTCCTGGAACTCGAAGCCATTCTTTTACCCAGGTCACCATGTACTTGTCAGTGGCTTGTAAGAGCCCAACTGCAGGCTTCCTCCTCAGCTTCTGTTTACAAATGATAGCAAGAAATGTCAGTGTGCATATCATAAGTCATTGCATGCACTCTCAAAATTACAAGTAATGGACTTCACAATTGTGTCAAAACAAGTTATTGATAACATAATGGAATAATAGAATACGTAATACCCTGTTCACATGCATCACCTTACATATGTGTGTATATATTATTTTAAGTCTTGACACCTGTTAATAAATACAGGGTTCACTAGGGCTGTTACGATGTACTCGCGTATTCGGTGAATCGATCCGTAACCATTCATGAATTGAATTCGTTATTCATGGCCACTAGAATCGAATATTTATGAATATGCTATCATATATATTTACATACCCTGTACCTAAAAATATCTATAACAACATATTATATGCACAGATTCTTTCAATGACAACACTCTTATAATATTTAATTTGATAGTATTGTTTTCACTGGTCATTGTCGCATTTGAGCAGATACTAGTACCTGGATAGGTGCAGTATATAAATGTATAATTTATTAATTAACAAACCATGTCAAATAAATTATGTTATTATTGTTTCACTGAATATAATAAATAATACATAAACTGCTGACTTGTTTTTGTAATTGTTCATTAATATTCGTATTCGTTACCCTATATTCGTGATATGAATCGTATTCGCCTCATAGTGTATTTGTTGCAGCCCTAGGGTTCACTCAAGGAATATTCTGCCATGGGCCCTTTATGTGACAATTTCATATATTCCCTAGGTACACCCGCACTTGCCCATACAGCACAATGTTAAAATGCCCCATTGTATTTGAAAATGTGGGCCTTTTTCGAAATTTAGGGGCTAAAAGCAGAAGGCCCCACCCTAGAATTATCGGAATCCCAGTGAGTAAATTGATGAGTTAATAATATGTGTAAATAAGTAAATTGAATTATGTGTAATTATATACGCAAATAACATAACAACTCCCAATATTGTATGGTAGGTCCCTAATCTGTTTCTTATGTCAATTAAAAAAGGATTTTAGAACTGACATATCACCCTATTAATTTAGCCCAATAAACATCCCCAATAACCACATAACCCCCCTCCTCCAATCTTGCTGGAGAACCGTTTTAGGTGTGCAATCTCTCTTGTATGTCCATCAAAAGTAAGTCAGCATGAAATTTCATTTGGAAGATTACCATAGTATAGTGTCAGGGGCCCTTAATAGGGCAAACATGATATTAAATATATGCTTATAAATATTTCAAGCAGAAACATGTATCAGTTGGTTTGGTTTGTTGTTTAACCCCTCACTCAGCAACATTCCAGCTATATGACGGCGGTCTGTAAATAATCGAGTCTGGACAAGACAATCCAGTGATTAACATCATGATCATCAATCCATGCAATTGGGATCGATGACATGCATCAACCAAGTCAGAGAGCCTCACCTCCCGATCCCATTAGTCGCCTCATACAACAAGCATATAGTTGCTTCTTACGGCAAGCATGGGTTGCTGAAGATATCTTCTGCCCTGGATCTTCTATATGAATCAAAATTGGAGTAAATATCCCATACTTGATACATCTAAAGAAATTTAATCCACTCACCAGTACTCTCAGTTGCTCGATTTTGGAAAAGCTGCTAAGAGTTCATTCAGCTCACCCATGTTTGCCAATAGGCAATGGCTGAACATCTGGTTTTCTTAAATAGAAATATAAGTTTGTGTAGCAGCAGTGAGCACTTAGCTATTATGGTGATGATGTCAAGAGGTTGAGGGGAATATTGCTCAAAACATAAAAGTAACATTTAAATAAAGCTTTGGCCATACACAGACATCAGGTCCTTTCCTTAATTCATACATCTTATCTCGTATATTTGCACTTTTACATACAGTGTAGCACTTGTACATACAGTCCTTATCTGGAGCCATGTAGCAGAAATAATTTCCCAGGGAAAGTAGTTTCACTTTAATAGCCATAGCCCCATCCCTGAAAAGTCTGGTTACCACAAAACAGATTTCATTTATTATATGATACCAAAATATATGTAGATTACATCATGGTAAACCAAAACTGCAAATAAACGTTTATCATTAAAAGATCAGATACAAAGGTAAGTTCATATTACAAACACTTGTATGCAAAAAATAGCAGGAAAGTATTGGGGACAAGTAATTTTATGCACAGTTTCATTGCTTGTAAACATAGGAAAAGGGATAATGATAAACTGAAATAATATATCTTTAGTTAGAATAAATCAAATTTGAAACAAGGCTCTGGGTGTTTTTCTACAATGGATAATGTCCTGAAAAATCTGTACTGAAGTATCTTCATCAAAGTTTTACCATTAATTTGAATTTTGATTAAATAAATGACATTCTAAATTGTCTTGGATTATATATTCAGCATCATACCTTTGAAATAGTACATTTAAAAAAAGATTAATTCAGTATTTCATCACAAATGTACATCATGGGCTAAATTACTTAACTAGATAAGACTACCATACTACAAAACATCAATTTTATTTTTTTTATTTCAACTTTTTGGTGATCGAAAACCGAACTCGGCAGTGTAGCTCCGCTCATCGATCAGAAGGAACATTAGCTGGATCGCATGACATGCACACGCAATGCTGAAAGTTTCCGAAAGCCTCGTTATGAATTTCATGTTCACTACTTTTTGCATCAGAACGTGCACATTAAGGCAAGGACTTCAATGTTAAATATGAACACCTTTGTCCCAGAGGTGACAGAGGTAATCAAAGTGGACGTACCACCCCAGGCTACCCTCCTCAATATTAAACTTACTGATACCCGTGGGAGTGGGTACGGGTAGAGGTGGGGTGGGGCGCAGCTTGTAGTTTCTGCTCAGCAATTTATCTTTCGAAGAAGTATAATTTCTCTACCCAAAATACATTTTTCGCTGACGGGCCGGGCGACCAAAAACCAAAAAAAAAAATTGAAATCCTTTCATTGAAATAAATGTGTATTTTAAATCAGTTAATTACAAATGAGTAAAAAAAGTATGACACAATTAGTTTACAATCGTTATTGCCTGACATTGATAACACTACGCATTAGAGGTGTAACGATACGGGAGGGTCGCGATACAGGGGTCGCGATACGATACGTATCACGATACAGTGTTTACTGGTACAAGCTAAGCCAAGTTGATGTCTTTCTGCTCTCTAAAAGATGTGACAAGTACAGTTGAAGAAGATATAAGGTGTTTATTTACTGTTATAGCAAATTGTCATCAATACAGTATGTTTTACTGAAACAACAAACTGGCTTTGAAATTGTTAAACGTATTTCATGTTTAAAAGTACCGTATTTTCTTGAGTATAGTGCGCACCCATGTATAATGCGCACCCCCTCTAGCGGGTTCAATATTTTGGAGAAAAAAAAGAAATTTGAATATTATGCGCAGAAAAAAAATACACCGTACCCCTTTAGCGAAGTCCGGCAAACGAACGGCTGATGAGAAACTTCGTCAGTACAAATTCGAAATTTGAGATAATAAATGACCAGACATGTTGATTTACCGTTTAAATTGTATTTTTTGTTCAGCTAGGCATTGTTTTATATCCAGGGATTAAGATTACCTTGTGTATTTTCTCGTAAACTAAGCCGGACACAGCAATCAGCTGTACACACGTTTTCTTGGAATCTACCAGTGATCCGGTCAAGACAGGATTTTAGTGCAAGGATCGGCAAAAGTTGTATCTGAAACTATTTTTTATCAGGAATAATATATTCCAATATCTTGTTAATTTAGATGCAGCTTTTACTTAACATATTTAAAATAATAATAACCCTAAGCGAAGCAGCTGATCGCTATTGCCGGGTATTATTTTTTACATGGAACCAGTCTGACCAGTCACCGCCAAGGCTCCCGTGCACGTGATCGCGAGAATTACGTGTTGACATAGAATCGTCCAACAAATACAAATATGACTTTTAACGAATCAAAGTATGGCATTTATGATATATGTATCCATTATCTGTCAACTAAAGTTCGTTTCAAGGCGTCAATAGGGGTAATCTGACCGTGGTTGTTGTTAATAACGGTGAGTTGTGCGATCTTCCGATCGCTTCACACACGATTTCGCCGAAATTAATTAAAACAATATTAAAAGGAATTTTGAATAAAATTAATGAAATAAGTTACAAACATAAGTCCAGATATATATCGTATGTATCGCGATCCTCCCCCCCCCCCCCCCCCCCCCCTTTATTTCTGTATAAATTACCACAAAGACAATAAATAAATAAATAGATCTTAATTGTGCACCCCGCACCACCACCACACCACACACACCCTCCTTTTAAAAAAAGCTGTATCCGCCCATGCGCCGTATCGTTACACCACTACTACGCAAAGGATCTCATTGACTTTCATAACATTCATTTGATTAAAAAAAGTCATATTCAAAAAGGACAGTTATTAATATATTTCTAGTATGGTAAAATACCACTTTCATATTATTACTAATTAACCCTTCCTGTTTTGCTGTCTGAAATCGAATCAATATTTTTTGCAACCACGGAGAACGTCTCGTCCTCAAAAATAGAATAATCACAGACACAAATATAAATTATTATCTAATTTAATCAAAGTCAATAAATGATAAACAATTTACATATCGCCATCATTACGTCCAGCTGTTGAAAGCACGGACTACAAACATCAGGTGCATGAAACCTTTTTTTCTAAAACGCAGGTGAGAAAACACTTTTTTTTATTGGAAGTGGATTAGAGTCAACCCAGTAGGTTTGGTTAGGATACAATATGATATATACCCTCACCCCCACTGTTCACATATGTTGCCTAATTAATATCACCAGATGGAGCAGATAAAATCACGTAACCATGGAAACGTGCCATTAAACGTTATATAGTTTGTACATCCCGGGGGTCGTAGCTTTATTTGTTGACTAATCAATGATCATCTTCAGAAACATTTCATGCCACAAGTATGAATTTATTGTCTGATTTTCGTCATCCTTTTTCAATGTTTTCTTGTTGTGGCGAACGGGTGGGTTGTTTTTTCATAAATAAGTACACACTGCTGACCCAAAAAGTGTCGAGACGTAAAAAGATAAGAAAAAAAAGACAAATCCCAAAGCGATTTCAGAGCAACGGCTATCGTAACTTTCATACTTTAGCAAAGACTTTTTATTCCGACAGCCGTGGCACTAAGATCACGTTGTGAGTGAGTGAATGAGTGAGTGAGTGTGGTTTAACGCTGCTTTGAGTAACATAACGGCCAGGGACAAGAAGACTGGGCTTCACATTGCACCCATGAGGAGAACGTCACCTGGGTGTTGAGAGAGTAAGTGAGTACAAAAATAGTAGAACAATTATTTGACATCCATCCACGTATCTTCGATTATCTAGGGTATCATACACGTTGCTCCATTCTGTTATGACACAGATACCCTGGACACATTCGCAACCACAACCTATTCGAATAACTCGATGCTAAAATTAGACGTCCAATTAGACTTCCTAAACCAAACATGCGGCGATAACTCGCCCTTTTGTTTGACAACTGGGTCTTCCCTTGTCTGTCTCCCAGGCCCAGGGAATGTATAAAAAAGGAGTCCAACTCAAACCTAGAATGATTTGGCAAGTCTAGATTACCTCATGTCCAGGGATTGGTCTGGGCTCCATTTGAATTTTACTTTTAATTTGGCGAATATATATTTTCAAATGAAATACTTTATTTCTAGAACTAAATGTAAGTACTCACGGAGTCATTTTTACCATCTATGAAATCATTTATAACAGTCTTGTGATTCGTGTAAATTACAGGGATAGCTCGCTCGGTTGAAACCGCGATTTTGATTGAAGATCAATGCCCAAGGCGCTCAGATGAGGCATTTTGATTGGTTGTAGATTTAAGGGTCACGAACAAGAGAAAATCTGTGCTAACTTTGTGATAGGGCTGATGGAGCTGGTGACGTCATTTCCAAAACAAAGCCATGGTGGTGAATTGGGTAAGGGTATGTATCTCAATAGAATGGAGATGTAATACACAGGATAATTGAGGATGTCACATTAATCACAGCGTATGGGCTGTGAACTAACTAATTAATGCCCTGATTAGCCAATGTCCGGTTAATAAGTATCAGGATTTACGAATGTCCGATTAACAAATATCCGGATTAGGGTGTGTCCGGATTATCTAGTGTCCGATTAACTTATCTCCAGATTAAGCCATGTTCAGATTAACTAATGTCTGGATTAGCCAGTGACCGGATTAACTTGTCTCGGGATTAACGACTGATGAGGACTGTCCTTAGCATACATGTGGTCGTTTCCAGTAGGACCCGGATTATTATCGTGAACAGAGGCGCCCAAACGATTCCGACCTGTCATGATAAGAAGAAAAAAACAAAAAAACATTTGATGTGAGAAAACAAGACACATTTGACGCTCTGTGTCATGAAGACATGTACAATGCCAACTCGTCAATCGGGACAGTTTGCCCTTTAGATAAACGAGTTTCTCGACCAACGATGGCCGGGTCGGCAGTAGAGGTTCCCTGAGTAAGGAGGTCCGTGTAAACCAGGTGTCTGGCGTACGAAGGGCCGTATAAACAAGGCGGTGTTCGTTAAAAGGTCTCAGGTGAACTAAGGTTCGTATTCACAAGGTTCATGGTATCCGTATTAAGACAGTCACACTGTATCACACTTTCAACATAGTTAACATCCAATGAAAGAAGCAAAGTCCTGACAGGCAACCCAGTGAAAAATAACAAAAAATGTTCGGTGAAGAAGGGTGTCCGTTGTGTAAAATAGAGGCTAAAATTGATCAAGAACCAATGCGGTTTTCTATGAGTGAGTGAGTGGTATTTTAACAATATTTCAGTTATAATCACCCGTCAGATTCGAACCACGATCACAGGATTCTGGCATTCATAAGGGACACAACTCTACGCAGCAAATTGAAGCATAAATTGTGCCCCCGACAGAAGGATAGCTGATGGTGACTCCGGAGAGAAGGGAGTGGGTGGATTAGGTGGGTCACGCGGTGATGGTGCGTGGAGGGGGATGAGGATGGGTTTGCTTGGATGCAGGATTCATTCCTTCTTAAGTCCTCTACTCCTGTACGTGGCTCGGTAGAAGTTGGCAAACAGTATGATCATGATTACAACATAACAGAAGGCTGTGATGGACCATCCCACAGGAAAGCCGCAGTGGCTGCCGAAGATGTTGCTAGCGAGGTGGATGATGATAAGGCAGAACTGTATCTGAAACAGAAAGTAGATGTGAGCTTATCGTTCCCCTGAGTCGCAAATGTAACGCAAGCATTTAACGAGTTGACAATTCTTTTAGCTATGCCCCTTTGCGCTTAGACCCAGTACCCAGTCGCATAAATGGCCACGAGAAGGGCACGACTCGCTATTCGGCTTGTTTCCGGTGCTGACAAACTAAGAAGTATAATCGGGGCGAAGCTGGATTCGAACCCACGACCATAGGTTACTGGCGTGCCCAGGGGACGCAACTCTGTACAGCGAACTCATTGTCTATAGGGAGGGTAGAGATTTTCTGCATACATTCCCCGACCGACCACTTCGGCTTCCCGACCCACCCATTCCCGATCCAATCATTCCCCGACCCCACCCATTCCCCGACCCCCTCCAGAGCAGCGACATTTTCCTTCCACGGCCCCAACCCCATCCACCCTGTGTCCACTCACCAGTTGTAGAGAAGTGAGGTATTTCTTCCACCACAGGTACCTGTGCAGCACTGGCCCAAGGGCAGATAACCCGTAGTAACTGTACATGAATATGTGCACTAAGCTGTTCAACAACGGATGGAAGAACGCTGCAAAGAGAGGAGGGTAAATTAGATGGGTAGTTCTGTCTTGAGGGAGGGATGAATGATGATGCGTAAGTATAGTGTCATGAGTCACATGCACCTGGTGTGGTTAGGTAGCTAGCTAAGAGGGTAGAATTGGGAAGAAGGGAGCGGGTGGGATCTTGTTTGTTGTTTAACGAAGCACTCATCAAAATTCCATCTATATGACGGCGGTCTGAAAATAATCAAGTCTGGGCCAGACAATCCAGTGATTGACATCACGAGCATCGATCTACGCAATTGGGATACGATGACATGCAAGTCTGCGAGCCTGACCGACCGATACCATTAGTCGTCTTTAGGGACAAGCCAGGTTGCTGAAGATCAATTCTAAACGGAATCTTCAGGGGACTGGGGACTGGGGCGTCGGCTGAAGGGTGGTTAGAGTTAAAACAGTGAGGATAGATTATATTTACGGGATTCCTTTTTCGAAAGTAATTTGAAAACAATATTTTTGGTACAGATTTTACAAAAGCTAAAACGTCGTAGGGCGGTCATTATAGACTTCCCCATGAAATAAATGATGTGTAAAAAAAGGTTATTCAGTTCCTTATTTCACCATGTCCGTTGTCTTGAACCAATGTCCGAAAACACTACCTCATTCCATATATCCTGAGGTGAGGTGAGGTGACGTCGCTTTCAAGATTATTGCACTTATACATAGCATTGTGCACGCAGGTTTGTGTTCGGCTTTTTGTACTAGTCCCAACTAATGTTCGTTTCATAGTGCTAGCGCACCGAACTACCATGTCATAGTTTAAGTGGATACCTAAGTCAGACACATTATGCTGACCCCGAGCCGACTAGTCACTGTTTCATCCCCTTACGCCGAGTTCCAGGCACGGTAACAACAAGTACCAACTTTTAATGTCTGTTGGTATGACGCGGCCGGGGATCGAACCACCGACCTTCTGCTCTCCAGGCGGACGCTCTATCCACTAGACCACGAATGCTATCTTATACTGTCTAACATAACTCACTGTGTCCGCCCGCTATATACTTGACGGTCAGCCACCAGAGGATCACCATGGTACTGTGGTGAAACACGTGCAGAAACGTCATCTGCCCGTTCTTTTTCCGCAGAATAAAAAACATCTGAAAAACAGCTGACAGTGGTCACGTGGGAAATCAACACACAATGACAAATGTTATAAAATCGTGGTACCTAATTTGAATTATTTTTTTAAAAAGACAGTTAGCCAAATATAAAAATATGCTTTCAAAACAGCTTGGGTAGGGAGGGAGTGTTTTATATATTTTGTTACTTTTTAGTATGTTAAAAATCTTTAACTCTAGAAAGTAAACTTGAGTCATGAATACCACGCGACAAGTTTTTGGAATACACAGCTAAACGGCGCCTCATACGGGTCAAAGTAAATTCATGAGAAACAACTAATATATTAGTTAGTAAGTAACTTTATGGATAATAATTTCTGATTTTTTATGCAAATAGCGAAGTTTCGATGTAGAATCTTACACCGTTATCAAGTTGATAAGAGGTATGCATGACATATTGTGATAAGCAGCAGATTAACAGTGACAACAACGGGTAATAGATAACAATTTTATTTAACAAGCCTTGTCGAGAGTCCTAACTGTGCATCAGTCGACTGAACGTCCATTGTGTCAATTCAGGGTTCGTCAGTAAGATGTGATCATTCCACATAGATTTGATACAGCTCGTTTTGTGAATCTGGTTCTATTAAACAGTACAATCTACCAATTACACAACTGTACGTTGAAAACACAGAATGATAATCTTCTAAAGATAATAATGCCTTTTATCACATGCGCTTATTAAATTCTTACCGTATCTAATAACTCTACAACTTTAGATGCAAAATACACCCAGCATACATTGGCCATCTGAAAAATAACCACAACTTTTATATATATATACATATTTCCGGTATTATAGTGCTAGCCCATGGAGATACAATGTGGCAGTTTAACATGGATACCCCACTCAGACACAGCATGCCGAAACCGTGCCGACCAATCCTTGTTTTATCCCCGTAAAGCAGAGCACCAGGCAGGGTTACAACAAGTACCATATTTCAACGTATGTTGCTATGAAGAAGCCAGAAGATCGAACCATGAATCACATTGTCCGCTCTATCCACCACGCAACGAAGACGGTACATTTCAATATCGGCAATGGTCTTAAATACTACCAGCATAACCTTTCCTGTAACTTCCATTGTAAACATTTCTCTGTAATTGTTTCCTAGAGGCTAACTAATGGTTGGGGAAACAACTCGCGACATTGTTTTACGATCAGCTCTTGTCTCGCAGGTAGCGGGTACTGACGCCAATGAGTGACTGAGCAAGTATGGTTTTACGCCGCTTTTAGCAATATTCCAGCAATATCACGACGGGGGACACCAGAAATGGGCTTCACACATTGTACCCATGTTGGGAATCGAACCCGGGCCTTCGGCGTGACGAGCGAACGCTTTAACCACTAGGCTTACCGCCCGCCCCGATGACCTAGGTTCGATTCCACACATGGCACAATGTATAAAGTACTCTCTTGATGTTGCTTCTCGTGATATTGCTAGAATGTTGCGATATGCTGGACATTATCATACCCACTTCTCCACATCTTCCCGAGACAAGATAGTTAACTGACTATAAAAGTCCAGTTTCCACCCTTGCCGAACTAGGCTGGTATTATGGAGTTACGTTTTGGCTGGACTAACGAGTCTATGCATAGTCCAATCAAAATCGTGCACCGAAATCGAAATCCGGTTCGTAAACTGTCGTTCAGATTTCGGTCGATTGCAGGATTTGCAAAACATGTGCACCGCCAACTCGTTGTCAACAGATATTTTCAAAATCTTTTCATGTTTTTAATCAAGGTGCTCACGTGATTTGATGCATTTCGCGATGTAAGACCCGTTTTATCACAATATAGATCTTGATTATCGATCAGATCGTCCTGACTGGGCGCCACCATTTTGTGTGAAGCAAACGCAAGTGATACGAGAGGTGGAATCTGATTGGTCCATAGGAGGGGCTTAGAAGGGACATAACTGGTAATAGCCACTTGTGGCGCTACGATCGAGCCCAGTAAATCCAACCTAGTTTGGCAAGGGTGGAAACTGGACTTTTAAAGTCAGTTAACTCTCTTGCCACGGGAAGATGACTTCTCCTTTGAACATAGATTTACTTTTGAAAATTTTACATCTCTTGTAACCCTGAGACAAAGAAACACTTCTTCCTCTTTTTCTGAATTACGTTTCCAATGGTAAGAGTGCCAGTGTACAACACCTCATAGATTTGTAAATTACGTCCGTTTCTTTAACTGAAATTGCAACACCTACTTTTGACATTGTTATTCAATTTCGTCGGAAAGCCATCATGGCCGTCAAAATGACCACCAGTGGACACTAATGGACACAATGGGACAATATTTCACCTTGGAAAATTCACTTAGAAGACGCTGAGGATTACAAAAATGTAAGTTGCATGAGGACCCTATCTTCCTCCCAGACAATTACCATCAGGTGTGAACTGGCCAGTGGGTTACTTGTGAGGTGAAACTGGGTTTAACGTCGCGTCCAAGATTATTGCACTTATATAGCGACGTGCATGCACGTGTGTGTGTTTGTGTGGCTGCTTGTACTAGTCCGGACTGATGCCGATTTATAGTGCTAGCCCACTGAGATACAATGCCGCACTTTAACATGAATACCCCACTCAGACACAGTATACTGACTCCGAGCCGACCAGTCCTTGTTTTAGCCCCTTAATGCCGGGCGCCAGACAGGAAAACAACAAGTACCATCTTTTAACGTCATTTGGTATGACGCGGCCGGGGATCGAACCCCGGACCTTCCGCTCTTCGGGCGGACGCCCTACCACTAGACCACGGAGGGGTTACTTGTGTGTAGATCATGTTGTTCAATATGAAAGAGGTGAAACCGAAGGGCGAACGCAACATAAAAGGAGTACTTGTTAGTTGACACTTTAGTCATCTTCGCGAGGCAAGGGCGACCACTAGCCCTTTTATCAAAGACAAGTAGAAACTAGGCTTTGATATAGGCTAGTGGACACGCTTGCCTTGGGAAGATGCACTCTGACGACAAGCATGGGTTGCTGAAGACCTATTCTACCCCGGATATTCACGGGTACTTGGCCAGGAGATGTCCCCTTCAACTCCTGTTGAAAATTGACTAAATGAGGATTGGATGATCAAAATGGCCGCCCATTTGTAGTGTGTATGGGTGTATATGTGTGTCGGTCTCTTTAAGCATATGTTATCAAGCTGATTAAAAAACGGAATTGACACACACACATCAAACGTGTCACATAATAGAAGAACAATGGCATAACCCACCCTCATGGCTAGAGGATCGTTGGAGTAGTCGACAGGCTGGCAACGTAGGTTGTAGTTGGCGAGGATGGCCGACACAAGGAACTGAAAATAAATCAAACAATGGTTAAATGAGGGACGATTTGTTCATTTGTTGTTTAACGCCGCACTATTCCATCTATATGACAGCGGTTTGTAAGTAACCAGTGACTGACATCAATGTACTCATATTGGATATGATGACATGCATTAACCAAGTCAGCGAGTCTGACCAACCGGTCCGTTAGTCGGTCGCCTTTAGCGACAAGTATGAGTAGCTAAGGCTAGTTCCAATCTTTATTTCACGTACTGAAGAGGCCACATGCCTATAGTATCAATCAATCAATATTTATTCAACACTGTACGACCGCAAGCCATATAATATGTACACTAAAAAAACAGTATTTACCCAGTTTCTATAATACACATAACATATTGCATCATATCCCCTCATGTATCATATCACACCACAACACGTATCATATCATATCACATCATGTCATGTCACATCATATCATTTCATATACATATAACTATACTAAACCATTTGTAATATCACGTCCCACAATATCATATGACAGCCTAATAGTTTAATACCATTTCTAACTCTTTTGTTTGTAGTTTATTCAAATGGCAAATATCTATAAAAGTGTACTTAATGTATATACACAATAGTTTCCTAATACCAAGCAGCTTAGATTATTCTTTCATAAGGTTCTGTCGGTATAAAGAGGCATAATATATGTACATGGAAACATTTTGTAAGATACTTCTTTTTGTGTTTGACAGCAGTGTAACAAATTTAATAATATTAGGGCACCTGTAATAATAAGCTTGCAGGAATTTTTCTCTAAGGTGTGAATACACTGGACATACAAGTAAGAAATGAAATTCATCTTCTACTGAGTTTAAACTACATAGATTACAGATTCTTTCTTCACGAGGAATGTTTGCATAACGCCCTGTTTCTATTAAAAGGTCGTGAGAAGAACATCTAAAACGTGAAAGAGCCGTTCGAAATTTTTTAACATTAACTTTTGATAAATAATCTTCCATAACTATTTCTGATTTAAACATTTTCTAATAAGAGCACTTGTTTGATGATGCAGTCCAAGATTGTAAATAAATATCCTTTAATCTCTGGGTTAATGAAAGTATAAACATTGATTTGGAATACACATTTTGGTTTTGCTAAATATCACCAAAGCCACAACTGAAAAGCAATTCTCTAACACCTGTAACCCAGTTTCTTTTCCCGTTATTATCATAAACTATCATCATATTATAACACTTCTTTGGCAATCTATATGAGGTCATGTCAATAAGTCTCAGCCAGTATTTAATAACTTTTATATTTGAATATACATAGAGAGTGAATCTTCCACATTCTCCATACACCACCAAGCTGGAAGTGTTTATTTTAACACCTAGATACTTTTTGCAAACATATAAATGAATCTTTTCTATGGCATCAAAGTGCTGTAAACCCCTAGACTTCTGCCCCATACAACAAAATGGGGAGTATCTTTATATCAAATATTTAAAAAAATGATTGATGAGAAATGGTTTCTAAAACTTTCAAACTCTTATGGATACTTACAAAGACCTTTCTAGCTTGTAAAGCAGCTTGATACAAATGTTTATGCCATGACAAGTTTCTACTTTAGTAAACACCAAGATATTTATAAAATCCTGTAGTTTCTGAGGCTAGTTATAACCCAGAACCGGTTTCAGCTAAATGTGTGCGGACAGCCCATAAAGATACAGGTTGGACACCGCGTACCACTGTACCCACGGATCATAATCGGGCTACACTGGATTAAGGACCAGGGATCAGCGGATACTTGTGCAGTAAATGGATGCAACCAGCTCAGCTCACGGGCAAACCTGTCCCCCGGCCGAACCCGTTAAGGTACGTGTACAGTATACACAAGAAATGATTTTGCAGTTCTAACGACTGGATTCATGACCAACTCGTGTTATTCCGGGACAAGGTGAAGCCGAATAGCAACTCGTGCCCCTCTCGTGGCCATTTTTGCGACTAAGAGAAACGGGCATACCTCAAACAATTGTCAACTCGTTGCGTAATGGTTCACATATATTTCCTCATATATTATAATGTATATTCCAGATGCAATTTAAAGCACATCGGGACATGCGGAATTATACAGTATGATTGAACACATTTATCTGTGTCTTGTGTATATCTTTAGATGCAAGACATGTAAAATCAAAAATTATTTCTGAGGGATTCTTTGACGAAGAACTTGAAATCGTACGCGCATTCTGATTGGTTTGTCGTATTTTCGCACAGAACATTCATCGATCGGGGGACGAGTCTTCTTGCAGGTTACGGAAAGGGACGAGTGGTGACGAATGTAACGATTGTCGACAGAGTTACCTCCCTTATCAGCTCAACGTGACCAACTCGTGTTATTCTGGGACTAGATAGCGACTTTTATTTTGCAAGACTTCTTGCAGGTTACGGAAAGGGGCGAGTGGTGACGAATCTCACGTTGGGCTATATTTCCGCTAAGCTTGGAAAAAGATGTCAGCGTCCTCTGTTGGCAGATTGGGTTTGACAAATGCTTGTAGTCATTGCATTCGAGACCAACTCGTGTTATTCCGGGACAAGCCGAATAGCGACTCGTGCCCCTCTCGTGGCCATTTTTGTGACCGGGTTCCGTCTTAGCGCAAACGGGCATACCTAAAACAATTGTCAACTCGTGTAATGGTTCACATATATTTCCCAATATATTATATATATTTTAGATGCAATTTAAAGCACATCAGGACATGCGGAATTATACAGTATGACTGAACACATTTAACTGTGTCTTGGGTATATTTTTAGATGCAAGACATATGTAAAATCAAAAATTATTTCTGAGGGATTCTTTGACGAAGAACTTGAAATCATAGGCGCATTCTGATTGGTTTGTCGTATTTTCGCACATAACATTCGTCGATAGGGGGACGAGTCTTCTTGCAGGTTACGGAAAGGGGCGAGTGGTGACGAATGTAGTCATTGGTGACCAACTCGTCCCTTTCCATGACAAGCCGAATGCAAGCCGAATGCAGACTCGTGCCCCTCTCGAAGGTTTCCATATTGGCGTATGAACACGAGAACTACTTCTACCCGCATCTTATAGTAAAGTTGATGTAGGCGTTACAGCAGCACTCGCTTATTCCCCTTGTAAAAGTATTAAACCTCTCTGATATAAAGATATTCCTTTGTACAAAAAAGTATATTAGGCAGGCCATTCAACTCATTCATTCTCAGCTGTTCATCCTTTATCTGCAAATTATTTACAACAACCTAGAAACATAATCGGGGTGATGTCTCTATTATGTACGAGAAGCCGTCATATAGGTGAAATATTGCTTGGTGCAGCGTTAAACAACAACCAAGCCTTAATATTCAAAGCTCGTTCAAATTTAAGGTGTTAAGAGGAAAAGGAAGAATAACAATCTCTTCAACTAATGTTAAGACATGTAGCTGAGTAGGACAGTGCGCTGAATATAACATAAATACGGTTAACTTATTCAATTGAGTGGGAATTACATCTTACAGGTTAGACAAGCCAGAAAATATGTACGTCACCCATTTATGTAATTTATTTATTTATGTAACCCATAACATATACTGGAATGACATTAAGTTTTCATTAACAATTTCTATCAGTATTTAATGCTGATCTTCTTACAAGGGCTTTCTTTTCTTTTACAAATGTAGAAATAATTCGTTCGAATCTTATACATTTTCGGGTTTATGATTTGTGGTACATAAACCAAAACAAGGTCATGAATGTTTATTGAGCAATCCATTTTTCTTCTAGCAACCTGTATTTTTTTGTTCGTTTATTTCTTGGTAATGTAATAAAGATCTGACAACACACAGGTGTGTAGGGGTATCTTAGAGAAACAGATAATCACCCAAATATATATTTATACCAATATAATCCGTTTTAAATATACCACTATCCTAATTTTGATATGTATTATCCATCTCCACGAATCCGTTTATATGCTAATAAAGCCAGTTAAACATCACGGTTAAAGCACTAGTTATGGTTGTTTGTTAGTTTGTTTGTTGTTAAACGCCGCACTCAGCAATATTCCAGCTATATGACGGCGGTCTGTAAATATTCGAGTCTGGACCAGACAATCCAGTGATTGATATCATGAGCATCGATCAACGGAATTGGGATCGATGACATGCATCAACCAAGTCAGCGCGCCTGACCACCCGATCCCGTTAGTCGCCTCTTACCACAAGCACAGTCGCCTTTTACGACAAGCATGGGTTGCTGAAGACCTAATCTACCCCGGCTCGTCACGGGCCCACTAGTAATGGAAGTGGATTGTCTCTATATATATGTCAATGCTCGCTGGTATATATTGAATTTATACCCCCGAGCAATTTCCGACAAAGCCATATTTACATAGAGTTAATAAAAGCTATTATTTGGTACACAAACCGAACTCGGCTGGGCCGACATAGACCTTAATTGTGTACTTTTCACATGGGGTATGAATACCATGAAAATATGAATGACCTGAGCAAATCCAGCCATCTCTATAGTTACATGTTCACTTTACTAATTTTTGTATTTCAGCACAACATGTATTTTATTAATAGGAAGAAAGTTACTTTTGTTGTTTATGTTTTTACTGGAGCATTAACTATCGTCGTCTGTTACAATCATATTTGTAAATCTCACCAATGGCCAGACATCCGCAACACTATATTCCATATGAGAGTTTAATAGGCACGTGAATAATATTATTTGTTTTGATATCGAAGATTTTAACACATCTTTTCAACTTTTGGTATATTTTACAATGGGATATTACACGGAATGTAGTTTTGGAGAGCCAGGTCTAGTTATAGCTCAAATGAACGGATCTCGTCAAGTGTGCCGTTTCCTGAATGCAAACTAACGCAAATTTGAATTTATCGCAGCCCTACAAGTAACAACGGCAATGTATGTATCACATTGTATCTGTTATCCGTATACCCTGCGGTGTGGAACTGACAATCTTCATTTTTCAGCAGTTTTTAAACAAACGCATATTGCCAAATAAATTTAAATACTCGGGATTATGTCGATCGTAGTACCCAAATCCTGACGCGCATTCTGATTTGTTTGCGTCATTTCGACGTATGGTGGCCTTCAAGAGGGGGGCGAGCCTTGGGGGACGAGCCTTGAAGGTCACAGAAACATGCCAGTGGTGACGAATGGCTTGGAGTAAGAGGCGACTAACGGGATCGGGTGGTCCGGCTCGCTGAGTTGGCTGATGCATGTCATCGTATGCCAATTGCGTAGACAGATGCTCATGATGTCACTCACTGGATTGTCTGGTCAAGACTGCTGAGTGCGGCGTTAAACAACAAACAAATGAAGTGGCTCCGGACTCTTACTCCCAACAGAAGCTCAGTGGTAACAAAGTCACGACTTCCTTGTCTGGATCACACGTTTATGTCCGTGGCTCTATCATCAATATCCTACAGCAGACTGAATATAAACTGTACATCTCAGTAGATTTTATCATATATTTTATTTTCCATTGCAAATATCATGTTACTGTACTGGCGCTTAGTCAGCAGACAAAGAATACTTCTACATGGTCTTATTTTCTCAAATATCATTGATTTAAAAAAATTAAACAATAATTCGTTTTAATAAACAGCTGCTGGGGGGTATCTTAGACATCTTATTCCTGAAAATCAATAAATTTGCTTTTTGTTTCGGCACAAATTTACGACTTTTGAAACATGGTAGAGGTCATGTGGTAGCATATTCTTTTCTTACCTCAGTCTTCACTGAAAGAATTTACTAATACACAAAAATACCCAGACGGATTACTTGCTGGAATGAGCGAGTGAGGATGGTTTTACGCCGCTTTTAGCAATATTCCAGCAATATCACGGCGGGGGACACCAGAAATGGGCTTCACACATTGCACCCATGTCGGGAATGGAGCCCGGGTCTTCGGCGTGACGAGCGAACGCTTTAACCACTAGGCTACCCCACTGCCTCTGGTGGAATGAGTGATGGTCAAATAGATATGATCAAATTTAACAATTTTCAAAAAATACATGAAAAACAAACTCGATATCCTTTCTTCTGCCCTACAGTTTAGTGTCGATATCCAAAGCAGACTGGGTGTAGATTTGTTAACGTATGTAGCTGTTAATGTTGTTGGTCGTAACACACTTTCAAGAATTTCTTCACCACGATTAGCAGACAATCCCAGACACTGAACAACAAACAGACTCTCTAGGTACAGTGCACTTGCAGGTTGGGAACAAGCGGTCACTTTACAAGCGGTTCGGGTGGAGTGAGTGAGTATGCTTTTACGCCGCTTTTAGCAATTTTCCAGCAATATCACGGCGGGGGACACCAGAAATGGTTTTCACACATTGTATCCATGTGGGGAATCGAACCCGGGCCTTCGGCGTGACGAACAAACGATTTAACCACAAGGCTACCCCATCGCCCCCGGTTCGAGTGGAGCTTTGTGTAACAGGTGAGGTCAGGTGAAATGGGGTTTAATATGGTTCAAGATTATTGCACTTATAACACCGCACTCAGCAATATTCCAGCTATATGTCTGGATATAACCGGTCTCGACCAGACAATCCAGTGTCTATTTTAAGCGTTGGGTATTTCGAACCAGACTCAAACGAAGCTGTGGTAGCAAAAGAAGTTCAATGTATTTATCTCCACAGAATATGTAAGTCCGTGACAGAATAGAGTTATATTACTCAAGATAACCAAGGCTGTTTACAATGTTTACTCCACTGTTTTGGAAAATAGATTTAATCAGGATGTCGCATTGCTGAAACATGCAGAAAGGGAATTCGATTGTGACGTTTAAGGTCACGTGTTACTGTAGGTCTTCCAGCCCTTTAGTATGACTCGATGACTATCTTTAACAGATTCTGTTCGAGAAGACAATGCACGTACCTCATAAAACATATAGCAGGACAGACAGACCAGGCTGAGGTTGTACACCACTAGGATGCGCTGCAGATTCAGAGGCTTATGAGGCTCCATTAGCCTCGGGCCTTGCTTCACCAACACCAGGTACGCCACAACTATAGCCGACACGGCCCACGGGCTCTGCATCAGCGGCCATGACGTCACACGGGGATCTGGGGAAACCGTCATACAGATCTCTATAGCAACCGACCGAAAATGCCAGCTGTCGGTCATATGTACGTGTGTCTGTAATCCGTTTAAAATTATTTAGGGGAAACGTTCCGAGGACTTAAATAATGAAACAAACGGAAAAAAATAAATGTGAAAAAATATATAAATATATAATAGATAATAATATAAATAAATAATATATAAATGTGAAATATATTCACAAGAGGAGTTTGATACCTAAGTTCTAAAGAATTTTAAGTATATTTCACAAAAGGCTTTAGGAATTGTAATTGCGCCAGTTACGGGTCAATTTGAACGGTACATGTTTAAACAAATCGTACATTATGGCTGAATACACACTGATCTGAATAATTAGTGACACAGTGGAATTTCACTGTACAGCGCAGTATGGCATTGTTTTTTTAGTTAATTAAACATAGTATTGCAAAGAATTGTCAGACATTGTTCAGACATATCTCCAGCGATGGGCAGTCTTGTAGTGAAAGTGTCCGATTATAACAGAAAACCTAGGTTCGATTCCCTTCATGGTTCATTACAAGAGTAAGTAGCCGCTCGCTCGCTCGCTCGCTCACTCACTCACTCACACCCAATTACTCACTCACTCACTCTGTAACCCACTTACCCACTCGATCGCAATTCACTTGCTCGCTCACTCACTCACCTCCCATCACCTGAAGGCGGGCGTAGATGTTGACGGCCTTGCCCCACCAATGTCCCGGCATCGTCGCACTGGAAAAAATAAAAAACCGTTCTGAATTTCGGAGTGGAATAACGGACACTCAGTATACTATATGTTGTTCACTGCGCAGAGAAGACACGATAAGGTGCACCCAGGAACTGATAGGTTTATCAATGAGAGTCATTTTCATTTTATCAGGTTGGTTTTGCTAAATCAGCCTTGAATGGTTAAACATATAAATGAAACAAGCACCATGATTTTCGGACAAACTCAGGTTTGAACCACCGGATCAAGGCATCGCTGTACTGCGCTTATAAACAATGCCGCCGGCAACACGTGGTCTGCAAACATCAATGGAGGCAACGACCTCATCGTGATGTTCAAACAGATCGATAAAATGAACGTTCTCAAGGTGAGGTAATTTTAATGAACATGCATTACGAGTTAAATATGATCTCAGTATTCAAAACTTATAAATATTTAAATTAATAAATATATATGACTGACTGCAACCTTGATAATACCGATGCACAGCCCCAGCATACCAAGACGCTAGAACTGTGGCACCGTCTGCAAAATGGTTTCCTCCATCACGGCAGATATGCTATCTTTCGAGCAAATACCCACAGATCTAGATATAACTAGTACCTGTTATTGAATCAAGAGCAGATGGTGTGCAACTGATGCCAATTGCTCTACGCTTAATGCGAAACCTCCATCCATAGATTCGTCCATGAAAGGTCACGACCTCAGCCATGTCATCGCAGAAATACATAATATATACATACTTGATCTGTCCGTCCATACAGATGTTCTTTACACAGCAACGTCCTCAAATGCCGAATCTGCTACGCTCCGGACACACACGCCGACTTCGGTACTGTTTGCTGACACCCAGCTGTCGGTATTGAACACTATCGACCTCCGTGTTTCTACAACCATAAATGTATAATGCGTCTAAATATAGAGTAAAAAGATCAATAGGTGGCGAAAACGAGGGGAAGGGAGTGAATTGTTTAGGGATCCAGGAACTGAAATGGGCGCCTTAATTGACGATTCTGTTGTAAATTTGGTGAACAGCGACTGAGGGAGAGCACATGGACCTGGGAGCGTGTTGTTGCACTGCAGAACTTCAGTCTGCATGTTTACCGTATACAATCTAAAGTGAGGGCCTGGTATTGTTCACCAAGTATGTGCTTCATTCAGTGTCCACTATTTGTGGTGTTATGTAGTGACACATGCACGCACATGCACACGTGGGAACTCCATTTATAGTGTTAGGCATTGATACAAGCACACGTGGGGACTACATGTGTAGTGTTAGGCATTGATACAAGCACACGTGGGGACTACATGTGTAGTGTTAGGCATTGATACAAGCACACGTGGGGACTACATGTTTAGTGTTAGGCATTGATACAAGCACACGTGGGGACTACATTTATATTATTAGGTTTTGATACATGCACACGTGAGGACTACATGTATAGTGTTAGGCATTGATACAAGCACACGTGGGGACTACATTTATATAATAAGGCATTGACACATGCACACGTGAGGACTACATGTATAGTGTTAGGCATTGATACAGGCACACGTGAGGACTACATGTATAGTGTTAGGCATTGATACAGGCACACGTGAGGACTACATGTATAGTGTTAGGCATTGACACATGCACACGTGAGGACTACATGTATAGTGTTAGGCATTGACACATGCACACGCTAGGACTACATTTAAAACAAGGGTTTGCCACTAACGTGGCTATATCCCCCGCCGCTTGTTGCAGAATTTATGACATTATCAAATCTAAACAAATTCTAACCTTTTTTAACCGAGGTGGAACTTGTCATGGAAATTGTAAAAAAAGAAGAGTTTGGAACCTAAGTCATTCTTGTTGCCATGGAAACGTAAAAAATGTAAATTTCTAAATAGCAAAAGGCACCAGTTCAGCATGTACCTTACAGACATGCAAAGTTTCATGAAAAAATATTGAACGGTTTCTGAGTTGTGCTCCGGAAACGAAACGTGACGGACGGACGTATGGACGTACGGACGGAGCCCGTTTCTATATCCCACGTCAACTTCGTTGGGCGGGGGATAATTAGGCATTGACTCATGCACACGCGAGGACTACATTTAAAATTAGGCATTGACTCATGCACAAGTGGGGATGATTAAATCTATATTGTTGGGCACTGATCCAAGCACACGTGGGGACTACATATAAAATTAGGCATTGATACATGCACACGTTGGGACGACATTATAGTGTTAGGCATTGACACATGCACACGTGAGGACTACATTTAAATAATTAGGCATTGATACAAGCACACGCGAGGACTACATTTAAAATTAGGCATTGACCCATGCGCACGTGGGGATGATTAAATCTATATTGTTCGGCACTGATACAAGCACACGTGGGGACTACATTTATAGTGTTAGGCATTGATACATGCACACATGGGGACTACATTTATAGTGTAAGGCATTGACACATGCACACGTGTGGACTACATTTATTGTATTAGGCATTGACACATGCACACACGGGGACTACATTTATATTAGGCATTGACACATGCACACGTGTGGACTACATTTATTGTATTAGGCATTGATACATGCACACGCGAGGACTACATTTATATTATTAGGTATTGAAACATGCACACGCAAGGACTACATTTATATTAGGCTTTGACTCATGCGCACGTGTTGACTACATTTATAGTATTAGGCATTGATACATGCACACGCGTGTGGACTACATTTATATTAGGCATTGACACATGCACACGTGTGGACTACATTTATATTAGGCATTGACACATGCACGCGTAGGGGACTACATTTATATTAGGCATTGACACATGCACGCGTGGGGGACTACATTTATATTATTAGGCATTGATACAGGCACACGTATGGACTACATTTATAGTATTAGGCATTGATACATGCCTACGTGGGGACTACATTATAGTGTTATGCATTAATACAAGCACACGTGGGGGCTACATGTATGTTATTAGGCATTGATACATGCACACGTGGAGACAACGTTTACAACCAACTGCTGATGCTGTTTCGACCTCTGGATCGATGACCCTGTACTGATGCCGCCATCCCCATTCAAGATTGATGTACTGCATAATAGTGCTCTCTGGGGCCATGAAGGTCTTACTCGAGGTCAGGACCTCTGATACCTGCCTTCATATTTTACGGGTTAACGGGACGGAATCGGTCCCTAGATTGCTTGACGTATAATCAATAAAAGCGAGGATGGGGGTACACGTTGCTGATTATGTGTCACTTACTCCGACAGTGAGGGTCGTTCCTTATTTTGACCGTTTGCCTGTTGAAGACTCGATTTTCTTTTCATAATGCATCGTATTCTGGGCACTATAGCATGTTGGTAAACATACAGATCACGTAAAGCCCCATGAAGTAAAAACACTGTCCCATTATATCCGTTATTCCAACTCTCACTACAAAACAACAAAGTCCACACCACTGGCATACATCTTGAAGAGTTGATTTTCCCCATCATAACATTTTATGCATACGTGTTATGCTTCTGTGTATAAACAAATAACAAATGTATGTGTCCCTACATGTGACATTTAAGACTGCTACATTAATCTGTGCAGGTCGTTGACCACAATGGAAACTGATCATAATGTGTATGAGCTCGTGTGCCCTCAAGTGGCTGAGCAAAACATACCACACCACACACACGCACGTACATATTGTTCGTGGGATGAGTGAGTTGGGTTTACGCCAATTGTAGCAATATCACGGCGAGGTACACCAGAAATCGGCTTCACATATTGTATTAATCTGGGGAATCGAACCCTGGACTTCGGCGCGACGAGCGAACGTTTAAACAACAAGGCAACCCAAGTTCATTTTGCAAACATTTAGTAGAAAAAAAGAAATGTCCATGTATTTTGTGACGATTAACAAATACTCTGCAACTAACCAAACAAAAAAGGCCCAATTACGGAGATACCAAGCTGACGTTCGGCTATTTTCGTGAAGACTGCCAGCGCCATCTATTGGCATATTGTGGAGATACTTTAGCGTGCGTTACATTTGTTGTCTGTATTAAAGAGCACTACCAAACATTTTTCCTGAACTACTAGACTGACATTCAGTCCAAGCAGAGACCATAAAATAAATGATAAATATAATTATTTTATGGCTTCTGGTGCCAGAAATAAATCTAATTTAAAACTATACATTATCTACAAAATACATAAATATAATCCAAATGGAACCCAGAACGATGCTTAATTTCAGGAGTTGAGGAAATCTAGATTTGCCAAATCATTCCAGACTTGAGTTGGACTCAAGTTTTTGTCCAGACTCGACAATCCTCATATAGCTGGTATATTACTGAGTGCGGCGTTAAACAACAAACTTCTATCGCCTGCATTCTGAGTAGGTGATCATGACTCGCCAACAGTCAAAGATGGCGCACTTGGTGAAGTGCGAGAAAGTGGAGATTACATTCTTGACAAGAAAGTATTTGTGAGATATCCATTATATTCATGCGTTTGTTTGAGAAAGAAACAAAACGAAATTTAGAATGAAGTTTGTCAGAAAATACATCATGATTATAAGATAAAGAAATCTGGAGCCGGTTTTATGCTGTTGTGACGCCGTGCAGTTCATACTCTATTCCCTTTTGGCCATTAACTGTAAAAGTCGAGTCCAAGTGTGTCTGATCCGTGATGATCTGACAGACGGCCCAATTATTATATTTTTATTTTAAAAATATATACCATACAAACACAATGTTCATCACATGTTTTCAATAATATTACTAAAATCGGCGCCATCTTGAAAACGGCTATTACAGCATCTCGGCGTTATTGTCAGGAATTAATCTATATTGGAACTCGTTTCGTGCGCGTTACTGTCACGTGACATGACACTACCTGAAGGTCGTTGTAAACCGTATAGAACTGTTTAATTTTGTTCCGTTTGCCCTCAAATGCTTTACTTACTTTTGTTACGCACAGATAAACCTATTTCAAAAATCGATCGTCGTGTCATAGGGACTGTATGCGGCGGTATCTGGCGTTACACGAATTACAATGAAATCATGTAACATCACTACGCCATTTCTGCCCGAGGTGTTATGCAGCTTGCGGATTGAAACAAGTGGACCCGAGTAATTTCAATCGCACTGAACTAAGGCCCGAGATAATATGAGCACGACCTTGACCTTCACCGCGAGACCGATAGCGTTCTTCGTTTATGCACCACTGGCTATCACCAAGGCATGATAGTGTTTCTTTATCCACACAAACCGGTTGAATTGCTGGGCTATACAATCGGGTTTGACTTGTGTGAACATTCTTGTAAGAATGTGCATTAAGTGCACATTTCCCTATGCTTAATTAATAGTGCCACATATTTTTGTCACTTTTGTTGACTTCATTGGTTATTTAAAAGTAGATATAAAGACGGAATAGGGAATAATTTCAAACAAAGCACCTTGTCAATGTTGTTTTCGCACAGCCACCAATATTCCAACAATTTCACGACAGCCTTAGTCTTTCAAACAGACCCTGAAACAAATACATCCAATACAGCCCATGCAAGTCGATAATATTTGGCAAGTCAAGACTACTGCATTATTAAAAAGGTACCTTGGCTCCATTTTATTATATTTTTAAAGTTAATTTAACATCTGTTCTTTTCTGTAAAATATGTTCATTTCAGAATGGACTGTAAATAATCGAATTATGGAATGTAGTTCAAGTAGAGGGGACGCCTTATTCTGACACGGAATCCATAATACTTACTTTATCATTGAAATGTAAAAAAGCTCGAAAGTTTAAAAACGGAATCAGAGTTCATTACTGAAAGAAAAACTTTCAAAACAAGTAAAACAAAACAAAAAGAGTTGTTTCAAACAAAGATATGACGCCCTCTGGATAAAAGTATCGTTATTTACGATGGACAACTGATTGGATCGTTATCGAGATAGCAACGTGCTTCTATGATACATTGATTTACATGACCTATTGAGTCAACTTGTTCCCTGTGAAAACGCCAACTTGATCTTACACCTTAAGTCATACGTCTGTCTCTAAATATAATGGCCAATATGTCAGTAAAAAATGATTAATTGTGAGATATACTGACAGCTTTTCATAATCGATTATTTTAATGTCTTTTTATCAGTGTGTAAAGATGTCTTAAAAGTTAAAAAAGAGACTGGATGCTTAGAATATGGATAAAACACACATGTTGCAGCGTTAGGCATCGACTTGTTGTTAACTAGAAACTCAAATACTGTTTCAAAATACATAATTTGAAGACTTTTAGGAAGATTCTAAACTCCCCCAAAACAAAAGGCAAGTTGTTGTTTTGATAGATTCACTCTGTGACTTCAACAAGACTTTAAAGCGGTACGTGGGACCACCGGGTCTTGTACACCACAAACTAGCAGCAGCATGATAAATGGTCACACCCAGTGTCAGTACAAGAAAGTATTTGTGAGATATCCATTATATTCATGCATTTGTTTGAGAAAGAAACAAAACGAAATTTAGAATGAAGTTTGTCAGAAAATACATCATGATTATAAGATAAAGAAATCTGGAGCCGGTTTTATGCTGTTGTGACGCCGTGCAGTTCATACTCTATTCCCTTTTGGACATTAACTGTAAAAGTCGAGTCCAAGTGTGTCTGATCCGTGATGATCTGACAGACGGCCCAATTATTATATTTTTATTTTAAAAATATATACCATACAAACACAATGTTCATATGTTTTCAATAATATTACTAAAATCGACGCCATCTTGAAAACGGCTATTACAGCATCTCGGCGTTATTGTCAGGAATTAATCTATATTGGAACGCGTTTCGTGCACGTTACTGTCACGTGACATGACACTACCTGAAGGACGTAGTAAACCGTATAGAACTGTTTAATTTTGTTCCGTTTGCCCTCAAATGCTTTTATTACTTACTTTTGTTACGCACAGATAAACCTATTTCAAAAATCGATCGTCGTGTCATCTGGCGGTATCTGGCGTTACACGAATTACAATGAAATCATGTAATATCACTACGCCATTTCTGCCCGAGGTGTTATGCAGCTTGCAGAATGAAACGAGTGGACCCGATTAATGTCAATCGCACTCCAGACATTCCCGAAGAGCGCCACTGCGCGTTTCGGATCACTGAACGGAGGCCTGAGATAATATGAGCACGACCTTGACCTTCACCGCGAGACCGATAGCGTTCTTCGTTTATGCACCACTGGCTATCACCAAGGCATGATAGTGTTTCTTTATCCACACAAACCGGTTGAATTGTTGGGCTATACAATCGGGTTTGACTTGTGTGAACATTCTTGTAAGAATGTGCATTAAGTGCACATTTACCTATGCTTAATTAATAGTGCCACATATTTTTGTCACTTTTGTTGACTTCATTGGTATTTAAAGAATAGATTTAAAGATGGAATAGGGAATAATTTCAAACAAAGCACCTTGTCAATGTTGTTTTCGCACAGCCACCAATATTCCAACAATTTCACGACAGCCTTAGTCTTTCAAACAGACCCTGAAACAAATACATCCAATACAGCCCATGCAAGTCGATAATATTTGGCAAGTCAAGACTACTTACTGTTCTTTTCTGTAAAAAAGGTTCATTTCAGAATGGACTGTAAATAATCGAATTATGGAATGTAGTTCAAGTAGAGGGGACGCCTTATTCTGACACGGAATCCATAATACTTACTTTATCATTTAAATGTAAAAAAGCTCGAAAGTTTAAAAACGGAATCAGAGTTCATTACTGAAAGAAAAACTTTCAAAACAAGTAAAAACAAAACAAAAAGAGTTGTTTCAAACAAAGATATGACGCCCTCTGGATAACCTTCTATGATACATTGATTTACATGACCCATTTAGTCAACTTGTTCCCTGTGAAAACGCCAACTTGATCTTACACCTTAAGTCATACGTCTGTCTCTGAATATAATGGTCAATATGTCAGAAAAAATTATTAATTGTGAGATATACTGACAGCTTTACATAATCGATTATTTTAATGTCTTTTTATCAGTGTGTAAAGATGTCTTAAAAGTTAAAAAAGAGACTGGATGCTTAGAATATGGATAAAACACACATGTTGCAGCGTTAGGCATCGACTTGTTGTTAACTAGAAACTCAAATACTGTTTCAAAATACATAATTTGAAGATTTTTAGGCAGATTCTAAACTGTTTCAAAATACATAATTTGAAGATGTTTAGGCAGATTCTAAACTGTTTAAAAAAACAAAATTTGAAGATTTTTAGGCAGATTCTAAACTGTTTCAAAATACATAATTTGAAGATGTTTAGGCAGATTCTAAACTGTTCAAAAATACATAATTTGAAGATTTTTAGGCAGATTCTAAACTGTTTCAAAATACATAATTTGAAGATTTTTAGGCAGATTCTAAACTGTTTCAAAATACATAATTTGAAGATTTTTAGGCAGATTCTAAACTGTTTCAAAATACATAATTTGAAGAATTTTAGGCAGATTCTAAACGGTTTCAAAATACATAATTTTAAGATTTTTAGGCAGATTCTAAACTCCCCCAAAACTAAAAGGCATGTTGTTGTTTTTATAGATTCACTCTGACTTCAACAAGACATTAAAAGCGGAAAGGGGGACCACCGGGGCTTGTATACCACAAAATAACAGCAACAAGATAAATGGTCACACCCAGTGTCAATACTATGTAAAAAGGGAAGTGGTGTAACGAGGCCACCAAACCAAGTTCGTTCCAGGACGAATTCAACAATGTACACTGTAAATACCCCCATAAAACGTCATAAAACATTTAGCTTAAGCTACACAACGAGACAAAGACGACGAAAATCAAAGCCGTACCTATGGAGCTAGCGTCTCCAGAAGCTCAAAATATCGTGATATGGCAAGACTTCCGCCCGTATGTCCCCTCCAAAATATATACGATAAAAAAGATTAAGCGGCTATGCGTAGGAGATACAACTTCTGGAAGGGGGATACGGGCGAAGTCCACCCGGATCGTGTACACAATATTACCACGCGCCCAAACACGTTTAATCGATGGCACATGTCAGCCCGCCAATTGGCTTTTTTTCCGCGATACATAAGCTTGATGATATAATGAGTTTACATACATTTATTCGTCTCAGTAATCCCTTTGCCGTGCGCCGGTTGAGATAAAACACCCTCCAATCGCATAAAAACACGTGTTTGTTCCAGGAGGCAACAGGAAGAGAGTGAACACAAACCTCAACGCAACGAGAGTAATGCAAGGGAGAGAACTCCCGCTTCCGTCCAACCCATGTATACCTGTAATGGATTGACCTTCTTTTTCTCTTATAAGAGAAAAGGTCCACATGAGTGGGTACTTAAGGACTTTGCTCTATTAATACAGACTAAATGGTCTCTCAGTGATTAATATAATAGGCTGAAAAAATATATTCATCTCCAATAATCCATCATTGGGTAGCCTGCCCTCAGGTTTATTGGGATTATTTTCTGCCCCATGACAAGTTAAGGCATGTGAGAAATTCCAACACATAGTCATTGAATGTTTTGCCAGATTGCGAGTCTATGATGGCCTTCCACATTTTAGCATTGAGTCCTGGTCTGAGAGGTTATGTTCAGCATTCTATTGGTTCAAAAACTGGGCTTGACGAATCACTTGTGGTCCCAGTTGTTAGCATATGGGTCGGGTATCTGTCGTCCACAGGTACAGCATGCGTAGACGGAGTTCATATCTCCATGTGGTAAGGCGGGACTGAACTGAACTGAACCTTAACGCTATACAATGTATTGCGTAATTGTGATCCTACAAATCTGCGTACATTGCACCAGGAACCATCATTCGCCACAAGAAGATACCGGTGAGCTACCGACGTGCATGCACATGTGTGTATGTGTGTGCAGCTGCTGCAGCGGACCTTCCGCTCTCCGGGCAGATGCTCTACCAGTAGACCGCAGAGGTGGTCAACAAGATACCGAACGAGAACAAGTCTTGTTGCGGTCAGACCATAGGTACACTATGTCACCGACATCTATCATCTCACCGTTTGGTCTACGGCCTTGTTGGCCTTTCAACCTCCCGCTATAGGGGTGGTCAGTCAAGGGACTACCGTGTTGTATTGCGATAAGTTCAGAGTCAGAGACTGGTATTTGGCGGTTTGTAAACTGATCTCTTTGAGACAACATCTCCCTTGATGACAAGCCTCATCCCCTGATGCGCGAGTTGAGGCAGGCGACCACAACTGCCAGTGAAGTTGGCATGACGAGGCCTCGTGTGGGGTCCTGACAAAGCAATTCTTGTAATTCCTGAATGGCCTTCTCTGCAACAGGGATTTTTGTTTGGGTTCTAACCCTCCCATTTTCCAGAATGAGTCGATGTTGCATTAGTAGGGGGTCTCGTTCCAAGCTGATGAATCCAGAAGCAGGGTCAGTCCTGATAACAACTGGAGGGCCATCAAGGGGAAGGAGTTCTAAGCTGAGACCTAGCAGGGCTTTACCAAGAGTTTGGCCCCTTTCAGCCTCTATGATGCAGGCGCAAGTGTATGAAGTAGCGCATTCAGACGTGACAAGGTAGAATTGTCGCTCCCTTATCGAGAGGTCTGCAGCAAATGTGTGTCCTACTGCTTCAGGCGGGTTGCGTGTACTCGGATCAACTACAACATGGGGTGCCTGGCATTGAGAAGCACTATGGGTCGTTTCTGCTGGCAAAGTCTGCAGGCAAGTTGGATGCTCCTGCAAGGTGTTGGATTGTAGATTGGTGTCGGCTCAATGTAGAGGTGAGGTGAGGTGAGGTGAAATGGGGTTTAACGTCGCGTCCAAGATTATTGCACTTATATAGCGACGTGCATGTACGTGTGTGTGTGTGTTTGTCTGGCTGCTTGTACTAGTCCGGACTGATGCCGATTTATAGTGCTAGCTCACTGAGATACCATGCCGCAGTTTAACATGAATACCCCACTCAGACACAGTATACTGACTCCGAGCCGACCAGTCCTTGTTTTAGCCCCTTAATGCCGAGCGCCAGACAGGGTAACAACAAGTACCATCTTTTAAAGTCATTTGGTATGACGCGGTCGGGGATCGAACCCCGGACCTTTCGCTCTCCGGGTGGACGCTCTACCTCTAGACCACGGAGGCGGTCCCTCAATGTAGAGAGGAAAGTGGACACCCTTGTACTGGTTGAAAACTCGCCACGACAAAGCTTCTCGAATGCAAGTACACATTGTCTGCTGTGTGTGAGTTTACAAGCATTCAGATTGTACAATGAATGGGCTGAAATGTTTCATGGAAGCATCAATATACAGTGCCTCTATCTCACATGGTAGCCAAGAAATCTGTTGTCTCAATTTCGCATTGAAAAATCCTTGTAATGTAATGTAATGAAGTCCCTCGGGTCATGTAGAGTGTCGCACCAATACCAGGGTTCCTCACAGCGCCATCAGTCACAATACAGTGTTGGTCCATCACCCATTATGAGCAGCCTTAAACGCCTCTAACAAATTCTCTGACCAGAGAATCTTGTCCCCAGACTGTAGTCCTGCATTAGCAGCGTAAAGGGGTGCGAGGAGAATTAAACATCCTGGGATGACGCGTTATATACGGTGCTTACTAGCTTCAACTGTACCTTGCTGCCAGTGTCATCCAAGGATTGTTGCTGATGTAGGAGCAATGATACCTTTGTTTTGGGTAAGCCTTAACCCATTGTCCTTGAGTGCTTCGAGTACTTGCTGCCAGTTGTCTAGGAGATCATCTGGGTTATCAGCTCCACAGTAGAGATCATCAGCAAGTTTTGCTACTCTGCCCTCCTCTGAGAGTGTGCCAAATACGGGACACGTCAGTTCTGTGTCCGGTCCTGGCATACCCATAGCAGATCTTTCCTAGACTCTTACGCCTAGGAATGGGGTGACCACTCCGCAGTATTTCATTGAATCCTTTGACAGGGGAATTTGGTAGAAAGCATAATGAACTTCCACTTGGCTATCTGACAAAGGGTTGAGTCCACATAAGGCATCAATGAAGGTTGTGGCTTGCTGTACCAGCCAAAATCTGCAAAGGCAGTGACTAGCCTGTGGCCTCCATTAGTTTTCTTGAACAGGTGGCGGGGGTGGGTGGGTGGGGGGGCATGGGTGGTACAGTTGTCTAAGGTGCTATGATTCGCTGTGCAGAGTTGCGTCCCTTGGGCACGCCAGAAACCTATGGGTTCCAATCCCTGTTCGCCCCGATTATATTTCTAGGTTTGTCAGCACCATAGTGATCGTGGGTTTCACCGAAGTGGTAAACGTCTGAGACCTGCATCATTTCTGGTGTCCCCCGCCGTGATATTGCTGGAATATTGCGAAAAGCGGCGTAAAACCATACTCACTTACACACTCACTCACCCTTTCCTCCCACATTAAGCTGACAGGCCATGATATAACTGGAATACTGTTAAAAGCAGCGTTAAACCCAACTCACTCACTCACTCACTCTTGACCAGGAAAGAGGATTCAAGTATTCAACTTGGATTCCAACAAAAACGCCAATGTCCTCCAGTTCGTTAAATTTTTGTTGCAACTCGACGAGGCGATCTCATGAATACTGGGGTCTTCTACATTTCCTTTGTGGAGGTTGGACCGAACCCATGTTGATGACAGCTTGGAATGGTCCTGACTCGACATTATATCCATCGATATGGGGGCTATTGACCTCATCAAACTCATAAGAGCAAGAAAACTAGACTTGCTCAGTGTCAACATGCAGAAGGCATCAGAAGCATGAACGTTGTGTATCCGAGTTACACTGTCCTCGTCACTGATGGCCAAGTCCTCGGACGAGTGTCTATTCGAGGTTCTATGGTAAACAAATCATCTGCATCGGCGTAATCACTTGATACAGCAACTTCAATGAATTCACCTGGACATTCTGTAGTGCATGTGTTTGGGGCTCTGATCACACACGCATCTCTCCATGTGGTTTGAGTCACTTGTACTGGTGGATCCATACGTGAATGAATAACCATTTCTGAGTATGGTGAGGCGTTTAGCAGAGCATACGGCAACGCCATTCTTCTCCAGTGACTGCTATCTCGAGCAATGATCCAGGCTGGGGTACAATGACAGCAGTCAGCCAAGTCAACAAGCTGATCACCTGACCCATTAAGTCTCCTTCTGCAACAAGCACGGGTTGCTGGAACCCAATGTTGACACTATTCCAGTCATATCACAGTGTGTCCGCTTCATGTGGGAGGAAAGCCTGAAGTGGAGCAGTTTTCAGACGTTTGCCACTTTGGTGAAACCCACAAGCATGGTTGTGCTTATGCGTTTTGACAAACAATCAACACATAAATCAACTGAATTTCTTATTAATGAATGAAAAGCAATTTCTGACTTCAATAATTTCAGCAAAAGTTGACTGGAACATCAATATGTGTGTAAGTAGGAGCTTTGATTGTGTTTAGCAGAGCATACGGCAACGCCATTCTTCTCCATGAACGGGATACCCACAGAATGTCTGCATCTAAAGATTCTACCACCAGTCCAGTGAAATGGAAGAGGCTATCAGATCTGAATCAGGAGGAGGAAACTTCACCTGCAACATTCAAGGGAGATAATCCATCTGCCTGGTGAGCAGACTGTCTTGCCTAACCATATACTTCCTGTCAGTGTTGGGAAGGAATTTGCATTCGCTAGGATAATGTCCATCACTGCTACTGCACAGTGGACATGACTTGGTGAACTTACGAGGCTGATGTTTACTACTTCGAACAGTGTGAGGTTGACATGTGGTTGTCCTCATGATTTTATCGTCCTCATTTGACCGGATTTCGTCCAGTAGGAGTCTAGAGCCTGTGATATACCGCTGTTTGACTAATCTTTCAAGTCTGCCATAAGAGATGGCTCCATCCATCATAATTTGTCCTCCACCAAATCGGTCGACTCCTTGTCCGCAAGATACGGTACAACGTTCATTCCACCTCCGATACACACCGTAGCCGAGAGCCGCGATGGGGTCCAACAGTCAAGACATGACCCTACATGAGGTAATAAATGCCACTGCAGCCATTGAAGTTGATGACGTTGAGGTAAAATGACGCTAACGTTAGGTCTTCATTCCCGCAGCTCGTAAACATTTACGGACAGACTATGCAGATATGGGTGAAAACCAGGAATTTTGTTGCAGCGTATGTTGCAGTGAGTATACTGTTTCGAAGGTGAATGGCTCGATGAATGTTTCCATACAATTTTGTTTACCTTCACTTACACCTCCTGAGCATGGGGAAAAAACTTGCTCATATTCAAATATAAGAAGAAAAAAAACGCTTCCAAAAATCGTCAACCTTTTTGACACATATGTTACCCTTACCTATACCTTATGGGTAATAATAAGATCAAATGGTTTCTATGTTATTTGAAGATATGGAGTGAGTGAGTTTGGTTTAATGCCTTGAACAGTATTCCAGTTATATCACAGCATGTCACCTTAATGTGGGAGGAAAGCCTGGAGTGATGCAGGTCTGACTTTTACCACCTTGGTAAAACTCACAAGCACGGGTATGGTGCTGACAAACCTAGAAACATAATCAGGATGAACCGGGTATCGAGCCCACAACCATAGGTTTCTGGCATGCCCAAGTGATGCAACTCGCCACAGTGAATTGTGGTGCCTTCAACGACTGGGACACCCATGCCACCTCCTCCTAACCCCCCTCCTCCCGAAGCCCATGAAGCCCAGTAACTATTTGTACTTGTGCTATGGTAAATATAAAACTAACACCAGTGGCATTGGTTATATTTCATTGTAAAGTCTATATACATTTTTCACAATACAAACATCTTTATGGCATTCAGTATCAGCCTCTCAACATGGTAAAGCTTGCGTGTACAGTGTATCACAATCAATGTCTCCATGCTAAGCTGCGCAGCCAGAAGATGAAGATGCTGAAGATGATGCTGAACGATACTTGTCCCCTCAGTCCACTGTCTCCACCACTGCAACAAACAGAAGAACAATCAGGAAAAGTGTCCAACATCAGGGCCCAATTCTACAAAGCAATGTTAACACTAAGATGACTCACTCATACTTCCACTATGATCAGCCTACTGCTAAGTTAGCTTTGTGAGCAGAGCCCTGATAATCATCTGTTATCATTTGCGATGGTTTGACACTGAAAAAACATGTATAGTGTGCATGTTTGACCAACTGAGCAATTCTAAGCCTCAGTATATAAGATGGAAATGTCTGGAACTGCCAGAAGAAGCTTTTCAATTGTTTGTTTATTTGTTTGTTTGTTGTTTTAAGCACACTCAGCAATATTCAAGCTTTATGACAAAAGCCTGTAGATAATTGAGCCTGGACCAGATAATCCAGTGACTGCTATCTCGAGCAATGATCCATGCTGGGATACAATGACAGCAGTCAGCCAAGTCAACAAGCTGATCACCTGACCCGTTAAGTCTCCTTCTGCAACAAGCACAGGTTGCTGGAACCCAATGTTGACACTATTCCAGTCATATCACAGTGTGTCCGCTTCATGTGGGAGGAAAGCCTGAAGTGGAGCAGTTTTCAGACGTTTGCCACTTTGGTGAAACCCACAAGCATGGTTGTGCTTATGCGTTTTGACAAACAATCAACACATAAATCAACTGAATTTCTTATTAATGAATGAAAAGCAATTTCTGACTTTGCAATAATTTCAGCAAAAGTTGACTGGAACATCAATATGTGTGTATGTAGGAGCTTTGATTGCAGACTTTAAGTAGTTTCAGAAGCCACCTGTTACTAAAATTAATCCTGCTTTATTCCCGTAATACAAGTTTCTGATTATCATATACATGTTAAAATGTTACCAGCACCTTTACCATTGGCAAGTTGAAATGTATGTGTAACATAAGGGAGTTAACTCAATCATCAACTCAAAACAGCATCTGACACTAAAGCAAATCAAAAACTGATCATAACATGTTTAAAAAAAATTCAACTTGGAAAAAATCACCAATTCCTACAAAGAGGTGATTATTCACTATTATATTTTCATTTCACACCATCATATCAGAGTTGAAAAAGAAATGTTAAAGCTCTTTATAGTTTCTACAGTATTCTGTTGTTGAGGTTACAACACACTTCACTAGACACAACTCACTTAACCTAGTGTTGTTAGGGGCACATCACACATCTCTCTAGGTGCTACCACGATGGTTAACTCAGGTTAGAAGGTACAAACATTTTATTGTCACAAACTCCTATTCATCATAGTCACAAAACTCCAAGTCACACACTCTCTGTCTCTCAAGCCTTTCATATGTCATTGTCCCTTATTGTAATTATATATGTGCTTCATATACATGCATGTGCTAGTCAGTATATATTGTGCTATGTATACATGCATGTGCTAGTCAGTATATATTGTGCTATGTATACATGCATGTGCTAGTCAGTATATATTGTGCTTCATATACATGCATGTGCTAGTCAGTATATATTGTGCTATGTATACATGCATGTGCTAGTCAGTATATATTGTGCTATGTATACATGCATGTGCTAGTCAGTATATATTGTGCTTCATATACATGCATGTGCTAGTCAGTATATATTGTGCTATGTATACATGCATCTGCTAGTCAGTATATATTGTGCTATGTATAAATGCATGTGCTAGTCAGTATATATTGTGCTATGTATACATGCATGTGCTAGTCAGTATATATTGTGTTATGTATACAGGCAAGTGCTAGTCAGTATATATTGTGTTATGTATACATGCATGTGCTAGTCAGTATATATTGTGCTATGTATAAATGCATGTGCTAGTCAGTATATATTGTGTTATGTATAAATGCATGTGCTAGTCAGTATATATTGTGTTATGTATAAATGCATGTGCTAGTCAGTATATATTGTGTTATGTATAAATGCATGTGCTAGTCAGTATATATTGTGTTATGTATACATGCATGTGCTAGTCAGTATATATTGTGCAATGTATAAATGCATGTGCTAGTCAGTATATATTGTGCTATGTATACATGCATGTGCTAGTCAGTATATATTGTGCAATGTATACATGCATGTGTAAGTCCAGTATATATTGTGCTATGTATACATGCATGTTCTAGTAAGTATATATTGTGCAATGTATAAATGCATGTGCTAGTCAGTATATATTGTGCTATGTATACATGCATGTGCTAGTCAGTATATATTGTGCTATGTATACATGCATGTGCTAGTCAGTATATATTGTGTTATGTATACAGGCAAGTGCTAGTCAGTATATATTGTGTTATGTATACATGCATGTGCTAGTCAGTATATATTGTGCAATGTATAAATGCATGTGCTAGTCAGTATATATTGTGATATGTATACATGCATGTGCTAGCCAGTATATATTGTGCTATGTATACATGCATGTGCTAGTCAGTATATATTGTGTTATGTATACAGGCAAGTGCTAGTCAGTATATATTGTGTTATGTATACATGCATGTGCTAGTCAGTATATATTGTGCAATGTATAAATGCATGTGCTAGTCAGTATATATTGTGCTATGTATACATGCATGTGCTAGTCAGTATATATTGTGTTATGTATACAGGCAAGTGCTAGTCAGTATATATTGTGTTATGTATACATGCATGTGCTAGTCAGTATATATTGTGCAATGTATAAATGCATGTGCTAGTCAGTATATATTGTGCAATGTATAAATGCATGTGCTAGTCAGTATATATTGTGCTATGTATACATGCATGTGCTAGTCAGTATATATTGTGCTATGTATACATGCATGTGCTAGTCAGTATATATTGTGTTATGTATACAGGCAAGTGCTAGTCAGTATATATTGTGTTATGTATACATGCATGTGCTAGTCAGTATATATTGTGCTATGTATACATGCATGTGCTAGTCAGTATATATTGTGCTATGTATACATGCATGAGCTTGTCAGTATATATTTTGTTATGTATACATGCAAGTGCTAGTCAGTTTATATTGTGCTATGTATACATGCATGTGCTAGTCAGTATACATTGTGCTTCATATACATGCATGTGCTAGTCAGTTTATATTGTGCAATGTATACATAGTATATATTGTGCTATGTGTACATGCATGTGCTCGTCAGTATATATTGTGCTATGTATACATGCATGAGCTAGTCAGTATATAGTGTGTTATGTATACATGCCTGTGCCAGTCAGTATATATTGTGCTATGTATACATGCATGTGCTAGGCAGTATATATTGTGCTATGTATACATGCATGAGCTAGTCAGTATATAGTGTGTTATGTATACATGCCTGTGCCAGTCAGTATATATTGTGCTATGTATACATGCATGTGCTAGGCAGTATATATTGTGTTATGTATTCATGCATGTTCTAGTCAGTAAATATTGTGCTATGTATACATGCATGTGCTTGTCAGTATATATTGTGCTATGTATACATGCATGTGCTAGTCAGTATATATTGTGCTATGTATACATGCATGTTCTAGTCAGTATATATTTTGCATGTGCAAGTCCAGTTTATATTGTGCTATGTATACATGCATGTGCTAGTCAGTATATATTGTGCTATGTATACATGCAAGTGCTAGTCAGTATATATTGTGCTATGTATACATGCATGTTCTAGTCAGTATATATTTTGCATGTGCAGGTCCAGTATATTTTGTGCTGCGTATACATGCATGTGCTAGTCAGTATATATTGTGCTATGTATACATGCATGAGATAGTCAGTATATATTGTGTTATGTATACATGCCTGTGCCAGTCAGTATATATTGTGCTATGTATACATGCATGTGCTAGGCAGTATATATTGTGTTATGTATTCATGCATGTGCTAGTCAGTAAATATTGTGCTATGTATACATGCATGTGCTTGTCAGTATATATTGTGCTATATATACATGCATGTGCTAGCCAGTATATATTGTGCTATGTATACATGCATGTTCTAGTCAGTATATATTTTGCATGTGCAAGTCCAGTTTATATTGTGCTATGTATACATGCATGTGCTAGTCAGTATATATTGTGCTATGTATACATGCAAGTGCTAGTCAGTATATATTGTGTTATGTATACATGCATGAGCTAGTCAGTATATATTGTTATGTATACATGCATGAGCTAGTTAGTATATATTGTGTTATGTACACATGCATCTGCTAGTCAGTATATATTGTGTTATGTATACATGCATGAGCTAGTTAGTATATATTGTGTTATGTACACATGCATCTGCTAGTCAGTATATATTGTGCTATGTATACATGCATGTGCTAGTCAGTATATATTGTGCTATGTATACATGCAAGTGCTAGTCAGTATATATTGTGCTATGTATACATGCATGTTCTAGTCAGTCTATATTGTGCTATGTATACATGCATGTACCAGTCCAGTATATAGTGTGCTATGTATACATGCATGTGCTAGTCAGTATATATTGTGCTTCATTTACATGCATGTGCTTGTCCAGTATATGCTGTGCTCCATATACACTGCATGATGGTTAGATAAGCAGGGGTGTCCATGTCCTGTTAATTGTCTAACTCAGTATATATCTCATTGGTAGGAATGGAATCATCCTCGGTTATCCAGGGCATTTTATCTCCATTCGAGTAGGATAGATAGTCTTGGACTCATTTGCGACAAAAGCTTCGCAAGTAATGTTTCCATTCCAATCCCTCTTACTACTACCTTAGCACAGGATTTCTCTCAATTAATTGAACAGCTATTTTAAGCATCATGTAGTTAGTTGTAGCAATGGGTTCCAGGGTATTTATGTTAATAGACTTAGTACACGGGATGATCAAGGATGAAGGGACTACATAGCCAGGTTCCGTACACATGTATACACAAGCCCTTCCTTCACACAATGAGATATACACATGTTAAACATGGCAGGACAGGATGTATATATAATATGCTTGATTTCTGAATATAGTTCACTTTGATATGGACCGAAGGGTCCAACCATTTGATATTCTGGGATTTTATATGAAGACTGGATATTCTTTCAGCTACAGCTGAATTAATTAAAACTTTGAGCTTAAATAATAAAAACATAACAATGCGATTTGGTGGCTTACAATATCTTGGTTTTGCTTCAACAGTCTGAAGAATAATTACTTTTTTCAAGCTTTTTCTTGGACAATATATGTTTTTTCGATAAATTCCAAACTTCCCCCCCTCCCCTCCCCTTTTATATCAAATGGTCGGTCTCTAATAACAGGACTGTATTCCCGATTTGGGATCCATGGCTTGGGCTGTTGTAAGATTAAACTTACTCAGTACCAAGCATAACATATATCATATATCTATTTCTGTATGTTACAAATGGCCATACCTTCATCTGAAAAACAACCAATTGACAGGTCAACAACAGTGAAACAACGATATACAATTGTATATATACTACTCAAAAGAAGTTAAAGATCACCCAATTCAGTCATATTTCTATAGTTAATCTGTCTGCTAAACAGTGATATGAAAGAATTGGGTTCGTTAACTCCTCCTGAGTATATAGTTCCCACTTGCCTACAAGACAGCTGTCATAGCATCAGAATGACAGTTGGGATCGTACAGTTTGGTCGTACAGATCGTACAGATGTATTAATCAATCTGACAGCTGTCATCATTCCCCAATAGGTCGTGCAAATTTACACCTGACAAAACACCACCCACCTACTCGTGTATCGATTCCTAATTTAAATTCTGTGTTGAATTTCAAGAAGTGATATATACGAAATGTTTGAAAGAACCTGACCCGATAACCACCAGCTTGTCTCTTTCATGAAACTTGATAAATCTGATATTAATGCACTATGACAGAGTTAGCGCTATATTGAAGGGGCAATAGCGAGGGGGCACTGCATATAATGGTATTATGTTGAGTCGTAATCAACCAACCATTCAACTACACAGACACTACATGTTATAACAAGCTCTTGTTAGCCAGGCCACATCAACACGGCAACAAGACTACTGAAATATTCACGGTATTGTGAGTCAAGCATTACGACATGCATCGCTTTAAGAGGTAGGTGTATCTGGACACCCTGAAGGCCAAAATATATCTATTATTAGATCTTCATTCAAATTTATTCGAATTGTGTGCCGGGAGCCACATTATTTTCACATATAATTTTTAAAAAGATCAAATCATCTGTGAAGATTTTCTGTTGCATGAATGCTTGGTGTGGATGTATATGGTATAGTTTATCTTTCGAAAGGTACAATTGTCCAGGGAATAATCAAATTATGTGAGGTAGGTTCTTGGTATTGCTGTGGGCAGGAATAAACATATTATCCTTTGTATCATTTAAACATTTTGTGAGCACGGTCTCCATGTTACAGGCTTACAGCTAGGATATGACAGTGTGAAAAATACACTTTAATATCTAAAGATCAATATGATAAATTAAGAGAATAACCATGAGCTACGGGGAAGTAGGGATTATCTGTCCCGAGTGAATTAATTGTGTTAATCCAGGCCTTTGGCAAGGTTACTAAACTTACAGCATTCACTCGCAAGAGACAGATAATCAGTAATTGTGTTTCAAGTAGGTTATTCTATAATTACTCATTGACATTTTACGAGAGAAAATGGTGAAAAAAAGTATAAATGTCAACCCAATAGAGAGTGAGTGAGTATGTTTTTTTACGCGGCTTTTAGCAATATTCCAGCAATATCATAGCAGGGCACACATTGTACCCATGAGGGTAATCAAACCCGGGTCTTCAGCGTGACAAGCCAACACTTTAACCACTAGGCTACCCCACCGCCCTCAACCCAACAGAGAAACTTCACTGGAGGCAGCCTGCAGTTCAGAGAGGTAATGTAATCAGTTTGTGATGTCACAGACTGTGATTGATGTCATATATTTTTCTCAACAATTAAGCACTGTGATATGGCTGCCCAATCAGGTTGAGAATTGCTAAAATGCAAATGTGCAAATATTGGAAACTTATAACACATGATCATTCTACCCTTATCAGTAGTACTGTACATTAGGTTGTGAAAAGGTTAAATTTCTCCGAATTATGCAATTTGGTTCAATGTTTTCTTATTGATTTTTTAAAAGGTCTTCAGCAAATGATTAATTCCTGATAGTAGTTTATGTTTAACGCCGCACTCAGCAATATTCCAGCTATATGACGTCTGTAAATAATCGAGTCTGGACCAGACAATCCAGTGATTAACATCCTGAGCATCGATCCACGCAACTGGAATACGATGACTTGCATCAATTAAGTCAGCTAGCCATACCAACTTATCCCGTTAGTCACCTATTACTTCTGATAGTAAAAGACACAATATCACAATTGTAATAATGAAAGTTTGTTTCATAAGAACTCTACACTCATGAAACTGGCTTCAAATGGGTGCAGAGACATGCAATGAACACGTCATCAGGTCAGGATGACACGCAATGAGCCACGTCATCAGGTCATGATGACACACAATGAGCCACGTCATCAGGTCATGATGGCACACAATGAGCCACGTCATCAGGTCATGACAGCACGCAATGAGCCACTTCATCAGGTCATGATGACACACAATGAGCCACGTCATCAGGTCATGATGACACACAATGAGCCACGTCATCAAGTCATGATGGCATGCAGTCAAGCCAAGTCTCCGGATCTAGGGCTTGGGTGGGTACTGAGTAGGACCAGGGTACCCCCAGAACTACCCAGACCCGTAGTTAGTCACGTGATATACTGTTTAATGATACAAATTATCTTGAACTCCATGGTGACACTACAAGGCACTGAAGTTCTCAAGGTTTTCTGACTGTGCACACATTCCATTCATGTTTAAAAAAGATTAAGCTTTGGTCAACTTTATGCATTATCATTTTCATACTTTTTGCCAGGGCTCCGGTCAAACAATTCCCAATCGGACATTTTGTACCCAACTCTAGAGACCAACAATGGGTACCCGGGTCGTAAATTTGGACTCGTCCCAGCCCTATCCTGATCGCATGGTTAGCTTTAGTCAGCCCCTACAATAAGGGACCTGTGGGGACCTCTGGGACCCCTTTTTCCTCGGAATTCCCATGGTTTGGAAACGTCACAAGGATAAACAATGATGCTGAGATAACAAGAGTTTGAGATAAGGTCAGAGGTTACAGGAGATATTGTGATGTGTACTGGGAGGATGGGAGGATGTCTGACAGCACTAGCAGTATGTTGCCACCTGAGGGCTACATGGGGACAATGTTGGTACTTACATTTAGGAATGTTGACTTTGTTGGAGATGAGGACATCCGCCTGGATGTGGTTCATGTTGACATACAGGGTCTCAGGGTTTGCCTGCAATACACGTAATAATGATGATGATGACGATGACGACGACGACGACAACGACGATGATGATCAGCCAAAAGCCAAATTCAATATGAAAATACATTAATTTTATTTTCATTTTCCATATTTCCAAATATTTATTCTGAAGATTTATGAAACAGAATTTGTGAACAACAGACAAGAAAAACATCCATGAAGATCCGGGGTAGAATAGGTCTTCAGCAACCCTGATGATGCTTGCCATAAAAGGCACCAATGCTTGTCGTAAGCGGCGACTATCGATATTGGGTGGTCAGACTCGCTGACTTGGTTGATGCATGTCATCGAATCCCATTTGTGTAGATTGTGCTTATTATGTCAATCACTGGATTGTCTGGTTCAGACTCAATTATTTACACACCGCCTTAACATAACTGGAATATTGCTGAGTGCGGCGTCAAACAACAAACAACAACGACAAGAAACACATGATTACACTAAGAACTTTCATTACACATCCAGTGCTTACATCCATAGTCGGAACATTCAGACATAAATACTCACCATAAACAAATCATACAAGGCTTCTCCCATGGCGTCTCGAACATGGTCGTCAACGATAGGGAACGTCCTACAGAAATACTGTAAACCAACAAGAACAAGATGACGTGATTGAGTGTATTGATGTGGGTGTGACTTCTAGAAAAAACTTTTAGGGGCTGGTCATTTATTGTATGGGGAAAAACATGAAAAAATGTTAAATGTATAAATTGGATGGGCCATAAAAAAATGTTTAACATAAAATTGTGGCAGGGAGGGGCCAAAAAATATGCCTAAGCCCAATCCTATCACCACCCTACCCTATCCCATCCCACCCCATCCCACCCCATCCCACTCCACCCCACCCCACCCCACCCCACCCAACCCCACCCAACCCTCTCTTATAAATGACCAGTCCCTAAATTTTTAAAAGTTATCATTTTCATGTATGCATGAGTAAAATACACATTTTACTTTCTCACAAGTAGAGAAAATAGAGACCTAAGTCAGAACAATTTCAACATTATTTTCCTCAGAACTATAGTATTTGTGAAAGTAGAAAATAAATCCCCAAATTTTGAAAAGGTTCAAATTACAAAACAAAATCATGTAATGTGGCATCTAATATTTCTTATCTGGAAAAGAATTAAGCACCACTAGCAAAATGTTTTAGTATGAAATAGACATGCCCTGTGTCAATTTGTTTACATTATGACATGCTGCAATAGCTATTTTACTTTGTATCCTGTATTTAATTGTATCCTCTAGTTCTTTGCATTACATGATATGACCCTGTCCTTTCGACCATCTAGAGAATCATCTGGTGTTTTATAGACTTTTCATCAGTTATCAATGAGTGAGCGAGTTGGGTTTAACACCGCTTTGAACCGTATTCCAGTAATATCACAGTGTGTCAGCTTAATGTGGGAGGAAATCCAAAAGTGGTGCAGGTCAAAGACGTTTACCACTTTGGTGAAACCAACAAGCATGGGTATGGTGCTGACAGACCTAGAAACATGCATGTAATTGGAATTTGAACCCACGATCATAGGTTCCGGTGTGCCCAAGGGATGCAACTCTGCACAGAAAATCATGGGGCCTGGGACACTCATGACCCCTCATTAGGTGACAGTGATATGTTAGACATTAATGTAGATATTTCCAAATGATTCAGTGTTCTGGACATACAGGTGTATACATATTTGAGTGTGAGTATGTGACGAACCTCGAGCGTGATGCTTGCTTGTCTCTGGCTGTCAGCGTAGTCCTGGTTGCCCATAGCAAACATCAGGTTGTGCACCACACGGGTCTGGCAGAGACACAACATACACATGAGACACCCAGGTCTGGCAGAGACACAACATACACATTAGACAACCAGGGTCTGGCGGAGACACAACATACACATGGGACAACCAGAGTCTGGCAGAGACACAATATACACATTAGACAACCAGGGTCTGGCAGAGACACAACATACACATGAGACAACCAGGGTCTGGCAGAGACACAACACACACATGAGACAACCAGGGTCTGGCAGAGACACAACATACACATCAGACAACCAGGGTCTAGCAGAGACACAATATACACATCAGACAACCAGGGTCTGGCAGAGACACAACATACACATTAGACAACCAGGGTCTGGCAGAGACACAACATACACATTAGACAACCAGGGTCTGGCAATGACACAATATACACATTAGACAACCAGGGTCTGGCAGAGACACAACATATACATTAGACAACCAGGGTCTGGCAGAGACACAACATACACATTAGACAACCAGGGTCTGGCAGAGACACAACATACACATCAGACAACCAGGGTCTAGCAGAGACACAATATACACATTAGACAACCAGGGTCTGGCAGAGACACAATATACACATCAGACAACCAGGGTCTGGCAGAGACACAACATACACATTAGACAACCAGGGTCTGGCAGAGACACAACATACACATTAGACAACCAGGGTCTGGCAGAGACACAACATACACATGCGACAACCAGGGTCTAGCAGAGACACAATATACACTTGAGACAACCAGGGTCTAGCAGAGACACAACATACACATGAGACAACCAGGGTCTAGCAGAGACACAACATACACATTAGACAACCAGAGTCTGGCAGAGACACAATATACACATTAGACAACCAGGGTCTTGCAGAGACACAATATACACATAAGACAACCAGGGTCTGGCAGAGACACAACATACACATTAGACAACCAGAGTCTGGCAGAGACACAATATACACATTAGACAACCAGGGTCTGGCAGAGACACAATATACACATTAGACAACCAGGGTCTGGCAGAGACACAATATACACATCAGACAACCAGGGTCTGGCAGAGACACAACATACACATTAGACAACCAGGGTCTGGCAGAGACACAATATACACATCAGACAACCAGGGTCTGGCAGAGACACAACATACACATTAGACAACCAGGGTCTGGCAGAGACACAATATACACATTAGACAACCAGGGTCTGGCAGAGACACAACATACACATCAGACAACCAGGGTCTAGCGGAGACACAACATACACATGCGACAACCAGGGTCTGGCAGAGACACAATATACACATTAGACAACCAGGGTCTGGCAGAGACACAATATACACATTAGACAACCAGGGTCTTGCAGAGACAAAATATACACATTAGACAACCAGTCACATGGCCTGGAACATTTATAATACATTCAATACATTCAGGCAAAACTTTGAAGGACTCTGGCAACACTTTTTATTTATTTCTATGTGTACAGATACCAGCGACAAGAGTTAAAAGTGAAAAAAAGATGTGAAATAATACTATTTTAAATTAAATTAATTTCTTTTTTACCAACTGCTCCATCTTTGATGAATAGGAAAAAAAGATACAATTCAAAAAACATTTGATGAACATTGGATTAAACATTTGTATTTATAAGGTACATGTACCATCAGGGCTTATATCATCAAAGAATAACAAGCTTTACCTGAATTAGTTTTTCTGCAAGTTCATTTCTGTCTCTTGCTAGGATGCTGAAAATGAAGCAAAAACCATCAACATACGCCTTTTTTAATAGTGGAGTGAGCTTGTGTCATGGCCTGGTTGTCTGTCATCCACTGATGACAGGGTCGGTGGTGGTGTCCACGTACGTGTGTAACATCATCTTTACCTATCAACCAATGATTCTTAACCACCTATGCTTGTTCCCACAAATGACAATACATGAATTTGATCAAGAGATCTGAAATCCAATTTTTTAACAAGGCAGCCATCTTGAAAAAACACTGTATATTCCATCTTTTTCCAAAAAGTATGGAACGCTCCATTGTGTGTTGTTAGAACTAGGGACAGTTTCTTGTGATATTATGAAATTTCACCTTGATTTGACCTTTGCACTTTGACCTTTGCACCTTAAATTTAGTCAAAGTGCACTATCTGTGCTCTGGATACATCTTCTGAAACTACTCTACTGATGAAGCTGAAATTTGGTATGCATTTTTTCTACTAATGACTTCTTTTACTTAAACAATTGCCATTCTACTGTTAATTCTTGTAAAACATTTAAAACAAAAACGAAATTATCAGAATTCTAATTTGCAAGCGCCACAAAAGTAGAACATTACTACTTTGTCAAGCAGCTGTCATTGTTGATATGTTAAACTGTTTACTACACACCAAGGAGAGCTACAATTCCTTGGAACTGTTTTTTAAACAACTTAAAGAGTATGTATGTGAGCTCAAAATTTCAAAGTCAAAGTACAGACAATTTTGTGTTGCTATGGAAACATGCTCACCCAATAGTTTTAGCTGCCGCTGCTTGCTGCACATACACAGGTAGAGGGGCACTTATCTTCGGAACATCAGGATCTGTCGGCAGCAGGATAGAAACACTATGTCACAGTGCACAGATATAATGACAGAAGCTGTCGCCATGGTAACAAGCAATGAAGAAAAGAAATCATCCATTACGATTGAATTTGTAAATCATCGTGTCTAGTCATGTTGAATAGATCAGATTTGCAAACCGCAAATCAAGCACACAAACTCCTATTGCCGCCATAACCATAAAGTATTCTAGCATTTATTGTAGGATTTTCTTTTTTTGAAGATGGAAATAAAATTGAGAAAATTGCCTGGTAACCAACACCATTATTTCTTTGAGCCTAATGATGGTAGGTTTTCACTCCATCTTACTCAAACAGATATGCTTCATTACTAACCAAATGTTTACTTAAAGACTATTCTATTTCAAGCAGTGAATTTCACTGAGATTGTGTATTGTCCTTAATCTACGTTAAAAAGTGAAGCTTATTGAGAACCTTCGAGGATCTCTGGCCTGGGCAGGCTGTCCTCCTTGGCTGGTCGGAGGAGCGCCACCAGACCCTTCAGTAGACTGGTAGACACATCGTAGTCCATCAGCTCCTTGATCAGCTCGATAGCTGCAAACAACAAACATGTCACAGTAGTGAATCAGAGCAATCGCATAAAAATCAGATATTTTACTTGGATACGATACTTACTCTGCGTGAAGATCTGAGGACATCTCAATTGGTCGTGTCAGGTGAATTTTCTAATAAGCCAATCAGTGTCAAGGCTCGTAAATTCTTGGTTTGAGTGAGCGAAGCATTCAACCAGCATATCAGTGCAATCTCATTAAAGTGAGTAAGTGATTTGGGTTTTAACGCCGCTGACAATATTCCAGTTATGTCATGGTGTTTCAGCTTGATGTGTGATGAAACCTACAAGTGATGAGGGGATTAGACATTTATCACAACCTGCGTGCCCAAGGGAAGCAACTCTGCAAAGCGAAATGCAGGGCTTCAGACAGATTTTTTTAATACTCTGATATGATACCTTAGTCCCTCTCCCAGACCCTAGAGAATAAAATTGAAAGAGGAGTCCAACTCAAGCCTAGAATTATTTGGCAAGTCTAGATTGCCTCAGCTTTAGGATTGTTCTGGGCTCCATTTGGATTTTATTATTTTTATTTTGTACAGTTATATTTTTAAATAAGATAACTTGATTTCAGGGACTAAATGTAGTTCTAATGAAACCTCTCTGCATGAAGATCTGACAAACCCTCAATTGGTTTATCAGGTGAACCCTAAGCAAACCTTAACTGCCCAGTCTAAATGGAGGATGGGTTGAATCTTGAGCCAATCAGAGTCCATATCGCCCACAAAAGCAGGCGCTAACTGACTTAGGTGGGCCAAGATGCGAAACAGTGAAACGAGGCTTGCTCCCCTCTCAACCAAATTGAATTGTCTGACCTCAGTGCGTTGCACATTCTTGGGTAGTTACGAAGAATAACAACCCACTGAGACACTGTACATAACACACACTAGTGGTACAACATCTGTATCACCTGTACCTTACCTTCAAACTGCACCTCCAGGTGGAGAGTCTTCAGCAGGTTCAGTAACGGCTCCACCACGCTGACATTTGCCTGCCTCACAGTCGCCTGAAGACAAACACATCACCTATCATAAAACAGAGCTGATAGACTAGCAATGTAATTTGGGAATACAATAATAGCCCGATCATCAGGCGTGTAACTTTTCAAAACTGCCAGCAAAATAGACCATTTCGGGGTGTCGGCAGGCGGGTATTTTAAACACTGGCTGATAGCCGAGGTCACTCGACATTACACAGTATACTGATCGCATCCCTGTCACATGTATGTACATGTATATTGAGAGTCAACAGCATATACCACATTAGGCGTGTTATCACTTTTTTTTAAACTGTATAGGATCAAATTAGTAAGTTCGTTAAAGAAGCTCTGGAAAGTAAATCTTCACTTGATAGTAAGCATATTGTGTCATCTACCGCCTAATTGCCACTTATATATGAAATTGTTGTAACAACTTGGCACATTGGCCATTGGCCTAATAAACAGAAATAAACTTACTTTGTATAGGATCCTTATCAATATTTTAACGTGTAAAAGCCGACCCTACTTGATGTTTACCTGTACAACTCGGAGTGAGTGTGCTGCCATCTGCTGGGCTTTAGGGGAGCTACACGGCAGCAGAGCAATCAGCCCCTTGTACACCTGCATCTCAAACTTGGGGTTGCCCTGACCCAGCATCAGCAGCAAGTTCCGGCAGGCATCCTGGGTCTCCTCACTCTTAGACTTGGCCAGGCACTCAGCCACAGCCCGGATGCCTGGAGCAGAACACAGTACAGTGGATATACCATTTTTTACGGGGCCCTGCTTTTTTCCCTGTCCTTATTCTCAGCCATTGTTGATGACAGGGGTAGTGGATAAACTCCTTCCCAGCGCATGACACCTTCGTTACACTCTCGGTAACATCGCTGCCACCAGTGTGGGCGCAGCCATTACAAGAATCTTGACATTTGCCCTTTAACCCCAAATGTTGTAATGTTTATACTTTTGTTTATGTTTTTGGGAATGCCATCACAGTTACAATGCCATCACAAGGTTTTCAATTGACCATATTTCCCAGATGAATTTACCTTTTTGTTTGTCTGATCGGATTGGTTCGTGATCGCAAACAAACAGAAAATCAACAACTTCTCCCTTACATTCTTACTATACCAATTACATGATAGTTGTAATGAAACACAAATTCAAATTGACAAATAAAGAAAATAATTAAACTGGGATAAGAGTATTCAGCATCATGGGTGTCATCACTTGTTTGTAAACATAACAGACAGTCGGTTGCGAGTTCAACTCCAAGCATGGTTGTGGTCACCTATCACAGTGAGGAGTTTTGATTGGTGGCAGATAGTGTAGAGAGCTCCGCGAATGGTCTATTGCTGTGGGGAGCTTGGGGTAGCTGTATAAACTGAATAACTCAAAATCAATACCATTAACGGATAACAGGGTCCAGTAATAGGGGGTCAGGTACCCTGGGTTGAAATTTTGATCCATCCCAGACCTGTTACAAAGATGATCATACCATAGCTCTCGCACACAAGCTCCTTGTATTTGCGTCCAGCATTTGCAATGTGTTGTATACACTTGATAGCCTGCGCTTTGTCTGCCTCCTGAGCTTGTTTCAGTCCAATGACCTCGAGCAGGGTCAGAACACCTCCAACTTCCAGAAACTCTGCCATGAACTTGTGCCTGATGACAATTAAAAAAATTATTACTCACAAAAAATGAACAAATTTATTCTTTTAAACATCACGGAAGAAAAAAGGTTACCGTATTCGACAAAATAAGCGCCCAGGGCTCTCTCAAAATTAGAAATAGGGGGCTCTTATTAGAATATAATTTTAGTAAAAAAACAGAGCTGAAAGATCGTAAATTTCGTGGTTTATGCTGACAGCCTGAAATATTGACATACGACAGATATATTTTTCCAGAATTTAATTGCCCATAATTAAGGGTGCATATAACACTCAAGTGCGTATTATACGCGAATGAATAAGTCTTGTGTCCATTGATCAATCGGAAGGGGTGCTGATTGGGTTTGTTCACTAGCCAATATATTAGCAAATATCCCCGTGGGCTCTTATTAGAGTGGGGCGCTTATTACGTCGAATACGGTAATCATAATCATGACAAATAGATAACAAAAATATATGCCTCTAAGAGGAGAGATGAACTTGGGTGATATTATCATGCAGAACCTGTTCATTCTGGTAATCTAGTTTGTTCACACAAATAAAAAACAAATGAAATATCCTCTAAATAGCAGTTATGTTTTATATACTTACCGGGGCTATGTATAAATACAGTCGACTCTCATTAAAAAGATTCAGCACAAGCCATTATCGAGTACTATCCAAAACAGGGACTGAATTTTTGTCCTTTCAAGAATTTAAATGTACCAACAAGAAGAAATACTTTTGATCCATTTTCGAGAATGTCATTTCACCAAGAGATAAAAACTTAGCAGTTGTAATTAGAGAGTTTGCGCCTTCCTATTAATAAATATACTGATAATACTCTTTTCAAATCCTAACCCTTCAGGTTTATCTATGAATCATACTTTGCATAAAGCCTGTTCATATGCCCATTACTATTTCCCAGTTTTCTCATGTTTTTTTCCAATACATGGTATTTACGATATGGAAATACACAAGCTAATAATCTCTATTTATTTCAAATGACCCTGTAGGCCTAATCAACTGAATTAAAACCAAGTTCAGACATTTCTTCAAGGTTTTGAGGTGAAATGGGGTTTAACGTCTCGTCCAAGATTATTGCATTTATATAGCCATGTGCATGCATTTGTGTGAGGTGTGTGTGTGTGTGGCTGCATGTACTAGTCCAGACTAATGCCGATTTTATAGTGCTAGCCCATTGATATACCATGCCGCCATTTAACATGAATACTACACTCAGACACAGTATACCAACCAGTCCTTGTTTTAGTACATCAATGCCATCCAGGCAGGGCAACAACAAGTACCATCTTTTAACGTCTTTTGGTATGACACGGCCCTTACGCTCTCTGGATAGAGACTCTACCACTAGACCCTGGAGGCGTCCAAATGATGCTGGTCAAATCTAGCATCATGTCTATGTATAGAATTACAAAAGAAGCTGGATGACCTCATTTGCATATTTATCAGAAGATTACAATATGTATCCGATTGGTTTATCGTATTAATAACACTATCCATCATATGATAAAGTATACTTACCCACTAGATGCAGACAGGAATATTGACACTGCACACAGCTGTTCATGAAGACATGTCCCAATCATGTATCTGTCACTCATTAAGGATTTCATCAATGTATGAATGAAGTTTTCAGCTAAAATAATAAGGGGATGTATTACCTTTTGACTATGGACAAGTGAATGTGTTGGTGAGTGAGTGAGTGAGTTGGGTTTAACGCCGCTTTTAACAGTATTCCAGTTATATCACGGCGTGTCAGCTTAATGTGGGAGGAAAGCCCGAAGTGATGCAGGTCTCAGACGTTTACCACTTCCGTGAAACCCACGAGCATGGGTATGGTGCTGACAAACCTAGAAACATAATCTGGGCGAACTGGGATTCGAACCCACAATCATAGGTTTCTGGCGTGCCCAAGGGACGCAACTCTGCACAGCAGGTCGCGGCGCCTTAGACTGGGCCATCCGTGCCCCCGAATTTGTTGGTGATTTAATGAACTCATAATCCAAATAAGGTAGCATTAAAGCACATACATTTCACCACTTTTCAACCATACATCATGACGATTTGATGTGATCTGACATCAAACCCCTGTTTTGTGAGTGAGTGAGTGAGTTAAGTTTTACGCCGCTTTTAGCAATATTCCAGCAATATCACGGCTGGGGACACCAGAAATGGGCTTCACACATTGGACCCATATCGGGTATCAAACCCGGGTCTTTGGCGTGACGAGTGAACGCTTTAACCACTAGGCTACCTGACCGCCCCCCTTGTTTTGTGAAAAAATAGAACATAAAATGGGTATGTGGGGTGTTCAAAGCAAGAAATTATGATAAAGTCATAAGACCAAAATACACTTTTCACTGAAAATGTTAACTGATAGGGGTACACGGCCACAGCTGGTTTACATCAGCTAAAGTTGTTTTTTACGCACATCCATGTCCTTTGGGTCAATGTCATTTCACTTTCCAAAAACTTGTATGACATATATGGGTAGGTAGGCACTGGCAAGAACATTCTTCAAGCAAACTAAAGGATACGTTAGACGTAGCCATGCTGTAAGTCTTGTAAGAAACAGACTAGCTGCTTGTGCAAATTCTTGTTCTAATTCCGGTCCAGTTTTACTTTGATTCTGCCGGATAAAATCTTGAAGTATTTTCTTTCGGACAGATTTGGATCCCTTGTCCCATTCTTGCAGGAGATTCATTATTCTGGACATGGCAGTTTGTTGCTTTGCACTCCCCATGACTGTACCAAGTCACACGGAAAGAACCTGTTAGTGTGAAATTAAAAAGTAGTTTGCGTTATTTTTCTCGCTGTGGCAGGTCTGTCAAGACGTTGTTGACATAGTTGCTATACCGCCATCTTGGTTGAGGGTAGTATGAAAGCGCCGATCTAATTGGCTGATTTACTTGAGTCCATCCAATGATATAATGTGTTTCATATTGATGACTACTAAATAAGAATGAGTGTTTTGATTGGATAGTTGTTTTCTTCATAAACCAACCAACAACCACTTTGAATGTCATGAGAGTGTCACAACAATCATGGCGGCCAGAAAGCACGAGTACAGAGTTACACTGCCGGCAACTGATGCAGAAGATGTCGATTTGACAATTGAGGATAATTTTGCTGTATTCGAAGAGGCAGATATACAAGAGAAGAGACCTGTGATCATTTTACTCGGCTGGGCTGGCTGTGTTGACAAGCATCTCGCAAAATATAGTGAAATCTACGAAAAGAGAAGGTGACAGACTCGTGATCGCAATCTGACATTTCTTGCTCTACTTTCAGTTGACGACTTCGATTACTGATGATCCGAGTTGTCATGGCTGAAATACTTTTTGTCTTAAACTGTTTAACCATTGATAATTTTTTCGTTTTTACTGTATGACTATGACAGACTTGTACAAAGGGTTTGATAGACACTCCCAGATGACATACTTGTGAGTCATGTGCGTTCTGAGCTCTACAAAGGAAAACAACAGGATGACAGCGTAGGAACAAGGAAGTGTACCCCCATGTTTCATTCATACTGTTGAAAGAGAATAATGATGTTGCAATGTGAATGTGTGGATTACAAGTTACTATTATGTTACATAATTTATCTCATGATATATTTAACTATTAATCATCATTATGGCGTAACAAAATAGACAACAAAATTATGGATAATAACTTCTTTATAATACTGTAATAGCAACATTTTGGTATAGATCCTTATACTGTTGTCAAGCAAGACTTAATAATGGACATAATATCAATCATCATTATGACATAACTATTGACAACTAATATTGAAGATATCTAAATATCCGGCCTACCTTTAGAATACAGTACCACAAACTTTTCAAACACGTGATCATACCCTATGACGTAATTTGTAGTATTTTGTTGCCAATCACACCGGCGAGACAATGCCCAGTGACGTCAGGGGTCATCGAGTGTGCATAAGCTCCTCCCAGTGATCTATCATCTCTACACCCAATGTCACTGAATAGGCCCTGCGGTGTTGAGAGTTTTGAGTATTTGTTTACTAATTATAGCCTGCGGCGGCGCATTTTAGAGCAAGCGCTAGTTTACGAAAGCACTTTTATTTTTTTTATTTCGTTTTTCTCCTAATTGAAGTGGATAAAATGGTTATAAATGGGAACTAATATACATATATATATATTATTTTTTCGGTTCATTGATTTTCATTATTATGCACAAGAATGCAGTTTATTAGGGATATTATATTGACGCTGAACACATCCAAATGTCGCCAGTTTTAGGGTAGGTTACCCCGAACTCTCTATCATTAGCCCTTGGATCCCCTTTAAGATCAATCACCCCTTTACGATCATAAGGGTTAGGTACTCATTTAGTGGCTATTATAGATTATATAGCGGCTCCTAATATTCTTCACACAAAAACGTCAATTAAAAAGGATGAAATGGTTTTGTGTCAAATATTTTGGCTACTGGAAACTGTCCTGGAACATTCACACAAGCCACTTTCACCGGCTACATTTTTTCAGTACTGATTCAAAAGCGAACTCACCGTTGTGTTGTCACTAGTCATGCTTATTCCTCCATTGTTCCTTACTATTATCCACATCATCCTGACAGTGTTCCCTACCATACTTTTCTGTCACAAAAATCACCCGACGAATGATTAAATACCATATCATTCATGCGTACTCGCGAGTTCGCTGCTGACGCTGGAGCCGTTTTCAGTTCGCGGCATATCGGCTCATTCCCCACCACTCGGTATCTTGTAGATTACAGAATGGGACAAGTGTGCCAAATGGCATCGGGATCATTCGTAAATGTCCGTAGACTAAAGTCCCGAGACACCATGCCTATCCGTAACCTTCGTAAGTGTCCGTCACCTATTCAACCCTTTTCGTTCAGTTCCATAACGTCATAGGCATCACTAGGTAAATTTGCAATAAGTTTAACAGTGTGGACGTAGCTCAGTCGGTTAGCTGTTAGGCTAACAATCCAAAGGTCACGGGTTCGAGTCCGACGGATTCTCACAAAAAACGGGTTGCTTGTCTTGAGACATGTGACCTACGGCAGAGATCGTCCTCACGAGAAGTTGTGGTACTGTATTCTAAAGGTGCTCCAAATATCCTCGTATTATGGGTTTTTGGATGCTTAAGAAGGAGTCATGGTTTTCTCTGTAATGACATGATTAACTGTAAAACATCTAACTCACTAAAAAGCTACCATCCATATATTGACAGTGTCTGTGTGAAGCCACTCCCCTCATTATAGCGAGAATAAACATGGTCGTCCGAAAATGTATGATGTCCGAAAAAAATATAATCCGACGATATATGTATGATAATCAAGAGGCTTTTGATGTATCCTCGGTCAACAATGTATTGAGTCATTGAGTATATTGATAATATCTTTGGAACTTTATGTATTAACATATTATAATTGTTATTCTGGACTTCAGGTTGTGAATATTAGACTATCTAAATAAAATGTTTGTACTTATCTTACAACTAAAATAATTCTTAATATTTTTTCAGATTGATTACAATCCGCCATATCTTTCCAACTGATGCTTTGTTCTACAACTTTAGTCTACTGAAGCCGATTGCTAAGAAGGTTCTTGATGTTGTCTTTGAGGAAAACCTGGAGGAACACCAGATTGTGTTCCACATCTTCAGTAACGGCGGCTGCTTCATCTACTGCCACATCACCGACTTCCTCCACTCCCAAGAGAGGTACAATCAGCTGCTGGTCAAGGGATGCATCATCGACAGTGCTCCAGGAAAGAGGCGAATAATGAAAGCCACACAGGCATTCATGGCTACACTCCGCATGAACCTCATCCTCAAATACATCCTTGGATTCTGCATCATGATCTATCTGTTCTTCTCCAGGCTTATTGGACAATTCCTAGGGAGTGATAAGGGTTCTGGAAACCCGTTTTTCTTGTTTGAAAGCATCTGTGAAGACAAAGCAAGGTGCCCACAGCTGTTCCTCTTTTCTCGCAAGGACCGTGTGATTATGCATGAAGATATTCAAGAAGTTGTTGATCGCCGCAAGCAGCATGGAGTCGATGTATGGAGTGTATGCTGGGAAGATTCGGATCATGTCGCTCACTTCCGAGTCCACCGAGAAGCGTACATACAAAAGTGCAATGAGTTTGTCTCCCACTGTCTTAAGCCACAGAAACTGAGTTGACTAAGTAAGCTGTAGGTGTTGGTGAGACACACTGTTATACATAATATGGTCAATGGTCATAAAATTTTCAAATCAATGCACAATTTAATTCAATTGGTATAAGTCAATAAATGAAATAATTAACTTTTTTTAGGCCTGTGCAATTTAGTTCCTTGTTTTATAATTCTCATCATGTTTTGGTCATCACAAACCCACTCACTTAAAAAAAAAATCACATGATGCATATTAAAAGAAATATATATTGTACACAAACAAACCCAGTTACAGCATGTACAACATAGAATAGTTGAAAATATAATAGACACAACACAGTGATAATTTACCCGTTGATTTTTCCATATTATAAAGAGATTGTACTTTTTTCCTCCAGCTTGCTGATGAAATTATTGTCATGGCCACACTCAGCCCTTTGACAAATTCAAATGACTTGATATGGATTGATATATCATATCTGAGTTATGATATTAGAGATGGAATCAATTTACTGCCAGTATTATTACCCTGGTACTTCAGTTGACATAACTGTAAATGCATGCTCCTGAACACAGAAAATACATAACCTTCAGAATAATCATAATCAGATTTACTGTTATAGTCCAGATGTGTCAGGTTGTCCTGGTTACAAGAAAGATATGGTCATGATGATGGAAAGTCATTTACTCTGCTGATAATCATGTGATACTGATACCTACTTTTGTTTTCAAGATATATGTTTATGAATATCAGACTTCATTGTTTATTTATTTGTTTTTTAAAGGTAGCTAACAATGGCTTTAGATATTTTTGAGGCTTTAAATCTTCCTATGCATCTTATTTTTTATTGTGTATGAATTATGTGGTGTTGCCAAGAATTTTGTTAAAGGTTCACAGCGTTTGTGTTTTAATTCACTTCCATTCCTTGCCAAATTATTCCTTTTTGACCGATTTTATTTTTGTCACCTATAGGACAAGTCTATGTCCGGCATGATATGAAAGTGACAAGGCTATTAACACTGAATGGACAAAACCAACAGGCCGTAATTTGTACTGCAAGGTCACACACAGTCACTCATTGATAAAAGATGTTTTTTTACCGTGTTTTTGTTTCTGGTTGTCCAAAGGAGGATTGGTGTTTTCCTTACTTCTCTAGTCCTGAGCGTTGTACCGAGTCCTGCTTGAACAAAACAATAATGTTTACTATATTTACATGTCCTTGTAGTTTTATTTAGTTCCAGTTTGTAGCATCAATTGAATCACTGAAAACTGTTCTTTGCCCTCAAATGCTACTAGTCAATGAGGACTACCATCATTCGATTTTAGCTTGTCCTCACAATTTAGGTGTTGTGAGGAGACTGGATGTTTCAACTCACTGAAACAAGATTTTTATAGGGTTACATGAAATACTCATTAGATTTTAAGAATCATTGTCACCAAACTGGAGTCAATCAATATGAGAACACATGCAATAGTAATGAGAACAATTCTATATGTCTGTGTACCAAGACAGTGTGTCAGCTGGCGCCAATTGTTGAAAGTTGCTGGTAACACCATTCTGGTGTCCACCAATGTTGCTGAATATTGGTAAAAGTGTTGCAAAACACTGCTCATTCTTTGTTGGCATCATGGAAAGGAAGTGATGGTCAAGTGTCACTAATGTCGTCAATCTGTTATGATAATTAATATCCTGTTTGGATGATTGTACTAAGTTGAAATATTGTTCTGCAACTTTATTGGTCTTATTTTGTTGTTTTTTCCTTCTAAGGGCCTTACCTGGATCAATGTTTCTAACACAGTATACTGTGCAGTGTTTGCACTCTCTTCCAGCCCTGTCATTAGTTGTCAGAGCTCTAGTCATCCTATTGGTCTGTCGTTAGAGTGTTTATTTGTCATGTTTTTACAGCCAGGCCTGAAATGTATAAATTTAGGTCCACTCTATTCATACTCATTTTCCCAAGGCAAGGGAGTTAACTGACTACAAAAGTCAAGTTTCCACCCTTGCCCATCTTCCCAAGGCAAGGGAGTTAACTGACTACAAAAGTCAAGTTTCCACCCTTTCCAACCTAGGCTGGAAATCTGGGCTCGATCGTAGTGCCACCAGTGTCTATTCTGAGTTATGTCCCTTCTATGCCTCTTCTATTGACCAATCAGATTCCACCTCTCGCATCACTTGCATTTGCTTGCGGCGCTGAGTCAAGACGATCTGATCGATATTTAAGTTTTATATATTGATAAAACGGCACCTTGAATAAAAACATAAACAGATTTGAAAAATATCTATTGATGCTGAGGTGGTGGTGGACATGTTTCCACCCTTGCCAAACTAGGCTGGTATTATGGAGTTACATTTTGGCTGGACTAACGAGTTTATCCAATCAAAATCGTGTAATGAAAATGACATCTGGTTCATTAACTGTTGTGCAGATATCTGTTGATTGCAGGATTTGCAAAGCAACTGGACTTTTAAAGTCAGTTAACTCCCTTGCCTCGGGAAGATGATTCATACTAGAATTATAGAAAATTGCAATTTTTCAGATCAGTGTTATAATGTTTTGTTTATGTATGCAAGTGTCAGCAACTGTTTTACGTTTTACTAGTTACATGAAGATCCGGGTTAGATATGGTCTTTAGCAAACCATGCTTGTCGTCAGAGGCGACTAACACGTATCCACGTTCGCTGTCTTGGTTGATGTATGTCATCGTATCCAAATTGCGTACATTGATGCTCATGAAGTCAATCACTGGATTGTCTGGACCAGGCTTATTTGCAGACCATCTTCATTTAGCTGAAATATTGCTGAGTGCAGTGTTAAATAACATACAACTTGTTTTATTGGATGGATGTACGGTTAAGTGGATTCAATAATGTTTGAAAAATGACATGATCAGTATACTTGTGATTCTGGTATCTGATTTTATTGCTGACTCTATTCCAAAAATATACTCACAGCCAAAACAAACGCAAACATTAGAAACATTTAGAGAAGTTTGTACGTTAAGAAGACAAGTTTCCAGTGTGTACCACTAATGACAAACCTAACATTCAGCCAAGTGTTACCACACAGTGACTTTATTCTTATCACAAGATGCTGCACCTGATTTCCAAACTTTACACGCTGATCCTGCACGAAGCAAATGATGCATCTGGAGTCATGGATCTATGACGTCACATGTGATGCGTTCATGAGCATCATTTCACCTCACATACCAGTATGTTTGGTTGTGCATTGAACCAATCTTATATCTCTTGTATATATGAGTAAGTCTTCATGTATTAACCAACATGTATGGTATTCACGTTTCTTTTGGTAGTGAGTATATATCAGGAAGAAATACTTTTTCCTCCATGTGCCATAATAATTCATAGGAATTTTGAATGTTTTTCAGTGAAAAGTTAGTGTTTATATTACACCAAACTCTCACTCATAACATTTGTAAATAGTCAAATCTTTCCGTATTATGTCTCATCTCGCCAACAGGATTGCATTTTTTCGCATTGGTATTATATGGATTTTCATTTTGATTATGTTGATGTGTTAGCTCACCTGATCAGATGGCCTGTGATCTCTCCACACTTAGTATCCTCATGTATCCTTACTACCCGGGTACCCAACACCCTATTACCGGACTCGACCCAGGAACCTGCTGTAGGTCTCATAAGACGGATATGTCCAGTTGGGAATAGTTTGACCATAGCCCGGACAAAATGTATTTGGATACACTTGACTTTTATAGTCAGTTAACACCCTTGCCACAGGGAGATGTTCATTCACCTGGGATAGATATTCCATAACTGCTCATGGCTTGTTGGTTATTCTCTAATTATGCACGGACAGGTTAGTCAGAGATGAACACAATTTGATATAACAGTTTTCGCGCATGTGTGACAGGATAGTTGTGTCATTATTATAGTACTTGACACTGTTAGGATACACATGGTGATGTCCATGTAGAAATAGCAGTTGGTTTTGGTGTCACTGTCTAGGTGTGCATAATGGACTGTCTTGTTGGTGAAAGTATTGTTGACCAGTGATTTTGCAGTTACCATGGTTACTATTAAAATCAGATCTTTTATTCTGATACAACACTGCTCTGATGCACTGTGGTTCGTGAATGCTTAGTTAGATTTTATTGCTAAATCTGAATGAAGGATGCTTGGGTTCTGGAGCCAATCAGATGTAAGCTTTATTAAACAATTTGGCTTCATTCCATAGGAAGAAAAAGAAGCTTGATTGTACATTATTTTGGGTGTAGATGCCATGGTGCTCAGAAATGACAGGATGTATAACATCTTCACAATATTTTAGTGTGGCCTTACTTTTTTGCATTTGTAATTCCCCCATTACATTCGTTTTCAAGATACTTTTCAGATATGCTTGTCTGAATGCTGAGTAGAAAAGTCACCTGACACAACCTCCAATCTAGGTGTCCTCAGGTCTCCACACAGATAGTGTTGTATGTGAATCAGAGATCTGATTTTAATGATGTTGCAGTTTACAGTAAATGGAAATATTCCAGTTATGAAGTCATATTCCTTTGAATGCTGAAAATCTGATACTGTTACTATTCTATTATTTTCCTTGATTTGTTTCATATATGTCGTTACATTGAGTGCTATTTTTCATGGAAGTCAATATGCGTATACAGGAATGGTCTTTTTGACTGGACACCTTATTTTTATATGGAAATCAGGAAGTCATAAGATATTTTACTGCTATTATGTGTTCGTTTTGTTTTCTTATGAGATTATTTTAATGTATCATTCAAGAAAATAAATATATTAAGTATATTCTTGAGTTTTTTTTGTTTTGTTGTTTAAGGCCACACTGAGCAATATTCCAGGTATATGACAGCGAACTGTAAGTAATCAATCCTGGACCAGACTATCCAGCAACTGACATGAGTAATGATTTGTGCAGTCTTGAGTTATTAATAATAATAACATTTCTTTTACCCTTGATTCCATGCCAGCCAGTGTGCTCGCAATATGCTACAACATTATTACCCCCTATTGTATCAGTGTGCACTCAGATTTCATTTACAGCTCCCTGGGGATAATACAACCCAAGCTGCCTGTGAGGCGCTGGAAGGATGGCAGCCACATTACCATCTCATCCACCCAGGTACCCATTGACTGCCTATATCTGGGGCCTGATTGTTTGTTTCATAGGTCAGACTTGCCAAGTTGTGATTTTCATAATCCAATACCAAGGGGGCATGTCACAAGTTTGATGTCAGATAAACTCAACAACCCTTCCCCCCCCCCCCCCCCCCCCTCAAAAAAAAAATGTTTGTGAAAATCTTCACATACACAAAGGCATTCTTTTCGAAATTTTCAATCACTCAGTTTTCAGATTTTCACCATAACCATAGGTACAGTGGCCAAATTAAGCATGCAATTTAAAAGGTGCTTTTAAGTAAGGATAAGATATATGGATGAACAACAGATGTTACAGATTTGGAAAATGACTTTGTTTCATCCCCAAAAATTACGAATGTCACTCTTGTTGCACTGATTTAACTGTCAGTACCATGCACACTTCTGCTTCACGGAATTCCATTTTAGGCAGTCTTGTTCGACAAAGACACCCACCTGTCCATACGCTCAATGAATTGACTGCTGCTTTGCGTGAGAAATGGGACAGAATTCCTCAGAATCAAATCCAGAGATTGATCCAAAAATTGAGGAGGCGTCTTGAAGCAGCTGTTCGGTGGGGTTCAGGGAGGTTACACAAGATACTGATGGAAAGTCAATATTTGGACTTGTCGGACATTGTTCTTCAATTCTGTGAACCAGAAGTGTGCAAGGTACTGACAGCTAAGTCTGTGCAACAAAAGTGACATTCGTAATTTTTTGGATGAAATTAAGTTATTTTCCGAATCTGTAACACCTCCAAAAAACCCACATTATTTCGTGGTTATCTTGGCTGTGTTCCTCCTCAACCCTTTCTTTTTACGAAATATTTTTTTTGAAATGGAAATCCTTTACACATCTCATGCACTAGTTCATTAAAGTTGCCTGGTCTGGGAATATAAGGGTGTTGCTTAACTAATTCCCATGTGTATAGGTATCTGTGTTAGTAGCAAACGGAATATTGGGTAGGGGGTCATTTTACAAATGGCTTTTAGTGTAAGCTTACAATGTTTAGTCAATTTATTGTTCGTGTCTATAGTCAGACAACAGAAACATAATGTTTAGGGCCGTGTGTTGCACTAGGTCTTTCAGCCTTTTCATGTGACACAGACTGTATTTTATTAAGATTTGTTTGTTTGTTGTTTAACGCCGCACCCAGCAATATTCCAACTATATGACGGCGGTCTGTAAATAATAGAGTCTGGGCAAGACAATCCAGTGATTGACATGAGCATCGATCCACGCAATTGGGATAGGATGACATGTATCAACCAAGTCAGCCAGCCTGACCACCCTATCCTGTTAGTCACCTCTTACGACAAGCATAGTCGCCATTTACAGCAAGCATGGGTTGCTGAAGACCCAGAGAGTGGAAGGTTGGGAGTTCGATTCCCGGTCATCCCAAAAGATGTATGGTACTTATTGTTATTGAGGAAATACAAAAAATATATTTGAAATTGTATTATTATTTTTCAATTCCAATTTACACACCTGAATGTTGGGTCCCAAAATCTGTACACACAGAATGTGGTCTGGCCTTACCATCGGAATATTTTATGATGGTTCTTTGTCCTGACAGTGTAGCGAACACTTTCACGGGAATACTTTTAGTGCGCCTCACAACGGAACTTCCGACATTCACTTGTGTTGTGAGCTACTACATATAAAAGACAGACTCACAACACAACGGCCAATTTGCCTTAGATCTTAGATGTTAGCCAACGGGTGGAGGGATGGAGCAAAACTTTCCTTCAGAAAATATGTTGATTGAAAGACAAATTGATGTCAAAAGGTCCTCCAGGATTTAATCTTCGTTTTGATTACATAGGAACCACTTGTGTCACCTATTTTGTGGGGGCACGGGAGGCCCAGTCGTCTGAGGCGCCGCAATTCGCTGTGCAGAGTTGCGTCCCTTGGACACGCCAGAAATCTATGATTGTGGGTTCGAATCCTGGTTCGGCCCGATTATGTTTCTAGGTTTGTCAGCACCATGCCCGTGCTTGTGGGTTTCACCGAAGTGGTAAACGTCGGAGACCTGCATCACTTCGGGCTTTCCTCCCACATTAAGCTGACACGCTGCGATATAACTGGAATATTGTTAAAAGCGGCGTTAAACCCAACTCACTCACACACCTAGTTTGTATTAATATTTTATTCAGATCAGTTAGTACTTGTTCTATTAGTGCCACTCACAATTAACATCGTTCGCCGGGAATATAAATAAAGATACGAAATTGTCATAGTGTCACCTGCAACACAGAGTTAGATCTCATGTTCATTCCCTGTCATCGTGGAGGTAAAATCTTGCCTTACCAAGGCTACATTGTCAAACACAATTCTCAGAATGCATGATCAAAACCTGTCCAGCAAGACGTTCCCCTACGAACGAAATCATTACTCGGGTGGGTAGAGCGCACAATCATTACAAGGTCTTTGATTGATGACAAGTTGGTTAGAGAGATATGTGGTGCCAGTTAACCCAAGATGTTCCGTCGCCGACTACTTAACCAACAACTGAGGGCCACCGACACACCAGAACCATCCCGACAGCTCACCACACCTTGAGAGTTGGCACGGCCGCCACCAGAAGAACGTTTTCCAAGCAAAGTCGCCTCTTACGACGAGCATGGGTTGCCGAAGACCTATTCTAACCCGGTTCTTCACGAGTAAACTAATGTTTTAAGCACCTTGTTAGAGTTATAGATGATATAAAGTTTGAAATCGGAAATATTTGAACGTAGTCACTCCCTAATATATCTATACATGTCACAATCGGGATTTCATTTTTTAGACAATGGTAGTGCCATCTTGGATGCTCCTAGTGTTGAAGTTAATATAGTATACACACTCCTATCATGACTATTGAATAGGTCCACAGGTTAGCACAATATCCGTTAAATATCCTGCTTCTATATTAACATGCTTACAAAACAAAATTATGTATGTAGGTTTATACACATTGCAAATGCATCTGTTCACCCTCTTTATGCAAATCTAGTACCCATGAGAGAACATTTAGAAATAGCACCACCAACAATAAAACGTTTTCACATTTTTTTACGTCTAATTTATTTGCTTCGAAACTGCAAGAATGTGGATAAAAAAACCTAACTTAAAACAAAAGAGTAAATTCTAGTTCATCAGATACATTGAAGATTACCCGATCCTGTTACATATTCCATTACCATTTCGCATTGTCTTCTAGTTCTTCTACTAACATTCTTTCTGGCTTCGAACTTGGATCCCCTTGGTTGTCATTAATGAAGAGTGTATGGTTTGTGATTGATATGCCGTGTGCGAAATACGCACAAAGTCGGAAAGCGCACGTAAAATCCCTACTTATAGTTTGGTAATTCTGTGTTGTGTTACTGAAAAACGCGTTTTCTTTCCATTATCATATAAAATATCTTGAAATTTAACCGCCAATTTGCAAATATTTAGGCTATTTTTTAGCATAATAATAAATTGATATTGACCCATTCCAAGTCCTACACAACCTTTTGCATATTATTTTTAACATTCCGCTCTGAAAAATAGCTATACAAAGTGAGATGATTTTCTATTTAAATACGTTGTACTATGTATCGCGGAGAGACATGACCCGAAAGATCACGATCGCAACAAAAACATTTTTAGCGGATGGTTCTTGAGCGTTAGCATTATCTCCCTTTGCCGGAAATAGATTCTAACCAATCAACACTTTGTTATCGATTGGATTTGAAAGCGGGAGTTTGAAGACCGATGAACCGCGATAGGGATAAGAAAATTAGAGTATTTTTATAAACAAACATGGCATCATCATCACAGTACGCCGACGCGTATAAATTGAAGCCTGACGTATTGGATAAAAGGAAGGCGCGTCTTCAAAGAAGATCAGTTGAATGGAAAAATCTCCGCTTCGAAGAAGTTGGCAAACGAAGGAAAATAGATCTTGACAATTTGTCACCGCTGCAAGAACAGGACCAAAACGTCACGAATCTTTCAAAATCATATGAAAACAAAACTCCGGTCAAGCCTACAAATGGTGGGTAGAACAGATCAAAAGTGTCCAGGATTGCCGCGTCCTCAGTTACTTCCCTGTCAGTGTCATTGTTTCGATGATCGTACGTTCCAAACGTCCAAGGCCCAATAGCGAAAATGCCTAAACTGTCCAAGGACTATGCTAACTGTATCAGTAGGGCTTGTACACGAACATGGGTACAACGATACAACAGCTCCCTCTCTTTTGTCGTTGGGAATCATGTACTCTTTGTCAATGAATCATTTGTTATCGATTGGGATGTACATGTATTTATGTAAGTTGTAAATGTGATATCTGACAGTCGTCTTGGTTATGATGTTAGTTACGAGTACGAAGGGTAGTTTTTTAGAACTGGTATCGGCAAAATGCATATCCATGCCTCCCATAATTTTATTTTATTAAATACAGGTCAATGTCTATTATGTACATGTAATGATGTATGGTTGTGACAGTTTTGTTATTGCCATTTCAGGGTTTCAGATCAGTTCATTTCCTAGGACATGGCCTACTGTCATCCAAAATGTCCACCTGTATAAATATTTTTTAAATTTGGTAGGCCAAAACTCAGCAAGAGATGCAGAAAAATGTCTCAGCAAAAGTGGAGAACATTTTGATATTGTCTCATGCCATTTCCCAAGGCATTTCCCAAGTCCAGGGCTGCATTTATACCATTGAAATTATTGGCACACAGGGTTTTACGTTGGTTCACAGACTTCATTATATTCATTTACTATGACATTGACACTGACTGAGATAAAGTAATGAAAATGTCCTCATGTCTTTCAGGCTAAATTTAGCTATCTAAAACATGCATCAGTGCAACCTATTGAAAAATGCAACCTCGTATTTTTGTCTATATGCACCAAGCGCATATCAAAAACTAAATAAATTGTGTCTGACTGACATGTACTTACTATGTGACACCGGCGTTACAACTTTGGTAATTTTATGGGACCAGGGTGCAACTTGGTTTTGTTTAATGCAATTTGGTTATCATGTCTACCTGCACCTGGTACAGGTGAAATGAAGTTCCTTATATCGAGCACTATATCTGCTCATCTTTCTCCTACGCAAAGTACATATATAGTTATATTCTTTGTATTTCCATCACTCATCTCTTACTTACATAATTATACAGTAAACGATACTTAATATATCAAAAACATACCAAACTACCCTGTTTGTATATTTTAAGCATACACCCAAAATACCACTAGTGGGATGATGCATTGGTGGATCACAATTCTTTACTTCTCGATACAAGTATCGATGACAGTTGCACACTAAATAAACAGTATTGATTATTACCTTAAATGTATTCTTTAATAAATACACTAACTACTAGTGAACATGAGCTGGGAAAATGTAAATATTTCATCCATATCACTATACTTGACACTGCAAACTGCACTACGCACCACAGATAAGAGCACATGCAAGTATCATGCTACGTATCCATTCATGAGCAAGGTATCATGATACATATCGGATCGCAGTTGGTGTATTGTCCCAGCCCTACAAAATACCCTAGTTATATTACTTCTTTGCAGCAGAGGCTTTTCCACAAGATTATTAGGTTATGTGTATAGAATATCCTACATTGTATGTAAAAACACTGGAATGAAATATACTGAAAATATTTAGGTTTACTCTGTGGTCAGAGAAAATGTCTTCTATTAGGACACCCACTGGACTTTGGCTAGGTCTTGACATTAGTAGTTGTCAACTGATCTTGAGGATATATTGTGTGATGTACCCTGTGTGTGAGCCTGTTCCCCGAGCTGTCAGGAAATGTGCAGAAAATAGGAACTGCATGTACAACTGGTGTCAAACACTTTAGCTCCCAATGTACCTCCTGTGGTCAAATGGACAGAGTGTTTGCCCAAAGAGTGGACGTTCATGGGTTCAAACCCCAACCAAATCTTTTCAAAAGACAGATAGATGATACTTGTTGTTACCCCGCCAGGTGCTGTGCACGTAAACTGCGTCATAGTATCTCAGTGGGCTTGCACTATAAAAATCAACATGCATTCACATCGCACCAACTGAGATCTGATACAAATCACAATACCTTACTTGCAATCTGATATGTATCACGATACTTGCATGTGCTCTTGTCTGTGATCCATAAGCCATCTTTTTCATAGACAGGATGGCCAAATACCTGGCACACTGACAATTTACAGTTGGCACTATGAAATATGATCGATACTTCTATCGAGAAGTAAAAAATCGCGATGCATCGATGTATCGTCCCACCACTAATAAGTGCATTAATACTGAGCACGATATTAAACTTCATTTCACTTTACCACGACCTAGCTCCCATAATATCTCAATGCAGACACCTGACTTGCAATATATTGCATCAAGTACTTTTGCCAATACACAACCCTATTAATCATTATCACCTTGCCTTCTTCTTTTCAGATAAGAAAAGCAAAGCAGATTTACTAAAGCAACGTTTAATTCAGTGGAAATTGGACAAAGAGCAGAAAAAGAAACAGGAAGCTCAAGATAAAGCCAAAAAAAACCAATTCAAGGTCTCTTCGAATATAAGGCGCACAGACAGTAATTTGTTCAGCAAAGATAAGGTAGGCAGAATTAAAACAAAGCATCATTCATGTTGAACTTGTAACTAAAACACAGGTTACCATGGTAACATGACTTTGAATTTATTATCATTTGAACTTTTTGTGTTTCAGACGAGTTCCAAGACGACAAGCATAAAATCAAAAGACACATCAACATCACTAAGGTCGAAGAGCTCAAGCAATACTAGTTCAAGGACTGAGGCTGCTACTTCTGCCCCACCTGCTAAACAAGCAGCAGCTCCAGTCACTAGACGCATGACAAGGTCAAACAACGATGCTACTCAGAAGAATAAAACTACTTCCAATAAGCAAACCAAGTCCAAACCAGCTGCACCAGTGAGTATCAGTGTTTTACACAAAGCAGAAATGCGCGTCCAGTATGCAAAAATGTCGAGAATGGACACATGAAAAGAACATGGTGCTTTCCAAGGGACTCACAAGTGATATTAATTGTATCAAATTTTTGAAAAGAAATATATAGTCCTGTAAAATCTCTGTCCTGTAAAGGTCCATCAAATCTGGCAGTACGGTACGCCATTTCATTACTTTACACATCTTCCTGAGGCAAGAGGGTGAACTGACTATAAAAGTCCAGTTTCAACCCTTGCCGAACTAGGCTGGTATTATGGAGTTACATTTTGGCTGGACTAACGAGTCTATGCATAGCCCAATCTAAATCGCGCACTCAAATTGAAATCCGGTTCGTAAACTGTCGTGCCGATTTCGATCGATTGCAGTATTTGCAAATCATGTGCACCACCCACTCGTTGTCAGCAGATATTTTCCAAATCTGTACAATTTTTTAATCAAGGTGCTGACGTGATTTGATGCATTTCGCGATGTAAGACCCGTTTTATCACAATATAGATCCTGATTATCGATCAGATCGTCCTGACTGGGCGCCACCATTTTGTGTAAAGCAAACACAAGCGATACGGGAGGTGGAACCTGATTGGTAGGCTTGGAAGGGTTATAACTGGTAATAGCCACTGTTGGCGCTGCAATCTAGCCCAGTAATTCCAGCGTAGTTCGGCAAAGGTGGAAACTGGACTTTTAAAGTCAGTTAACTCTCTTGCCTCGGGAAGATGTACTTTACAGGATCCGCATATTTCCTGTAAAGACCCTTGAAATTGGTGTCCCCCCAATTTTCGTAGATCAAGCTATAACCCTGGAGTATGTTTCTGTGTTTGATTAGGAAATTTCAGTTCTGTAAGCAATATTCCTGGTTTGTCACAGTCCTGTAGATAACCAGACAAACCAGCAGTTGATGTGTGCGATGTCCCACAAAATCTGCCCACTCAATCAAGACAAACACTTTGTTAAACCAAAGATGCTCATCACACAAATCAAAATCGCTTTGCATCCTACATGAATTATGCATACAACAATGTTTTATCATGAAAGAAACCAATTTCGTTCTTCATTATTCTTTGAGATTTATCATGTAGCTATCTTATTTCTGTGTAATATTTCAGGCTCCAGCCCCTCTTGTGCGTACTGCCCGCCAGACAAGATCGTCGGCCAAACTGAAGGGTTCACCCAAAGCATCTGTTGTCAATAGACCAACATTTGCCAGTAGTCAGAGTGAGTTTAGTCTGTCAGTTTGTTGCAACCAGTCAGGTCTCTTGAAAATGTACAATTTTAAAATTTATCCAATCTCACATTTTTGCATATCTCATTTCTTCCTCGATCCTATGTGGAAAAGTGCTTGGACCCTGTTTCCAGCTTCCAAAACAAAAACTGTGGGCATGAAGAGTATGTGTGTCTGCAAGGGGTCGTAACCATAGAGATGCTTGGGTGTGTTTGGCCGAATGTTTTTGTTTTAGAAGCTGGAAACAGGTTCAAGCACATTTCCACATAGGTTCGAAGAAGAAAAAATATATGTGCATAGTGTGAGATGGGATAAGTATATGAATATTCAATTTATATTAACATTTCCAATTTTCAATTCCACCTACAAAATGTGTTTTGTTTTCATGAAGTTACTTAGGTCAAATGATGTATGCCCTGTGTACTGGTGAGTTCCATGCAGACGTGAAACGGTTTCATACAACGATATGATACACTACAAAAACATTTTCTGCCTTGATACAATATGATACACTTACTAAAATAATTTACTTTCTTACTGATTGCTCATATTCAGAATATAGAAGCCTCAATGCTGAATAGCTGATAAGAAGTTCACCTTGTGCAACCTCCTTTGGAGATGTTCTCAGCTTTTCTTTCAGAGAGTTGTCGTATCCCAGTAAAAGATTGTTATTTTCCCTCATAAGTTGTTATTTCACTACAGAAAAAGTAACAACATCAGATGCTCCCCCGACGCGGACGACTCGCGGCAGGAAGCTGTCTCCCCAGTACAGCATAGACTTAGCCAAGGTGTCCACGGACCGGGGAGAGTCTTTTGCTCCAACAGACTTTGCTTTTGAGGCCCCAGAGAATGTGAAATCTTTCTCCTTCAAACCTCTGAGTCCTGCAAGTGCAAACAGCTTCCTTGATCCCCGCCGAGACTTGACGTCAACATCCTTCTTCCTGGAACCACCTTCAGGCAGGTCAGGCATCCCTCAACTTCATCATTCTAAACTAGATCGGGATTCACCTGGGTCTTTCTGTTTTTGAGTCCAATAGACTCTTGGTTATAATTTTGGGAGTCCAGGGCTGGCAGCACATGGAATGCTTCATTTTCCATTTCCAAGAATTTTGCTGATGTCCTATGCTCAAAAGCTTAAGGCTATTATTTATGGATGGGGGTTTCCAGGTTAGATGGAAGAATATCAACCTTTGTCACCGTTTTGACCAATTCCTGATTAAAAATTTGAAACCTGTGCAAAAGAACATTCTGTAATGGCTAATAGATGTCCTAGAGGGTATGGATTCAGTCTAAACCCTTTTTACTGTTTGGAAAACCCTGTGTTGAATTTTTCGAGGCTGCATAATTAGAGAAAACATTCCGACTGTCACTTTCCTGATCTGGTAAGCAACGCTCTGTTTGGTGGCATGACAGGTCATTCTGACGTGACCCTAAGTGGGATGTCCTCAGATCTTTGTTGATATTAGTGGTAGCAAGAACTACGATCTTATTTAATGAGATTGAATTCCAGCCTAGTTCAGCAAGGGTGGAAACTGAACTTCAGTGAACTCCCTTGCCTTGTGAACATGAGAGGTGACTTGCATTTGACTCAGTACAGGAACAATAAAGGGGATCCAAAAGGCATCAGTGCTTAGTTTTACCTCATAAAAAATACCTCATAATTTGAGAAAATGTGAACTGTAACCATGGTAACAAAGATCCAAATTTTAAACAAATAATGATGAGCTTTTCTCAGTTTGCCTGCCAAGGGTACTTAGTTTGGAATCCTAGATAAATCACTGTCAATAGAATAACTTTTGAGTGAGCGTGCTGACTCTGTATCGTGTGTTGTTGCGTGTGCAGATGCTCAACCCCCAAGTCCAGTAAGGAAGAGGATGCAGCATGCAACCAAGATGCTGATGACGAACAGACACATCAGAAGACACTGGTGGTGCACTCAGGTGAGTGTCTCGTGCCCTCGTCAGGAGACACAACATTTCAGACACTGTGGTACCTGATATCTGTACACTACACAATGTTCGGTGGCATGTGGTCCAGATTAACAAATCAGGCAAAGTTAAGAAAACTACGGAGGGTAGTTTGATGGGTTACTGTATTCAGCAAGCTTGACTCCTGAGTGTTTCTCGGCCTCGGTCCTATAACACACTGAATCACAGGTTACATGTGGAGGTTCATTATGCAAGTGATTTTGTTTGAAATATGCCTCTGTTTGCCAAGTGAATGTGTACCTGGTAGAAGTGAGTTGGATTTAACGCTGCTTTTAACAGTATTCTAGTTATATCACGTCGTGTCTGGAAAGCCCGAAGTGATGCAGGTCTCGGACGTTTACCACTTCGGTGAAACCCAAGAGAATGGGTATGGTGCTGACAAACCTAGAAACATAATCGGGGCGAAGCGGGGTTCGAACCCACAGGTTTCTGGCGTGCCCAAGGGACGCAACTCTGCACAACGAATAGCCGTGCCTTAGACAACTGGGCCACCCATGCCCCGTAACTGGTAGGATGAGATGGTAATGTGACTATAAACTTTCAAGGGCCTCATAGGCAGCTTGGGTTGTATACTTCCCAGGGAGCGGAGAATGAAATGAGTGCACACCGATACAATGACCTGGTTAATAATGTCGTAGCCCCATGAGTATACTGGCAGGTGTGGAATTACATGCTGTAGAAATATAATTGTTATTTTGTTCTTATTGGCACAGTTAAATACCAAAGGGCTCAACTAAACAGCTTTATCAGCAACCTGTCACACTTGTCACCCCATAAAAAAGATTGCTGTTTTGTTTTCTAGCTTCATCTGCTAGTGAATCCGATGAAGGCAGTACCACTGCAGTGAAGAGGACACCTCGAAGACAGACGAGGAGTCGATCCTCTCAGAGTTCAAGTACAGACTCGGATAGTGATGGAAACCGAGATGTGACTGCAGTGCAGATGACTCCCGTAGCAGAGAGCACTCAACAGGAGAAACCAGTCCAGATGGAGGTGGCTGAGGCATCAACTACAGCACCACCACCACCACCAACCACACCGCGACGGTCAAGGCGGACGTCAGTCAGGAGTGATGCCGCTGATAGCGATGCTGAGAAGATGTCTGATACCATGGCAGCAGAGGTGGCTTCACCACGCAAGTCTAGACGGTTGTCGGTCCATACTCAGGACAAGGATGTGGCTGCAGACACTGACAGCAAGGTGACCAATGATGAGAGTCGGACGCCAGTGAAAGCAACTAGGAGAAGGTCTGTGAGGAATGTGTCTGATTCTGATTCTGCTGTGGAGTCTGGTGATGCTTGTGAGAAGACAGGAACTCCACAAAAGACAAACACTCCAAAAAAGACTCCTACTCCACAAAAGACGAAAACTCCAAGGGGTACAAGGAGAAGCAAGAGAAATTCATCGGACTCTTCCCTCTTGGAGAAAATTCCAGAGCAGGGATCATCCATGGATGCGATTGAAGAAGAGAAAGTTACAGACTCAGATGATGTTTTCATTCCAGCCGTAACTGATGCAAATAATTCTGCTCCCCCTGACTCGACAAATCCTGAGGAATCGACTCCCTCTGTGAAGTCTGAGTCACAACCATCCAAAGAAGAGGTCCAGGAAGACTCCGAGACATCCAAATCTAGCCCTGTGAGAACGCGGCGGTGTTCCTTCTCGGATGCGGGATGTTTTCGTGAGCCAGGGGTGCCCATATCTGCCCAAAAGAGTGGGAGGAAGAGGAGGAGGACGGAAGCATCGGCCACTCCCAGCGAGGCAAAGAGTCCAGAGGAGTGGTCAGTGATAACAACATACTTTCGTTCAGATACACTGCTGGGTAAACGTAGAACATCTTGATATGTTGCTGAGAAGTGTGTCATACTATTATGTTTGGTGGTGTTGTGATACAGTCTTGTATCGAGAGACAAGGCCCACGATACGATACAATATTTACAAACCATGTATCGCGATACATGTTACCTCACGTTATTAGCAGAGCTGCTCAACAACCAGCTGACACAGATTCTCTAGACTTTCCTGGTTAGCTATAAAAAGCATTACAGCATAACATTCAGTGCCTTCTAGCCTATATGTTTCTGCCGACAATATCCTATCTTCGATCTCTGAAATTTAGGAATGTATGATTCATGTTGAGATTCACCTCCATTAAGAAACAATACCAACTTTATAAAATAAATAAAATATACGTATTGCACCCAGAGTATCGCCACCCCACCATATCGTTACACCTCTAACTATGTTGTTTAGAAATCTTGCCTTCAACCTACCCAGCAAGATCAGTCAGATTGTCATTACAAAGAACTCAAAGTACTTCAAAAACAGCGAGGGACACACACTTGCAATGTTTTCATGGTGCAGTTATATTTGTAGACCAACAACAAACAAAAAATGTGAGGAAGCATATTTCTTTTACTCGCTTCCACACATTGTGAAGACAGCCAGTGCATTATTAAATAAATGATCCCTCGCATCCTGTTTCCTTAATTACACTTGGTGCAATAGTCTAATTAGGGAAGTTCATTTACAGCCACATCTCATCAAGCTGCTCACTCAACACTGAATAGTCCAGACATATGCCAGCCTTAGAAAGCTATGACATTTCTTGTCAACTTCAACATGTATACATAAAAAAAACACTGACACTGAGTTACATTTCATCTCACGGCTTCCTATTTATAAACAATAAACATGAGCCAAAGTAGTTGTGCTTTTTGTATTTCTCAACAGTGTGTCACAAAACTTTCCAGTTAAGGCTTTTGTAAGCAACTCGCGATAATTTCATGGCACAAAACTTTCCAGTTAAGGTTTTTGTAAGCAACTCGCGATAATTTCATGGCACAAACCTTCCAGATTTACAGTATTTAAACTATGGGTTACATGTGTCTCTTGCAGGGTGAAAATCTTATCCACAAGTCCAATGATAGAGATGAGACGACGTACCCCAAAGGCACCCAGACTTTCAGGTACACCTGCTTTTGACATTGTGTTTCCTTACTGTTTTCCTTCAGACGTTTGACTTTCAGCCTATTTGCTGCATAACTTTTTTAATGTGAGCAGTGATTATAAACTCCTACCAGCATCCTCACTGTTATCCTGATCCTTGTCTCTCTTACAGAAGACTGTCTGACCCAGCCCCTCAACTTTGACGATGTCCTGGACGTGCCCCCGATGGAAGACTGTCCATCGACCATTTGTGCTATGGAGACTGAAGAACCAGCGTCTACAGGCGCCGACTCACAGACTGGCGCCACAAAGGAACCTGAGGCTGTCGCACCTACATCAGAGAAGACTAGCACCACTGAGGGAACAAAGAGCCCAGGTAAATTCCAAGATGTAAATCGATGGGAGTGTGTCTCAGTTGCTATGAAAAGGTCCCATGTTTGTTGTTAGAATAAACTTAAAAGAGAATAGCTGATACAATACTAATCACCATTCCAAAACTTAAATATATCCTTGGGGTACAAAACACTATTACTTGATGCGGGTAATTTTCTTTCCAGTTTGGGATTTCTTGCGGAAATTTGCCGTAGATGTGGGTCTGAATATTGACATGAGAAAACTGTGATACATCCTGTTCTATTTATAACTGTAAAATTGAAATTGATTTTTTGAAACCCAGCCAAAGCAGCAGTTGTTGCCAACGAGGCAGGCAAGGATGGAGGAGAGCATGATGTTCTCTACTTCCGCAACCTGCTCGTGTCAGAGACTGCCCGGCTCAATGAGCACATCATGCTGTGGAATAAAACAAAGGAGGAAGAGGCAGCCAACATTGCTGAAGATGGTGAGCTTATAAACATCTCTTAGAAATGAAAGAATTTTGCACATGTAACCATGCCAATCAAGGAAGAGATTTAAACTTTTTGAATCTTTCAGTGGGATATTTTGGTACAGATGCTGGTACCTTGATGAAGCAAGTGCTTAGGTACAAGTATCTGTGCCGACACGTTGCATTGAAAGAATATAAAGTTGAAATCTGTAAGTCAATCTATCTTTACTGGTACTACAGATTCTAAAATTGACTTTAAGAAGCTTCTCATAATTTTGTGTGTGTGTTCTCTTTTCCTATAGAAGGGGTGGGGGGTAGTCTTGTCACTCGTCAAGCTGAAGACCGGGTTCAAGTCCCTACATTGGGACAATGTGTGAAGCCTGTTTGTGGTGTATTACCTCTGTGATATGGCTGGAATATTTGCCATCTCACCTCACACACCTCACACCCTGCCACACCTCACTCAAACTCCCCCCAACCCCATCCCCACCTCATCCAAACTCCACCCCACCCCATCCCCACCTCATCCAAACTCCCCCCAACCCCATCCCCACCCAAACTCCATCCTCACCCCAACCTCTTCGTTCTATGCCATCAGAGTAACAAATTGTGAAGCAACTTGGGTATTACACCCCTAAAATCTGCCCTAACATTTTTGTCCCGATGCATGGTTAACCCTTCAAGTACTGGCAGTGAGATGACTTTATCCTGTTGCTGCAGTTGAGGGTCAGATCCGGACCACAGTGGGCCAGGCCCAGCTGCTCATTAACCAGCGCTTCAAGCAGTTCAGGGGCCTCGTGGACAACTGCCAGTTCAAGACCGGGGAGAAGGAGACCACATGCACCGATCTGCAGGGCTTCTGGGACATGATCTACTTCCAGGTAGCACCAATACAAATAACTCCCTTGACATACAGACCATTTCATATTCACTGGGACCTGTTATTTCTATAAAAAAAAAGTAATCCAGGTATTAAAGGAAAATAATTATTTGCCTTAGGTTTTGCAAAGAAAAAAAATGATATGCTAGACATGCTGGATGTCTTGAAGCAGTATGAGAAAAGAATTTGTCTCTGACTGAAGGGGCGGTAGGGTTCCAGTGGTTAAAGCTTTCGCTTGTCAAGCCGAAGACCCAGGTTTGAGTCCCTTCATGTGTACAAAGTGTGAAGCCTATTTCTGGTGTTCTCTGACGTGATATTGCATTTTCAAATATCTGTTTTGTCAAGTCACTGGATTAGTTGAACAAGTTACTTGACAAGACAGGACAAATATCCTTCAGGGTGCAATTTCCCATTGACAAGACTAAGATTAAAATGGGTTTGTGTGGTAAGATTAGCTATCTTATAACAAATAAAATGTGTTGATGGACTGTACCTTATACCCAAATGACAGTAACATACTTGTCCCAGGACAGTCACTGCTTAGTGAAATATTAAATCCATGTATATGTCCTTTGGTTTTAAACATACATGAAATCGCACCTGTCCTATATTGCACTATCATGTTGAGGAAATGCTCATGGGCATAGACCGAGCTTCGTCATTCCAAACATTTCATATTTTGACAGGTTGAGGATGTGGATAAGAAATTTGTTGACTTGAAAACTCTGCAAGCCAATAACTGGCAGGAAGTTAAACGTGTGGTGCCGGTGAAGAAGGTTCTCAAGGTAAGGGTTGAGGTGATGCACACAAGACATTATTCCAATGTTTCTCACAAGCTTCAAATGGCCTTTAATTTTGACACTCTGGCTTTGATAAGGTCTTGCATGTACAGTGGAACCCCGCTTATCCCAACCATGTATATCCGGGAACTTCACCGGATAATATTTACGTGAATGAGATAAGTACCAGATAACATGCTTCTTTACCCTCGAAATTTGTGAATTTCAATTACCAACTGTAGGAAAATACACACAATTGTGTCCCCCTTACTGAATAGCTGCCAGGGGTGATGATGTTTGTTTTACAATTCATCACCCGGCCACCAACATCAAAGATGTGGGGCCCCGTTAAGATGCAGGTTAGAATAGATCTTCAGCCACCGTAGGTTACTGTAAAAAGCGATTATGCTCGCGTAAGAGGCGACAACGGGATCGGGTGGTCAGGCACACTGACCTGGTTGATGTATGTCATTGTATCCCAATTGCGTAGATGCTCATGATGTCTGGTCCAGACTTAAAAACAGGCCACCGTCATATAGCTGGAATATTGCTAAGTGTGGCGTTAAACAACAAACAAACAAAAGGGATGGGTATCATTTGACCACTGTGATAATTTTGTCTCGATCATTAGTTGGGCAGTCATTGTCAATTGACAATGAGGTGAAGTTTGAGATAACCCTATTAATTAACATGCAATAAAAACGGTGACCAAGTGTTGGCACATTTAACATGTTATTTAGATATCTGTAAACTTGTTTATTCGGACAATATTTAAGAAAATGCTAGTGTCTAGATAAGCAAGGTTCAACTGTACTTGATATGAATCTGCTTTGAAAAGACCGCTTGATTTGGGAAAAGGCTTTGAATTTGGCAACAATTGTAATGTCTGTGGTTAAGTCTCCAGTGCTGTGTTGCAGAATACCATGTGAGGCAGGAATGAAAAACTAATGGCTGTCATTTCACATCCAATACTTTGGAATTTGGCTAAATCAGAGCATTGGTTATTCCCTCAGAAAAAGTCGGCTGCTCCGTCCAGACCCAAGGCAGGTGGCCCGTCCAAGTTTGCTGCCTTCCGAGCTCAGATGAAGAAGCAGAAGGAGGTGGAGGCGACATCGCCAGCTCAGGCTGCTGCACCGGCAGAAGCTGTGAAGGTGATTGACTTCGGCTTCTTCACCGTCACAAGTCCAGTCAAAAGCCCAGCCAAACACTGTGAAGGTAGGGTAGATCTGAAAGGTTCTTTGTTTGTTTGTTGTTTAACGCTGCACTAAGCAATATTCCAGCTATATGACAGCGGTCTGTAAATAATTAAGTCCGGACCAGACAATCCAGTGATTGTCATTGACATCATGAGCATCGATCCACACAATTGGGATACGATGACATGCATCAGCCAAGTCAGGGAGTCTGACCACCCGTAAGTTGCCTCTTACAACAAGCATAGTCGCCTTTTACAACAAACATGGGTTGCTGAAGACCTATTCTACCCCAGATCTTCACAGGTAGATTCTGAAAGATCATGTGAGCTTGTGAATTTTTATTGATGCAAGTCATTCAGCGTTGTTGGCACCGATAAACTTGTTACATTTTTTACTTCTTCTTCAGATTGACTTTATGGATTAAGCTGAAATTTTGTGGATATTTCAGACTATAAGAGGATACAAATTTAGTCAAGGCATCAAGATTGGAATTCGCCATTCAGGCATCTTTGATTGAAAACCAGAAAAATAAGAAAATCTTCTCAAAAACCTTCCTGGGCAACCTCTAGTTGTGTTGTACCAAGTTTGTCAAGACCTTGATCAGTCAGAATCAAATATGGCTGCCATTTTTGAAAAATCAACAACAAACAGTTGTCGTAAGAATCTTCTCAGAAACCACTGAACCAAGGAAGCTGATATGTCATGTGCTTGTTCACGCCAATAATGACATTTGAATGTGTTAAAGAGGTTTGAATCCCATTTTCAATATGGCCACCACATTAGCTATATTAAAGCGACAATTCATGGCCACTGCTCGGCCATTTCTGGTCAATATGCAATAGTGGATTCAGGGTGGGTGGAAGGGAGGTGTGTGTGTGTAAGAATGGAGGGAGAGGGTAGGGGGGGACTTTCTCCATAATGCAAGAGGGCACGAGTGGCCCTGTCGCCTAAGGTGCCACAATACAGAGTTGTATTCTTTGTCACATCAGAAACCTATGACTGTGGCTTCAAATCCTGGTTTGCCCCCATTTTCCTTTCCATGGGTGTCATGAGTGTCAGTCTTACCACTTCAGGCTTTCCTCAAACATGAAGCTGACGTGCTGTGAAATTACTGGAATACTGTTCAAAGCAGCATGAAACTCAACTCTCTCACTCAATCACTGACTCACTCAATAGTGCTAATGTTAATGCTACTTCATGTTTGTGATTTCTTCAGCTGGCTCTCCGGCCAAAGAAACGTCTCCAGTGGACTCACTATCCAAACCGACAAGTAGTGATGTAGCCTCCAGCCTCATCACCAAGACTCCGCGGAGGAAGAGCTACGTGCCAGCGGTCCCCAGCCCCCTGCTGTGTGACATCACCCCGAAACCTAAGCTCAGACGCAGCCTGGCCACCCCGTTAGTGAAGGGAGACCCTGGTGTCCCTCTGTCCCCGACGGGCGTGTTCACCCCACCCCATGCAGCCTCCCCGGTGCCAGCTGATACTAATGTCACACCTAAACGGTAAACAGAGATGCTAATCATTATGACTTTGGCATAAAAGTAACAATTTTGAACCTATAATGACACTATCATGCTTCCTCTGACAAGTTACAGTTTTTGTCATTTTTTATCAAATTATTTACAAGCATCTCATCACGGCAGTGTTTGAAATAATTTTAAAACCCAAGAAGACAGTCAGGCAGGTGAGCATTATAAATATTGAAAAAAGCTAAGAGAAAAATCACGTCATGATTCAGGTGAGCTGAAATGGGGTTTAATGTCGCGTCCAAGATTATTGCACTTATATAGCGACGTGCATGCACGTGTGTGTGTGTGTGGCTGCTTGTATTAGTCTGGACTGATGCCAATTTATAGTGCTAGCACACTGAGATACCATGTCGCAGTTTAACATGAATACCCCACTCAGACACAGTATACTGACTCCGAGCCGACCAGTCCTTGTTTTAGCCCCTTAATGCCGAGTGCCAAACAGGGTAACAACAAGTACCAACTTTTAACATCTTTTGGTATGATGCAGCCGAGGATGGAACCCCGGAACTTCCGCTCTCCGTCGGACACTCTACCCCTAGACCACGGAGGTGGTCTGATTCAGTTGAAATAATGCAAACAGTTACTTGACAATCTACAAGGAGCTATAGTAAAACTGAATACAAATGTAGTCTTAAAATTATCTGACAGACAGTCGGGCAGGTGGAGGAAAATTTCATGCAGTGCTGCTGCAACAGAAAAGTTAGCAGTCGCGAGCAGGCGGGCAGGCAGTTATTTCAGACACTGCCTCACGGAAGGAAATTGTTGATGCTCTAATGACATGAATCATTCTACATCAAGTCTATGCTGTGTCACAATCAGTGCAGAATTTCTTGTTACTCAAGGAAAGATCTAACATACTGAGATGGAAGTAGCCCTGGATATTCTATGTTATGCTGACCATGTTCTCTCTAAATTGTATCAATAATGATTTATTCTGGGGATAGTTTCCTGATGCAAAGTTCACCTACATTTTTTGTTACAGGAGAAGCATACGACTGAGGAAGTCCCTGTCGCTAACCCCTGTCAGCGACCAACCCACAGGATCTGCGGAGACCCCTGGCCTTGACCCTCGCTTCCTGCAGCCGTCGGGTGAGAGTGAGGCCAAGGGAGATGCCCACAACACGTCCGACCTGTCCATGTTCCTGCAGGAGACCACCACTCAGCATCACGACACTGACAATCACGATTCATCCTTCTCCAAGTTTTTCCAGCCTTCAGAAGGTAAGTCCTGCTTGTTGTTTACAAGCATGAATTTCAAAGGCTGTGTTATTTCTATTTTGATTGTAGATATTTACGTCATTAGTTTGATAAGTTGTTACACCTCTGGTACATTTAAAGTAAACGCAGGAAGTTTTAAACAAGATGTTGTGCATAAGCCTGTGGGTTCTTGTGTTCTCAGGATCAACTCAAAGAGAAGGTAAAAGATCTGTGCTCAAGAAGTTGCCATCCACTCAGCGGCGACGATCACGGCGTAGTGTCCAGTTTGCAAAGTCTCCTGGCAGTTCACCGGTCTCACATGCCAAACTGCCCTCCACCCCATACAACCGAGATGCATTAGGTGAGTGGGAGTCACGATGTGATTCTTATTTAGGAGATGAACCTGTTGTTTTGAAGTTGTGTTTTCTTTATGAGACTACTGCTGTTTCTTGGGGCTCAATTGATATTAGAATTTGTCTGGACATTGTCTGTAGTTAGATTCCTAGATGTTATCGTCAGATGACGAGTGTGAAAAATCTAATCAGCCTTAGAAACAAACAGTTTCAGTCCACTAGTCCTTATAATGATAACATATAGCAAAACCCCTAAAAATGGCAAATTTCTACTACCGGTAGTCCTTATGATACCTTTAGTATTAGGCAGTTTGGCAAGGACTACGGGACTAGTGCCAATTTCTAACGCTGCTAATTAATGTCTGTTAAATGATGGGCCTTTATCGCCTCCAACCCTGATTGAATATTGAATTAGGTTTTCTCCAATGTGGTGGAATAAGAGAATTACCAATGAGGTACGAGGAACTATGGATTATCTGACTTGTCTGGAGTGAATGAATGGTGAATGTCATCAGGCAGCCTGTTGCTCAGATGACGTCACATATTACATTAAGTAATACGTTACCACTGTTATACCGAGGCTGTTGTCTCCCACAACTGCTGCTATAGCGAAATCTACCACAGAGATCTCAATTACCTCATGCAGCACGTGCGTAGCCACCTAGCTGCCATGTGACACCCTTCACTCTTGTCTCCTTCGTCTGCTTAGCAAGACGTGTTTTCTCCTGCTGAAGCGTTCCTTGAAGATTTGGTGATATTTATTATAGTTTATTCTCTAATAAACTGTGCTTTTATGGGGCGTTGCGGTAGCTACGCTTGGTTATAATTTTCCCGCCAAACGGAAATTTTTTCCCGCCCTTTTTTCTATATACTTGCGGGGTTCGCGTATGCACGTTGTGTTTTACGTTTCCCCTGTTCTTGTATGTTTTGGGGGTTAACATAACTTATTTCTTTAATAAAAGTTATATGTGTATGTTATATGTTCACATTGCTCGTTTATTTTCTTGTGAAAATGTTCGTTTGTGAATCATTGTGGTGCGTGCGTTGTAACCATGTTTTGTTCTTTGTTTATAGCAAACAATCAATGTCTGACATGGATATGTCCCCAGTATCCACCCCCTCTACCCCTGCTCCTCGGAGTTATGGGGTGTGCAGAAAGTTTTTGTCGTCCCGGGATCCCCACGATCGTTGCCCGCGGTGCAGGGTTCCTTGCGGGGACACCCGGTGCATCCTGTGCGAAGGTCTGGGGCCTGCGGATTTTGAGCGGTACCGGCTGTACGTACAGTCCGTCTCCTCCCCTGTGGTGGCCGGTTCGTCCGGTCGGGGTCCCCGTGCGGGTACCACCTCCTCGGCTGCGGCGGATCCCCTTGCGGCCCTCGGGCTGTCTGGGGATTCCGTCGCCGCATTGTTGTCGAAACTTGTGGATTCCAAGCTGGCGGCCTTATCGCAAGATAGGCCGCTGGCTGTTTCCGTCCCCGGCCTCTTCGGTGGCCGCGGGGTCGGACGCGGGGTCCACCGGTAAAGCGGCGGATCTCTTGGCGGCCCGTGTGCTGTCCGGGGATTCCGTCGCTGCATTACTTGCATAACTTGTGGACTCCAAGCTGGCGGCCTTATCTCAGGATAGGCCGCTGGCTGTTCCGTCCCCGGCCACTTCGGTGGCCGCGGGGTCGGACGCGGGGTCCACCGGTACGGCGGCGGCTCCCGTGGTCACCGGTCCTTCCCCCGAACCGTTGCTCCCGCTATCGGTTTAGGACCGCGTGGCCATGGTTTATGACCTCTTTGAGGACATGCCCCGGCCGGTACCGCGGGGAATCCACGACTGTGGGTTCCTCCGAGGTATACGATGAGTCTTCCGACACGGCTTTCCCCGCATCAACCTTGCTGCGCAGTTTCAAGCCTTCCTTGGAGAACGCCTTCGCGGCGGCCTCCGGTCGGGGTCTCCCGTTGCCTCCGACGTCGTGGAGAAAGGGTTTATTCCCGGTACATGACCTTGCCTTTCCCGAGGCTGGTCCTACCGCGGAGGCCCATGTTGAGCGGTTGGGTGTCCGTGCCCCACCGGCTGCTACGGTAACGCAAGCTACCTTGCACCAGCTGGACGCCCTCGCTCGGCACTCCATGTCTCACGGAGACACTTACTTGGCTGCAGCGGCCCGTCTGGTCGAAGGTTCTCCCACGGACTGCTGCTGCTGCTGCGGCCGGTAGGTCTAAGGGGTCGGGTTCTTCTTCCTCTGGGAAGTAGCCCCGCCCTGAGGGCTCCGGTATGGGCAATCAGCTGCCCTTTCGCGGGAAGACGGGGAACTGGGGGAAGCCCAAGTCGTCGACGGACGGCAAGGGCCCCTCCAGGTGACTCTCACTGGAGGGGTTCGTATGCCGACAGCGCCAACTTCGGTTGGCCCTTAGGCGAACCCGAGTCACTTGGCCCTGGACAGTTGCGCCTGTCGCAACCTGTCAGGGCCCCCTCTCCTTCCCCAGTGGGAGCCAGACTCCAGACTTACTGGGAGAATTGGGAACAAGTGTTCGACGACCCGTGGGTGGTCAACACGATTCGGTACGGCTATCGGCTTGATCTCAAAGCGAATCCGCCGCTCACCGTTGCCCCGTTGGCAGGTTTCGATTCGGAAACCGATCTTCCCATCCTCGCCGATGCCATCGGCAGGTTGGTGGAGAAGGGGCAGTACGGGAGTTAGCTCTACCAGAAATAACACCGGGGTTTTACTCCAGGATATTTCTCGTTCCCAAGTAGGACAGTGCCGAACTCAGAATGATTCACACGTCCGCTCCCTGGCTGTTCACCCGGTTAACCACCCCCATAGTGGGGTTCCTCCACAGGAGGGGTGTCCGGTACTTCGCGTACCTGGACGACTCGCTAGTAGCAAATCGAATGACGGACACCCTGTCACGCCATCTCGATTTCGCACGTCGGCTCTTGGAGCAATTTGGGTGGATTATCAATCTCCCCAAGAGCGAGTTAACCCCTTCTCAGAACTTGCTGTTCATCGGAGGTCGGTTCAACACGGTGTCCCATCGCCTCTTTGTCCCCCCAGACCGGTGGCACAAAATTCAGGCGATGATTGCCAAAGTCTTAGCGGTGCAACAGACTGTTCACTTTTGGGAACAGCTGTTAGGGCTACTTGTATCAGCCCAGGACTGCACCGCACGGGGTCGTCTCCAACTCCGCCCGCTGCAACGGTTTTTAATCCAGTTGTTAGCAACGGAGGTGAACAGTGCGACCGTCGCCCTCCCGGATCGGCTCCGACCGCATCTGGAGTGGTGGACGGTCCCTTACATTGTCTTATCAGGAGTCTCTATGCGGCCCTACCGGGCCACGTTGACCCTGTATACAGACACCTCTCTAGTGGGCTGGGGCGCCCATCTAGAGGGGGAGGTGAGCTCGGGGCTGTGGTGCTTAGACGAACTAGGTCTTCACATCACTTGTCTCGAGTTCAAGGCAGTCATCAACGCAGTCAATCACTGGAAGCATCGTCTCGTCGACGCCCGGCTCATGCTGGCGACCGACAACACGACGGTAGTGTCCTATGTGAACAAACTGGGGGGAACCCACAGTCACTCGCTACTCGATCTCACGTTCGAGTTTTACGCTCTGGTGGACAGTGTCCCGTGCCAGATACGCGCCCGTCACATCCCAGGTGTGCGGAACGTACTGGCCGATGCTCTATCGAGGCCTCAGGATCCGAGCCCCACAGAGTGGATGCTGAACCCAGTAGTGTTTCAGTGGCTGTGCGAACGTTTGGGTCGTCCGATGGTCGACCTGTTCGCAACGCGGTTCAACAATCAACTCCCGTTGTTTGTATCACCAGTCCCGGTCTCGAGGGCCATCGATCACGATGCTCTCGCGTTAGACTGGACGGGCTTGGTCGCTTATGCTTGGTCGCTTATGCTTACCCCGCTACACATTCTAAGCCGGCTCCGAGGAGTTCGCTGTCGAATGTTACTGATCGCGCCCATGTGGCCGAACAGATCGTGGTACCCCGACTTGCTGACCCAGGTCACGCAGTCGCCACTTCCACTGCCTGTGAGACCGGATCTTGATCCACCCTCACACCCGTCAGCTTCATCCAAACGCAGGGCAGTTCAATCTGCACGCGTGGATGTTGTCACCGAGCGTCTGAGGAGTAAAGTTTTTTCTCGCCAGGCGTCTCGGGCATACGTTAGTATGCATCGTGATTCTACCCAGAAGGTGTATAATGCACGTTGGGTTATTTTCACGAAGTGGTGTTGTAAACATCACATTCATTCGCCAGATAAGGTATCTGTGCAGGATATTGCTCGTTTCATGTCTCACTTGCGAGAGACCCGGAAACTCTCCGGGGGTTCCATTGCCAACTATGTCTCGTCCGTTGCTACGGTACGGGACGTTGCTATGGGTACCAGTCTCTCCAAAGAGCCGGTGATACGGGGTATTATCAAGGGTTTCAAACAGCACGATCTTAAGAAGGGCCGCCTTCGGGCACCGGCCTGGGATCTTTGGCTAGTGTTGCAATCACTTACGGAAGCTCCGTATGAACCCTTGCATAGTGCTTCGTTCCGGCATGTGACTTGGAAAACAGCATTTCTCCTCTCCTTTGCCACGGCGGCACGTGTATCCGAAATTCATGCACTCGATGTCGCCAAGGTACGATTCGATAGGGGTGACGAAGGAGCGGTCCGCCTGGGCCTGCTCATGGGCTTCGTCGCCAAGAATCAGAGAGTCGGGCAAACGGAGAGAGAATTCACTGTAAGATCACTCAAAGAAATCTTACATCCTGCTGATACTGAGGACAGAGCGCTGTGTCCGGTTAGGGCCCTTAAGTATTATCTTAAGGCTTCGAATGAACGTAGACAAGGGCGTGACCGTCTGTTCATATCGTGTAACCCTAATCGCACGGTTGACATACCTCGCAACTCGATTGCGTTGTGGCTTCGTTCTGTCATCAATCTGGCGTACCGGTCTCGGGGGTTACCGGTAGCGGGGTCAAACCTGCACGAGATCAGGGCGCTAGCGGCAACATTTGCCCTACACTCGAATATCTCTGTTCGCAGAATATTACGAGGTTGTTACTGGCGTTCTGACTCGGTTTTTGCCAATCATTACCTCAAACAGGTCGCTGATGCCGTCGTGGAGAGTGTGCACCGTCTTGGCCCGCGGATCGCGGCGCAAGCGGGCACCTAAGGGGTGTGCCCAGCGCAATTCCGAACTCCTCAGGCGTCTGACCTTGCACGGTGGTCAATCTGGGTCTACTCCAATGTTCCCACTGCCGTGGGTACAGGAGTTGGGGTCCCGCAAACCAGCGCACTCACACCACAGGTGAGGGCGGCTTTTTGTGTGCTTTGTCCTTATTTGTATTTTGACAATTATGTCTTTAATTGTCTGTCGTGTATCCCAACCTTGTGATGCATGCTTACAAATACTGGAATTAGGTCACGCGCCTAATGCATACTTTAAGTAGGCTTGCTCTGGGATATACGGTCTGAATGAAATTAATTTCCCTCTTTTCGACTGTTTAACCTGATCTAAGATTAAGCTCACACGGATACAGTGTTCTCATCCGCTGTGGCGATGAAATACCTATCCAGTGGGGCCGTTTGGAGTCACCAATCGTTTTGGCAATGACGATTGAGCCTTACGGTATGCGCTTGACAGTGCTTTGGTATTCCTATAGGGTAACGCCTAGCTAGGTGCATGTGCATCGAGTGCTTCCGCCTTGGTGTTTACTTCCGCTGGTCGGAAGGAACGCTAGCAGTCAGGATTCGGGTTGTAGGTGCTCCCCACCGCCTACTGTGGTAGTCAGCCTCGGTATAACAGTGGTAACGTATTACTTAATGTAATTTGTAGAATTTTCCTATTCGGAATATTCTATAAGTAATACGTTACCACTGGGCTGCTGCCCGCCCGTCCGTCCCCCGAGCACTTGCTCTCGCAGGAGACAAGAGTGAAGGGTGTCACATGGCAGCTAGGTGGCTACGCACGTGCTGCATGAGGTAATTGAGATCTCTGTGGTAGATTTCGCTATAGCAGCAGTTGTGGGAGACAACAGCCTCGGTATAACAGTGGTAACGTATTACTTATAGAATATTCCGAATAGGAAAATTCTACAAAATTGATTTCTGACATCATTAACAATGGATGACATCATATCATCTTTTGATCAGCAATGAAGCACTGTGAAGTATGATGGCTCCAACTGACCAATCAACATTGAGAATCATTAAAAATGCACATGGTCAAATATCGGAAAGTTATTCCTGATGATTCTACCCTTATAGGTTATATCATTTGATATGATCTTGTGATCAATTCATTGCCCAAGTTTGGCTAAAGTTTATGAACAAATACATAGTGTAATTAGAATATTGAAGAGTTATTTCCCGATGACTGCATCAATGACCTTGTATTTCCAGTGCCCAAGCCACGTGGGAGCCATGGTGACTACCTGTTTACACCCCCTAAGGAGGAGACAGAGCCTTCAGTCGACACGACCCCAACACAACGAGGGAGACCGGTACGTTCACTCTTCATGCAGCACGGTGACCCAGTCACCTAAAACTTCGCTGTGAAGAGTTGTGTCCCTTGGACATACCAGAAACCTATGATTGTGGGTGCGAATCCCCCTGCGCCTGATTGTGTTTCTTGATTTGTTAGCACTGTACCTGTGCTTGTGGGTTTCACTAGGGTGGTTTATATATGAAACCATTATTATTTTGGGCTTTCCTCCCACATTCAATTGACATGCCATAATTTAACTCATCTTCCCGAGGCAAGGGCGTAAATTGACTATAAAAGTCCAGTTTCCACCCTTGCCAAACTAGGCTCGAATTTCCAGGCTTTTTCATAGCACCACCAGTGTTACGAGTTATGTCCCTCCTATTGACCAATAAGATTCCATCTCTTATATCACTTGCATTTGCTTCAAACAAAATGGCCGCACCCAGTCAAGGCGATCTGATCGATGATTAAGATCTATGTTGTTATAAAACAGGTCTTACCCTGCAACGTACATCCAATCAATTGAGCACCTTGATTAAAAACATGAAAAGATTTGCAAATTAGAGATAAACATACTGTGTTGTCAATGTAGAGCTAGGTTACCTGTAGATTTAACCGTGCTAAATTGATAAATGTTAAATTTAGCGCGGTTAAATCTACAGGTAACCTAGCTCTACATTGAAAACACAGTATGTTTATCTCCATTCTACCATGACTAAATAAAACGTGAACTCTTTGGTGTTAGCAAATATACTGAGTAAAGCGGCATGGGTTGAGTGGAGTGTTTTGACTGGGTTATCGATCTGAATTACGGAATCACCGAACAAAATATGGTGCGTATATACTCAAGCAGTTTGTTTACACCGTAATACTTCACTCTAACATATGACAGGCATTGGAAGCATATAAGCAGGGCAACTTGGTAAGCTTGAGGTGGGCATCCCTAAAGAAAACAAAGCAAGCTTTGCAAGGCTTTCGCTCTACATCATGCGTCACCATTATGACGTCATGTTGCTCATTGTGACGCAAAAGATATGACGTCACAGTCGTATATAGCGCTAAAATTCCAAGCTCTCTGTTGTTTCCAAAACATAAAAACATTCCCTTTGTTGATTTCTATTGTATTTTCTGCACGAAATGTATTGCCACACATCCTTTGAATATTGTAGTAACCGCATCTGTGCACTTTGTAACCTGTAATTGTAGATATAATTATTTAAATATGCCTACCGACAATGACTAAAAAAAGTACTATTCTTTGAATATTAGCTTCCGCGGTGATGAGGCCGTCAAACCAGCTGTTTCAATCAGAGGGGGTTTATTGTGATTTAATAGCCTCTGATTGACCAATCGGAATTGAGTAAATTCCAAATTCATGGTAGAATATCTATCAATGCCCACTTTGTGGTACATATCCTTTGCAAATCTTGCAGTTGACCAAAATCTGCACATTGAAATCCATGTTTATTAATGGATGTCTTGTTCATTAAGTGATTTTGATTGGACTATGCATAGACTCATTAGACCAGCCAAAATTTTAACTCTAGAATTCCAGCCTAGTTCAGCAAAGGTGGAAACTGGACTTTTATAGTTAGTTAACGCCTTTGCCTCGTGAAGATGCATATAACTGGAATACTTTTCAAAGTGGTGACCCGTAATAGGACGTCTTTGTTTAGAAGTAGAGAGAAATAAGACGCGATTTTAATGAGACTGAGGTACAAGGTTTGCTACTACAGTATTCGAATCCAGGAACCCCGAAACTTGTCTTTTGACATTAGGGTAATGACAAGGACCCCTTCTTTATCGCAAACACTGCAATGACATCCATACAATTCTTGGTAATATGGCGAATCATGCCACCGCTGTCATCGGTCTTGGACCCCCAAACTGATATTTCCCAAGGGAAATAGACAAATCCCTGCACTCCCCAAAATCTAACTCTTCACGCCTCTTGTTTCAGCGGCCGAGTCTCCTTTTCACCCCAGCCTGTCAGGACAGTGTAGCCGTTAGTGGAGATAACCTGATGGTGTTCACGCCCTGAATCTGTTTACCGTTTGTCTACGCAACCACACCTCACTGATCTGTTCACAGTACAGGAGGAGCCGATGGTGGCTCGGTCCACTGTGAAGTACAGAGATTTTAGAAGCCAGTATTTTAGATTGTGGAGAGCACTGGGTTTTAGTTGTCAAGAACACTGGAACATTATTGGTGATATTTTATACATAGTCAGGTAGGACGTAGTGTGTGTATCTCCGAGACAGCAGTTGTGTTTATATTTGGTGCCAAAATGGCTTGGTGAAGTCATAGCCTTAATTGGAGTTGGAAGTGCTGATAGATTAGGAATTATTGAAGATTATTATTAAGTATAGTTGACTTTCCATGAACTAAGAACGTTGTAAGATGTTTTGGATGTCTGTAACCTCTTTATCAGAGGTTGGCAAAGAATGTTTGGAGATTGTAATCTGATCTGGGCCCAGATCCACATTGTGATCTTAGCGCTAAGACAATCATAACTGCCACATGGACAACAGTCGTAGTGCTTATATCACTTTGTGGGACAGGACCCTTGGCCTAGTTCACAAAACAATCTTAGCGCTAAGACAATCTATAACACCCACATGGACAGTCGTAGTGCTAATGTCACTTTGTGGGATAGGACTATGGGCCCAATTCACAAAACGATCTTAGCGCTAAGACAGTCTATAACTCCCACATGGACGACAGTTGTAGTGCTAACAACGCTTTATGGGATAGCACTATGGGCCCAATTCACAAAACGATCTTAAAAGCTTCAACTGTTCTGGTCTGTGAAAGTATCCGAGTAAAGAATGTCATAGCGCTAAGATCTCTTTGTGCATAGGAACCCTTGCCACTGTAAGTATTAGTCTGTATATATAAAGTAATTGACCACTTGTGTATAGAACACTCACAGCTCGCTACTGGTAGAACAAATGAAAACAATGAAATGCGTACATGTATACGAATATGATATGTTGAATAACCACCAATCAGAGCGCAGGAGCGTTTTATAACTGGGCCTGTGTCAAGAGTTAAACTTCAGTATTGGACAGATGCAATCAGCTTGTATCCAAGGAATTAATATACTTAGTGACTTGGATTAATATTGGGCACTTTTGGTGTGGCTCAGAACGAAGTAAGAGGTTTACTGCAGCAGAAAGATGATTTTGACGTGGACGAATGCCTTAATTTCATACTTTGTAATGGATGGGATCGTCATGGTAATTTGTCATGTCATTTGTGTTTAGATTGTGTTAATATACACACTGTATTGATCTATCAACTTTTCCATTGTCAATGTTAGTTAGCCCAATGTAACAATACTAACATGCATATCATTCACTATTATTTCTGTTTCTCCTTTGTTTCTCTGACTGTCCTATCTTCTTTTCAAATCTCCTCACATACAGCTGTAAAAAGGCTTTCAAATGAACCTTAGAGAAAACAACATGCACTGTCAAGCCTGGATGAGTGTCAGAGTGTTATGATAGAACAATATTCCAGCCATATCGTGACAGGGGTCACCAGACTTGAGTTTTGATGACCGTGATACTAAAGGTCAGCACATAATGGTAGTCTGCTTGTCTGTGGGCTGGTGGCGTGTAGAAGAACGAATATCAAAGACGCCCAGATTTTACCTCCTGAATGACATTCCACTGAACCAATAATATAACATAAGGGTTAGTGCATGTCTAATGTTCACCAAGGCTTGTTAATGATTCTCACAACTTCCTTTGTTGATAGTAAAGGTTTTTGTGTTACTTTCTGAGGCTGCAAGACATTGTGGCCTTGTGTTGATTTTTAAGCCCGTCAGTCTCTTTTCTGCCTACTGCCTCTGAAGGGTGTAATATTGAGGAAAACAGTGGATTCAAGGGCTACAATAAGTCATCATCATCATCATCATCATCATCCACAATCCTCCAGTTAACCAGTTGTGTTATCCGAACTTATTTCTTTAATTCTGTGTATTTATTTGATAGCTACTGGTACTTGTTACTCATAAGATTCAGACCTAACATTAAATCCATTTGTTTTTTTATACGTACAGGACAGGTTGAATATTTAATGTGTACAGAGAATATCAAATAAATATGCTAAGTCTTGGAGGATCTCTTTGTTGTTTGTGTTGAGACCAGACACTCTGGAGGTCATGTCGCGTGCCACGCTGACCGCATCCATGGTCTAGTGGGGGAACGGGTCAGGGATTCGATCCCAGGCCGTGTCCTACCAAAAAAAGTTAAAGGATGGTACTTGTTGTTACCCTGTCTGGCGCTCAGCATTCAGGGGCTAAAACAAGGACTGGTCAGCTCGGAGTCAGTATACTGTGTCTGAGAGGGGTATTCATGTTATACTGTGGCATGGTATCTCAGCGTGCTAGCACCATAAAATCGGCATTAGTCCGGACTTGTACAAGCACGCACAAGAGCAATAATCTAATGCGACGTTAAACCCCATTTCACCTCATCTCATCTCTCATGCAGGGCTATGGTTCTGCTATTGTGTGAGGTGTGCCAAAATACCATGATTAGATGGGGTGAAATGGGGTTTAACGTCTCGTTCAAATTATTTCACTTCCATAAGGTGTGCGTTTGGGTCCTATTAATGCTGGTTTTATAGTTCTAGATAATCCACATATATACTGACTCTGAGCCGAGCACAGGGCAAGGTCACAAGTACAGAGATAGAAAGTAAGCTTGAAAGTCTACCAGTCCTTAAATATCTTTAACAGTAGTGAAAATGGCTGGGACTAGCAGGCTAGTGCTAATTTCCATCCCTGTTGTAACATCTTTTGACATCTCTTACCGTCCACTCTCTGCATAGACACCCTATACACTGGACCATGACGTCCTTACGTGATTATAATCTATGGCCATGAGTTTCACCAATGTAGGAAACAAGACTGAACTGTGATGCAAGCCTTCAACAATACGTAGTGCTAGTCTACATGGGTCTCAACAATAAGGAAATAAATTAAAGGCCTAAAAATTGAGGAAATGTTTCTCAAGCATTGACACTTCACCTTAAATCCTGCGCATCAGTCAAATACTGTTGCGTAGTTTAAGGGAGCTACGTACATTCGAGTTATCCGAGATTCAACACAACCATAAATGCTAAATAAAGAAGAAATACCAAGCTTTTGCTTCAAGACAACTGTAATCTCACACATCAAAGTTATGTATTGCCAATAAAAGAATGTTTCCAAATTTCCCGCATATAACATGTTTTCTTTTTATTCTTCCTGAAGCAATGGAGTTAACTGACGATAAAAGTACAGTTTTCCGCCTGGAATTTCCAGCCTCGATCGTAGCACCACCAGTGGCTATTACAAGTTATGTCCCTTCTATGTTCTATTAACCAATCACATTGCACCTCTCATATCAGTCTTGAATATGCTTCAAACAAAATGTCAGTGCCCATTTAAAACAATCTGATCGCTGAACAAGGTATTACCCTGCTATGGGCATCAAATCACTTGAGCACCTTGATTAAAAACATGAAAAAATTTTAAATCCATGTTTACAAACCGGATTTCCAAGTCAGGAATTCCAGCCTTGTTCAGCAAGGGTGGAAAGTGGATTTTTATAGTCAGTTAACACCCTTGCCTCAGGAAGATGCCTAATATTTATCCCTTGAATAAGTATTGTGAAATATGTAGGAGGGACAAGTATGTGCACCACTCAACATTACTTTCGCCAACAGTTTTTGTCTCCAGTCAGGGCGAAAGTGTTTGCAGCCAACAATCTCTCCTTTGTCTTCAAGCTCAAAAGCCTACATAATAAGTGAATGACCAAGTTGCTCGATTCAAAGTGAAGGGATTCTGTGTTACAACAGATCCCCGGGTTGTAAGAGGCGACCAAATAGGTTGGGTGGTCAGACTTTGTTGAACTTGAGAGTGTGTAGACTGAGAGCATGGATTGTCGGGTCAAGAGTCGTATAGCTGGACTAATGCTGAGTGTGGTGTATAACAAGAAACAAATAATCTGTTTCATAAAGAATAACAATATTGAACCAGTTTATTCAGACATCTCCCATAAATATATATGAATGTACAAGTATAATAATTCCACGACGCTCAGATGAAGCACTCCATTTACAAATTACCCAACATTGTCTGCTCTTTAATGGCCTCCAAATATGCCGGTCATACAGAAATAATGTGGGTTTGTATTATCTGCAAGTGTATAGTAATACAAATTAGCATCAACTTTTCAAATGCAGGGCTTCCAATATTATTTTTTTCGACAATTTTGGTGTGCAATATTCAAGTTTCCATTGTCGACTGGATAGATAAACACTGTGTATAGGAAAAACATAATAAGTGGATTCAATTGGATTGTCACAATGTACATAAAGATAAGAACACATTAGTCATCACAGAGCTAATTCAGATGAAAACTGACATTTGTTCTGGTTACCCATTCATAATAAAACAATGCTGGCAATACTGGCAGAAAATCACATGGAGAGACAGTGACATAGAAGAAATGCATAACATGAGATATTCTTGCATAAACAGTCGGTATACATTAACAATGTCAGCTGGTATGAGTATGTTACTTTTTTAACTTCAAACTTCAACAAACTTTCCAAATATAGAAGAGGGTTTGAACCACATTTGAATAAATTGTTCATCGACATTTTCCAGATTGAGTGAGAATGGCTTTACAGTGAAAATCAAACCAGTGATATCGGGAAGTCCGTTCTGAATCAGAATAACAAAGATGCCATGAACATACGGTGAAACCTTGTTAGTCTGGACCCTGTCAATCTGGAAAACCATGCTTATGGACATTTGGGAATGTAAGGGGGATGATGCAATAATACAAATGACTTTAATGTGAACGGTTCTATCCAGATGTACAGGTTTTCACTGTATGTGTTTACTAACTATTTGATGTCAAGGATAAAGTAGGATAGGAGCCCTTTTTGTACACAGGATCTGCATAATTCAAGAATTGAGCAAACCAGTTAGACATTATTATGAAAATCATCAGATATGTTCATATGAATGAGAACTTCATTAATTTACGGCATGTTTGATGCATTTGACAAAAATAATGATGAAATGTGACAACAAGACAGATTTGAGAGGTTTCTAAGAAATGTTATTTTTCTAGAAGTAACACAAACATGTATATAAAAACAATACAAACATATGGTAAAATAATTTGTCTTGAGTCACAGACTTACTTGAAGTTCTAAAAAAGGTTTGACATTTCTAGTTGGCCAATTAGGCCCCTTATCCTACCTCCTCTGCAAAGACCTTCCCAATCAACAAGATGGAAGCCACACTATCCAGCAGTAGAAACTAACATGTTTAGTCCACTAGTCCTTGCAGGGATAACATATAGCAAAACCCTTCAAAATGGAATTTTTCATAGTCATTTTGATACCTTAACTATTGGACAATTTGGCAAGGACTATGGGACTAGTGCCAATTTCTACCACATCTATCCAATTCATAACTCTATGTATTTCTGAGGTGTGAAAGTACAACAATCACTCATATTGACCTTTCCGTGGGAAGAAATCCCAGACCATTATCTCTCAGAAAGATGATGTACAAATAAATAAAACAGAAATAAATTGTTAAAAAAATAGCAACAATGAAAACATGAAAAACAAATGTTTGAAAATGAAACCAACTTACTCGCAAACTATGGCCAAATTTCATATGCCAACAAAATCTAAATTATGCAAAGGTGTTAAAAATTAGTTTACATGTTGGATCACTGTTGTACACTTTTGTTGTTTGCTTCAAATAAAAGAGATATTTGTAAATAAATCAAACGGTCAAATATAGGGACAGAATCTCCAGGTATTTCAAAAGGCCAAGATATGATAAGGGCTGTTTTTTGGCCCATGGGGTCTGCATTTTTTAAGAAATGATCAAGATTCCAGAATTTGTTGTGAAATTTAAGTGAATTAGACTTGTTTTCTTTCAACAGGTGCAGGTTTGGACTTTAAACAACACCAAATATAAAAAACAAGACTTTGGAGGTTTCAGTTAGGTAACATTTTTCTAATATTTGAACATGAAGTCTTAATCTGAGCTGATTTTCTTCAGGTATGTGTATGAAGATAAAATATGTTAAAAATATCCTCCTTGGTTAAGTTTTTCTTAATAGTAAGATTTTCTCTTTAAGTGTCAAGAATTGGTCTTTTTCAGTCATGTAGTTCAGTCATGTAGTTATGTAGAAGTCAAAAACTCGCAAGCATGAGAAAAATAGACTTGATAATTTCCGTCTATATATTTTTAAAGTCTTCTGTAACTTGGACATTTCCAGTAGGTCAAAAACAGCTCTTATCCTTTACAGACAATATATGTCTGGAAGACATATTTTAAACACAGAGCCACTTGTCCTTTAATAACAACGTATGTCTGGAAGACGGATATGTTAAACACAGAGTCACGAGGGAAATACTGAGCATATTATCACCAATAGAGACAATGCATCCATGTGAGCCAGCCACCAGCCATGTAGCATTAAAATAATACAATCTGTGTATGTACAATCAAACCAATACAATGTTACGCTCATGTTGAGGTCAAACCTCCACAGCAAACAGAACACATACCTCAGGCTTTCCTTGTCATTACTAAACTCTAGAAAATCAAATCAGTCACCATACCATCCAACTTTGGATAAGGTAACTTTTCAATTTCCATTCAATACATGTCATGCCCTTGAAACATAGATGATGTGGATTTGTCTTAAAAGCAGACTCGGGTCGTTGATATTGCACATTAATTCAAACTATCAAAATACCAAATTCAAATATGAACTGTCTTTGTTCTGTGACTCGCCAAATCACAAGTAACTCATAGACAAATGTGGAAGCAGATTTACACAGTGAATGGTAGGATTTTCTAAACAAATTGTGAGAAATATGTCAAGATATAATTTCAAAATTCTGGCTATAAAACTTTATCCAACCATGTCCTCATATTTGGACTATCAGACTTGAAAATTATCTTCCATATTTCAGACAGAATTGGGGAAAAGCTTGTTCAGAAATCCCAAGTGCTGCAAACACCAAAAGCAAAAAAAACTTAAGAATAACTGTTGCAAAACTGCGTTTTCGGACAGTAGGCACTCTTATTGCAACAGAAGAACCCATTTCGAATCTCCCACAGGGTATTCGGACAGTAGGCATTCTTATTGCAACAGAAAACCCATTTCGAATCTCCCACGGGGTTTTCGGACAGTAGGCATTCTTATTGCAACAGAAGAACCCATTTCGAATCTCCCACGGGGTTTTCGGACAGTAGGCATTCTTATTGCAACAGAGGAATCCATTTTGAATCTCCCACAGGACTGCGATGGAGTATGACGTGCATGTTCATACCCTAAGTGTATACTTCAACAGCCACATTGACTTTCCACATTGTTGTTATCAAGTGCACTAATCATTCACATCCATGGGTTCAATTGCTAGGTTTTCTTCAATTCGAAACAATGTCAAACACTCTTCCACAAGGCATTGCCTGTTTCTGTTACCAAGGTAACATTAATTCAATAAACTGGTTAAGGCACATTACACATAGTTAAAACATCATCATATTCTAGAATACACTTTCCCTCTCATCGCCTAGCAACCCAGCATCGGCTGATGATGAAACGTCCGTGTTACATCTGTACATGTTCTGTTGTACATGAGCAACTATTGTGATATGTTCATATGGCCGACAACCAACACTGATTTGAAATTATTACATATTTACAACCATTCCTAGATACACAACAACTAAAACACACAAAAAGCGACCCAGGGAGTATTTTAAATCATGAAGATAATGTGACGATATTAATTTGAAATATGGGTGTGTCCCTACCTCGTATTTATTTCACACAAACTTTAGTATAATGAAATTAATTAACCTCTCAAAACACAATGCAGGTACATTCTCACAAATACACACGGACAGACAATGGATTTCTTAAGATTCCTCTTTGTTATGCCGTTTGAAACTATTTCAGTCATAAAACGGCATGTCAGCATGAGTGAGTGAGTTGGGTTTAACGCCGTTTTTAACAGTATTCCAGTTATATCACGGCGTGTCAGCTTAATGTGGAAGGAAAGCCCGAAGTGATGCAGGTCTCAGACGTTAACGGGTATGGTGCTGACAAACCTAGAAACATAATCTGGGCGAACCGGGATTCGAACCCACAATCATAAGTTTCTGGCGTGCCCAAGGGACACACTCTGCACAGCGAATCGCGGCACCTTAGACGATTGGGCCACCAATGGCCCCCATGTCAGCATGATGTGTGAAGAAAGCTCAAAGTGATGCAGGCATTAAACATTTACTGCTTAGGTGAAGCCAATGATGTCGTATGGTGCTGACAAACCTAGAAACATTAAATTGAGTAACACTCTTTGTCTCAATACCAGTTTCCTATTGTTGAAGCAGTATCGAAGACAATCTTTTAGACAGAATAAAGCAATATTGACCAAGGTCGATAAAAACTATAAAGTCTATAGTATAATTGTTTGATATATTGACAACACTCTGTCGTATCACGAACCATGAAACAATACACTTGCCATTCCAGGCGACATATTCCAACAACAAGGGCAATGAATAGAAGAGGAACCAACACATAGGGTGTAGATTTGAGTTAATCAATGAAAAAGTGAACATATTGGCAGAAAATAATATTTTGCGATTTATTTTCATATTTACTAAAATATACCTAATCATTTATCAATACATGACCTCATGATACAACACTTGTACTGTGACACAGAGTATTGCAATACACGGAACATTTGTCAACAAGCATCAAAAACATTCTCACATATACCACTGGCAAGGAAACATTCCGACGAAACAATACTTGCAGGAAATTCACTTTCAAGGAGTCTTGGCACTACCACTATCGTTTTCTGAATTTCACAAGCAGCGTGTCAATGTTAATATCCTTGTCGGCCAGTTTATTTTTCAAAACACTAGAACTACTATATATCCCCATCTACCGGTATGTTCAGATCACACCTATTATGAATGCCACCCCCTGTAGAAACCTTCGGTGCCGGGTTTGCTTTCAAAAACTAGAAAAATATGTTAGATCTTCTAATACTACCCCTTTTCATAACCCCTCATTCTAGGTACCATAGACATGACCTACAGTACACAAAGGACATTACTGTCAGGACCTTAGACTTAATTCCAGACGATTGACATGATATAAAAAACATGCATATTTATGCAAGTATTCAAAATATTATTCATAAGCCATGTGTTCAACTGTCAAGCACAAGTTTGACAAGAGTGACAATATAAGATAGTGGTAGCACCAGTATTGCTGGTAAATAATCCTGTCATAAATTTCTTCGTTATTTTTCTTTATCATATTTCTGCTTCCTATGTCCCAAGAAGCAACAATGTGAACAACATACATCACCACCCTTGCACAAGACTGTAACACCCTAACTGGAATTATCCTTGAACTCTCTATCGGGATGGACGCTTCTCATCATCTTTTGATTCATGCGGCTTTTTTTCTATTGTCTTCTTAACTGTATTCTTCTTATATTTTTCTACTGCAGGTGCAAGCTTTTCTAGATAGTCAAAGTGATCGTACAATGTAGCAAGTAAACCTTTGTCATTCTTGTAGTCATTGAACGGGGAGTAGTCAATGATGTTGCCTTCTAACGTAGTCATCTTGCCATCCATAGCACTGATGATGGCATTCCCGGCACAAATGTCCCACTTCTTGATCAGCGTCACGTGAGTATACGCATTCACATTTCCCTTGATCACCTCCAGGACTTTGTAGCCTGAAAACAAATACATCAATACAGCTCATGTGTCGATACATCACATATTGGTATGGCTTAAATTTGGGCTACATATTTTCAGTAGGTGATATTTTAAGACTTGCCCCCCAAACCCAAAGTCCCAGGCAAAAGGCAGATTTCATAACCATTGTGTATTTTTCTGTGTGTTGATACTACCAGGAGATTTCCTGTTTTGGATGTGTTTTGGCCTATACAGAGTGTCAATTGTTGTCTACCTGCCCTCCAGTTGCTGTGATCCGTGGTAGTGACAGACCTACCTGTGTCTCAGGCCAAATGTAGGGCTGCAATGTGAACATTGGCTGTCACAGACCTACCTGCCCATGCTTTAGAGTTACAAACACTGGCTGTCACAGACCTGCCTGCCCGTGTTGTAGAGTTACAAACAGTGGCTGTCACAGACCTACCCGCCCATGTCATAGAGTTACAAACACTGGCAGTCACAGACCTACCTACCCAAGTTGTAGACCTACAAACACTGGCTGTCACAGACCTGCCTGCCCGTGTTGTAGAGTTACAAACAGTGGCTATCACAGACCTACCCGTCCATGTCATAGAGTTACAAACACTGGCAGTCACAGACCTACCTGCTCATGTCATAGAGCTACAAACACTTGCAGTCACAGACAGACCTACCCAAGTTGTAGACCTACAAACACTGGCTGTCACAGACCTGCCTGCCCATGTTGTAGACCTACAAACAGTGGCTGTCACAGACCTACCCGCCCATGTTGTAGAGCTACAAACACTCGCTGTGACAGACCTACCTGCCCATGTTGTAGAGCTACAAACAGTGGCTGTCACAGACCTACCTACAAAGTTGTAGACCTACAAACACTGGCTGTCACAGACCTACCTGCCCATGGTGTAGAGCTACAAACACTCGCTGTCACAGACCTGCCTGCCCGTTTTGTGGAACTACAAACACTGGCTGTCACAGACCTACCTGCCCATGGTGTAGAGCTACAAACACTCGCTGTCACAGACCTGCCTGCCCGTGTTGTGGAACTACAAACAGTGGCAGTCACAGACCTACCTGCCCATGGTGTAGAGTTACAAACACTGGCTGTCACAGACCTACCTGCCCATGGTGTAGAGCTACAAACACTCGCTGTCACAGACCTGCCTGCCCGTGTTGTGGAACTACAAACAGTGGCAGTCACAGACCTACCTGCCCATGGTGTAGAGCTACAAACACTCGCTGTCACAGACCTGCCTGCCCATGTTGTGGAACTACAAACAGTGGCAGTCACAGACCTACCTGCCCATGGTGTAGAGTTACAAACACTGGCTGTCACAGACCTACCTGCCCATGGTGTAGAGCTACAAACACTGGCTGTCACAGACCTGCCTGCCCGTGTTGTGGAACTACAAACAGTGGCAGTCACAGACCTACCTGCCCATGTCCTAGAGACATGAACAGTGGCAGTCACAGACCTACCTACCATTGTTCTAGAGACATGAACAGTGGCAGTCACAGACCTACCTGCCCGTGTTGTGGAACTACAAACAGTGGCAGTCACAGACCTACCTGCCCATGGTGTAGAGCTACAAACACTGGCTGTCACAGACCTGCCTGCCCGTGTTGTGGAACTACAAACAGTGGCAGTCACAGACCTACCTGCCCATGTCCTAGAGACATGAACAGTGGCAGTCACAGACCTACCTACCATTGTTCTAGAGACATGAACAGTGGCAGTCACAGACCTACCTGCCCGTGTCCTAGAGACATGAACAGTGGCAGTCACAGACCTACCTACCATTGTTCTAGAGACATGAACAGTGGCAGTCACAGACCTACCTGCCCATGTCCTAGAGACATGAACAGTGGCAGTCACAGACCTACCTGCCCATGTCCTAGAGACATGAACAGTGGCAGTCACAGACCTACCTGCCCATGTCCTAGAGACATGACAAGTGGCAGTCACAGACCTACCTGCCCATGTCCTAGAGACATGAACAGTGGCAGTCACAGACCTACCTGCCCATGTCCTAGAGACATGAACAGTGGCAGTCACAGACCTACCTGCCCATGTCCTAGAGACATGAACAGTGGCAGTCACAGACCTACCTGCCCATGTCCTAGAGACATGAACAGTGGCAGTCACAGACCTACCTGCCCATGTCCTAGAGACATGAACAGTGGCAGTCACAGACCTACCTGCCCATGTCCTAGAGACATGAACAGTGGCAGTCACAGACCTACCTGCCCATGTCCTAGAGACATGAACAGTGGCAGTCACAGACCTACCTGCCCATGTCCTAGAGACATGAACAGTGGCAGTCACAGACCTACCTGCCCATGTCCTAGAGACATGAACAGTGGCAGTCACAGACCTACCTGCCCATGTCCTAGAGACATGACAAGTGGCAGTCACAGACCTACCTGCCCATGTCCTAGAGACATGACAAGTGGCAGTCACAGACCTACCTGCCCATGTCCTAGAGACATGACAAGTGGCAGTCACAGACCTACCTGCCCATGTCCTAGAGACATGAACAGTGGCAGTCACAGACCTACCTGCCCATGTCCTAGAGACATGAACAGTGGCAGTCACAGACCTACCTGCCCATGTCCTAGAGACATGAACAGTGGCAGTCACAGACCTACCTGCCCATGTCCTAGAGACATGAACAGTGGCAGTCACAGACCTACCTGCCCATGTCCTAGAGACATGACAAGTGGCAGTCACAGACCTACCTGCCCATGTCCTAGAGACATGACAAGTGGCAGTCACAGACCTACCTGCCCATGTCCTAGAGACATGAACAGTGGCTTTCCTAGGAATGTGTGAGACATACCTGCTCCTCCTGCTCCGATGACTTCTGTGTCTTCACCAAACGCCTCCCTGGCCACATCCTCCACAGTTCCCTTGTGAGACCGAGATACAATGATCTTTTTCTTCTTTGTGTCATATTTGACATTTTCAGCTTTCTTCAAATTCGTAGAGTGACCATATCCAACCCAGGCCCACACTGCAAAACATGATTTCAAGTCATGGACAAATGCTTTGAAAATCTTGTCATGAGAGAAAACATAACTAAGATCATTTTTACAAGGTCTAGTTTGTTTGTTTGTCTTCAAAAGATTTTACATGTTGTAGGTGGTGTGAGGATATGCTTAACTATCAAGTGATCAATATTGGGAACAACAATCCTAGGTACGAGGACACACAATCAACCAAGTCACCAAGTCTGACCATCCGATCCACTTGGTCACCTCTTACGACCAGCATAAGTTGCTGGGGACCAATTCTAACCCAGATCTAAATGGGATGTATAACAGGAACAATTTTTGGACTTCTGTCATGAGCAAGTATATTAGAAGTAAGAGAATAGCCCTCAATGAGCAAGGCTATCACTCACTAATTTGTTTACATTTGTGTTTACAGTACGTACCTACATTTGTCTTTTGAGAGATTTTTTAACATATGATATGCCAGATCTAACTGAGTTTAAGTGCTTGCAAAAGCTGGTCCATAATTTCTACATTCAGGTAATATGTTGCCATGGTTACAGTTTGAAGAACTGGTTGTTTGGGTGTGGCCCAAACTGATTGTTGCAGGAGATATTACCTGTTTCATCTGAGAACGGTCGATGAATGACGCCAATCCGGGGTTCTCCGTTCACCACAACACACACCATTGTGGTCACATACTGATAGAGGGCCTCTGAAACATGACCATTGTATCAGGCAACAGAATGGAGTATGTCAAGGTCAAATCTATCATGGTTATATATTCATTTATATTTTCTGAAGGGTTTTTTTCATGAAATTTGTTATGTTGAAAGTTCTCAAGCTTCTGAGACTAGTTAGGTCAGGAAAGTCATATGGCAACTTTGTAGACCATTATTGTGAGATCAGTGAAAATAGAAATTAATTTCTGGCTGGGTGGGTGAAGAAATCACAAACATGAAGTAGCATTAACATTTGAGTGAGTGAGTGAGTGAGTGAGTGAGTGAGTGAGTGAGTGAGTGAGTGAGTGAGTGAGTGAGTGAGTGAGTGAGTGAGTGAGTGAGTGAGTGAGTGAGTGAGTGAGTGAGTGGCCACAGGAAGCAGTGATTATAGATAGAGATAGGACAGAGTCATCTACTGCCAACAATTGCAGGTACACACCTGTATATTCCTGTGTGGCATCCAACGGGTCAATCCAGATGGCAATGGAGTTCATGGGTATGGACTGGTCACTCAGCACGATGTCCATCACCTCTTCCAGTTCCTTGTTGACACTCGGGATGGTGTTCAGGTCCACCGGCTCCGTGTCATGCTCCTCCGACAGTACCTGAAGTCAGATGTCACACTCAACATGGGGATACTTCAAGATGTCACACTCAACATGGCGATACTTCAATGTCACTCTCAACATGGGGGATACTTCAAGATGTCACACTCAACATGGCGATACTTCAAGATTCTACTCTCAACTCGGGGGATACTTGAAGATGTGACATCAAACATGGGGATACTTCAAGATGTCACTCGCAACATGGGGATGCTTCAAGATGTCACTCACAACAAGGTGATACTTCTTTATTTTGTTCATGTTATTTTTAAAAAACATAATGAGGTTCAATAATGGAGTGTACACATGTACACAGCTGGTGTGTAGATAGACCATGTCATGTATACATAATTATCAACATTTGTAATATGATCTGTACTGAAACAGAATAAAGTGCAATGTGTATCGAATAATTTCAATATTGTTGAATTCAATAACTTGATGTGAATACTGTTACTGCTTTCAGCTTCTGCTATTTGTTGCTTGTTGCACCCATGTAAACTGCAGGACAAATTTCTACCTTCGCCAAATATCAAAACTCCCTCAATGTGAGTGAGCAAGAAGGTTTAACACCACTTTTAACTATATTCCTGCCAATCCACGATGTCAAGATTCTTCTGCCACATGTTAATATAAAGATAGGGCTCGGCACATTGGCACATCCTACAGCTACTGGAATCCAGGTTTTGTATCAGTTGGACACTATTTATTATATACTTCAGTGTGAAAGACTGAAGTTGACAAAAGTGATATTTTCATTGCAGTCAACATAACACTTGATTTTTCACAGCAGTGAACATAACACTTTGATAGAACTATTGTCATACAAGAGTTACCTCCCCAAAAATTGTCTCCTTTTATTGTAAGTGTCTGGCCCTTACACAAACTGTTGGCTTCCTTTTTATGTTAGTTCCACATTGACAAGGCAAAATAATGACAGATAGTCATTTATGGAGTTAACATCACTTCTTGCCGTTGTGTATTCTTTCGCTTCCAACACGGTCTCATAGATTTCAAGAATAATTTTGTTAAGTTTGATTTTGTATAAAATCATATCTAAATGTATGATAAAGAATTTTCTGTAAATAATCGAGTCTGGACCAGACAATCCAGTGATTGATATCACGAACATTGATCTATGCAATTGAGAAATGGTAATGAGCCTTACCACCAATTCCTGTTAGTCGCCTCTTGCGACAAGCATAGTCGCCTTTTACGGCAAGCATGGGTTGCTGAAGACCTATTCTACCTTTGATCTTTACGGGTGAACTTCAGGAAGATGCCTCCCGTGTAACCCTATGCAGATCTTGATGGAGAAGTACCGAATTGGGAGGAAAAAGCTGCTTTTGAGACTGAGATTGGCCATCAACAACTACAGATGCCAACTTGTTTATGTCAAAATGATCAATGACCTCTATCATAGTATGCAGTAGCCACTGTTCTGTGCTGAGAAAAACAGAATTAGAAATATGGTAACCAAGGCAACATCTGCTCACTAAATGTTTAAATTAGTCATGAAGAGGTAATTTGCTGTAATCATTATGGCGTGCAGTAATCATGATATTAATAAAAGAAAACATTTACACATCAGGATGGCTTGAATTCACACCTGTACATTAAGCTTATGAATATACAAATATATATGACGCATATAAACATGACTAATATACTCATGATAAATTCATTAAATGTTATGACAAAGAATGAACACAATTTTAAACCTTGGTTTAGACCTGTGGATTAATTGGTGAGTGAGTGAGTGAGTGAGTGAGTGAGTGAGTGAGTGAGTGTGAGTGAGTGAGTGAGTGAGTGAGTGAGTGAGTGAGTGAGTGAGGTTTTACACCATGTTTAGCAATATTCCAGCAATATCACGTCAGGGGGCAGCAAAATTGGGCTTCACACATAGTACCCATGTGGGGAATCGAACCCGGGTCTTCACCGTGACTAGTGAACGCCCTAACCACTAGGTTACCCAACTGCCACATATAAAAAGTTATAAAAAGTTTTGTTTAATACTTAATAGGTGCTAATGTTCTTTGGAAGTTGACCATGGTTGAAATAGGCTAGACCTATCAGATCTGGAATCTAAACCTTTCCTCCATCAGAGCTCTAGATAAGCTTTTGGTTATTTGGCTATTTTACTCATGGGTTTCCGTACATTTGGGTATCTTAAATTGAAAACTTGATTCATAACAATCCCTGTAAATCATCTAAAACCAAATGAATAGTAGTATACACATGTAGTACCGAATGTAACTGTTGGTAAATGAACTTGTGATCGGCTGATATGCAATCTTTTTTTCTAAGGTTTTAATATACGGTACGCATAACAACATCAGAGTGAATCATGGTGCATTAGGTGATTTATTTTATAGTTTACAAAAATTTTGTTTGATGGTTCTTACAAGTCAAAATCAAAATCAAATTGAATTTCCTCGATTGCACTTACAACCCACATGAATGTAGCCATTTCCCAACCTACATGACCATGAAAATGGATATGTCATATCAAAGGACTGTAACTCATATCGGTCTACATTGTTCAATCTTTGCGGTAAATGCTTAACGAGGCATTTTGTGTTGTGCAATGAATCCCTTTTTCATGTTTTTCAACACAAACTAATGTGAGTGATATTTCATGTTTACTTATGCTAAAAATATTAATTCCATACTATTAAAGTCGGTGGAATTGACAAATATTAAAAACATATCAGAAAAGTCATATTAATTGTTTGATATTATTTTCATTTTTTTTTTTTATGTCAGCAGCTCCATAAACCAAAAACAATAAAAATGAATCATCTCAGTGGACTAGGATGACGTCAGGCTAATATGAACTTCAAACTTTGGGACACATAGGTGAATAATCAGTTAATCTACATCTAACTGCGGGATTACAAAGAGATGATTCACAGCCCTAGAATATACATAATAAGACTCAGCATCCGATTCATTATAGGAATAGTATATTATTAATCAATAAAACCTGCAACAACCAGCTGTCACGTGAGCTGTGACAAACCAGTTGTGTCAATGGTGGAACTCTTGTCAAGTGTTGATTTACTCATGAAATCAATAACCTGTTTCTCTCAAGTTTTAAGCAACATGTGATAGACTACTGTGATGATGCAATATGACCATATCCCGATGTCACGATACGCATCGTGATACTTAATTCACAGCAATTTTGCTTGAATTTTTATATTTCTATGGGCATAAAAAGGCTTGAAACGTCCTGAATATATTTGAAAATATAAATGTCTCATTTCCATAAATTAAATTCAAATTTCAGATAAAACAGGTGTGTTAACATCAGTTAGAAAAAGACTAGAACACGATTTAAGTCTTAAAACTACCTAGTTTGTACGATGTAGACATAGCATATAGTGATAATGATAACCATAATAACATTGTTTATTTAAATGAGGTAGGACCCATTTGCCAACAAAGTCATTCCATGTGTGACATGACACAGGATTTAAATATAAAACCATAGAGGATCAGAATATGAATCCATACAGGTTCCGATATCTACTCTACTGTGTAAACACTGCCTCCTACCTGTATATATACCTGTCAAGCATACTCTGTACATCACTTGCTTGATAACGGTGTTAGAAATGTCGCTCCTAATTGTAATAAAGAAGTTGTTCATCCATAAATCTTATCCTTACTTAGTAATAACAGGATTAAAGCCAATTTTATTTATCTTCCAGTTTTCATGGTTATCAGTGAGGTCAATCACTGTTGCAAAAATCAAGAAACATTTATTTCAATTTGGGAATTGTGACTGACACTTGACAAAGGGCCAGTCGCTGACAGGCATCAATGAGGATATCTGATAGCACACAAATAGTTACATTAGCTGAGGTGAAATTGGTGTGTGTGCGTGCGTGTGTGCCTGCGTGCGTGGGTGCACTGGTCTGGACTGATGCCGATTTATAGTGCTAGCTCACTGAGATACCATGCCACAGTTTAACATGAATACCCAACTCAGACACAGTATACTGACTCTGAGACGACCAGTCCTTGTTTTAGCCCCTTAATGCTGAGCACCAGACAGGGTAACAACAAGTACAATCTTTTAACGTCTTTAGGTATGACGTGGCCAGGGATTGTACCCCGGACCTTCCGCACTCCGGCGGACCCTCTACCACCAGACCACAGAGGCGGTCAATATTTAGTCTTCCTTTGTATTAACAATGCATTTTTTCATGATATGTTTCCAGGGACTTTGTGTCCTGGTTACTTTCAGTAATAAATCCTCGGGGTCTGAGGCATGATAATGGGGATCCTGGCTGACAACTGTACCCACAGCAAACAAAATACAAATACTATGTGATGACTCATGTTTATATTAGAAAATAATTCCCGATGGTATGTGTACCAAGATCTTGATACAATACCTGAATGTGTAGTGAATTGGGATTAACACCGCTTTGAACAGTATTTAAGTTGATGTGGGAGGAATGCCCAAAACGATATACGTCCCAGTAGGTCTATCCGCTTTGGCAAAGCACAGTTATGGTGCTGACAAACCAAAAAACATAATCAGGACGAATCTAGAATTCAAGCAATGATCATAGGATCCTCGAATGCCTAAGGGACACAACTCTGCACAGCAGTACTATAGACTTGGTGACCAGTGTCCCCCCAAAAGTAACTAAACTAAAACTAATGCATGAACAATGGCTAATAAACAACTTGCATCAATTATGTAGGAAGGGAAAGAAAGACACTATGAATATACACTGGTGTGATCAGTCTTTTTTCAATCACTGCATATAATTCGTTTCAGGTCTTAATCTCATATACACTTGAGTGTAAATTTCTTTTAATAAATAAATTACAACCAAATATTTTCAAATCAGAAGTTATGTTTCCTGATATTTCTGTGCATTAAAGGGCAAGTATAATGAAAGAATTGATTGTGATTTTCAAGATAACAAAATTCATACCATTCGTAGAAAATAGTTATATGTCCAAGTAAAAGTCTGAAATCACTTGCTCGATAATCGTCTTCCAAAAACAAACACATACACCCTGATCATTACCAGTATCATATTGCCTGTCATCACGAAAAAAAGGTCACTCCATCCCACTGTCCATCTTCTATTTTCTTGACACAGAGTCGCTTTTTTATCTTTTGAAAAATAAGTCTCTTCCCAGAAACTCTGCATTTGAAACCATGTTTGTATAAGTGATGTGAACTTGTAACTCTTATTGAATTTGGCAGTAAAAATATATATCAGCTAGAGTGTTCCTTCTGTCCTTTCAAGTAAATGATAGCATTATCACTGCCTATCAGTCACGAGACACTGTCTTCCACTTTTCTATAGTTTGCCTGTTGTTTTTTTTAGAACCTAGACCAACATCTGGTCTCTGAAATGAACATATTTTACAGAAACAAACAGGTGCTAAATAATAGGTATAAAATATAAGCCCAGAGTCTTTCTTCATTTTTCAGCCTGATACTGCAGTAATCTAGACTTGCCAAATATTATATACTTGCATGGGCTGCATTGGATATATTTGTTTCAGGGTCTGTATGACAGACTATATAGAACCATACAATCAAAATTGTTTATGATACAACTCATTGTGTTATGAGCTGCCTCTAATATACCTATGCCACTCGATTTGTTCGATTTAGTGTTCAATTTAGGGGGGTCCTGGGTATTGGAGGTTTGAAACTAGGGACCCCAAAATCTTCAACTATTAACAGTAGAGTAATTACAATGGCCCCTTGACTTTCAAACTTAATTTCAAACACTGCTATCATGCTATGTTTGTTTGCTCATTTTACAACAGGAAATTGTACTTTCACATACACGCTGTCTGAGGTATGATCACGACAACCATATGACTTAACTTACGACTATTCATTTCATGTTGTGTGATATAAGAACAGAAGAACGCTATTCCACATGCTTTTGACAACCACAATTCAAGCAGACGACACATAACAATAACATGTCAATACAATGTCAAGTGATATTAATCAATATCAACGGACATAAAATAATTTTGTCACGTTTGCTAAGTTTAACATGTAAAACTCATTACATGCAGATTCGTTATGGTCCAACATTATCATTGGAATGTTGTTCAACACATTTTTACATGGCTTTACCATTGGCAAAATATATCAGATGACACATCATGTTGCTCATACACCGTGAACGATCAGACCGAGTTGAATGAACAAAGTAGCTTGCGATTACTTACTCTTAATCCTGGGAAGGCTTTCTCAAACCCATAGAATATAGCTTTATGCGACTGCAAGTCACCCTGGGTAAGCATCTCCTTTGCCCCTTCTTTAGTTTTCCCCTTGACTTGGGCTTCCAAACCATTTTTCGCCTCAACGATAGACTTGACTCGTGATCCCCCACGCCGAGCTAGCTCAACGCTGACTGACAAAATTTCCTTCATGCTAATTCTTTGTTCTTGTCTAAATAGTCCTGGAAGACCAAATATGTAGAAAAATATACTTATGATAACTGCCACGCCGACAGCTAATCCTACAGGATTTAACCGTACGTTCACCGGCGCCATGATTGCCATGTTGTAAAGTGACGTGGATTAGTTGCGTAATATATTTTACATATATGTCTGAACTCCAATTTGAATATCTCGTCTATTTCATAAAAAGCTGTAAGTTGTCTTTTAAATATATCTAGAAATTAGATGATGCTAAATAATCCAACTGTTGGACCAAATCCAAATGATACGAAACTATATAACAACAAACGTCAGACATGGCTTCAATGGAGGTACCACTTCCCGTATTTTTGCATTCATCATGCCCATATGATTATGATTTTAAAGACTGTGTGAGATTTTTTTACCGAGGCGCCGACTTCTTTATATGTTTATTACCCATTCTGGACTATTGACATGTTCGGTATTCTTGAATACATTGAAAAACAAAATAATGTTGTCAAGACGTGAGCATGAATGATGAGCCAATGTTTTGTTTTGGAAGGATTTTGTACGACATTTAGAATTAAAAAATAGACAGTGAACAGATACAGTCATGCATAACAACATTCGTCTCTTCCCGACTCGATCATTCTGTTATCACTTTTCCAAATGCCAGCACAAAACATGGTACAACCAGGAATCATGTTAATGTCGAAATATAAAATGGCCAATTTAGTTCCGTCTGTTGCATCCCGAATACTATTCAAGGACTTACTTCTATTATATCTTGGGTTAAAACAGTGATAGAAATTATGATTGAAGTTATTCCACTTCAATACTTTTACCATCAGATTCTACTCCACCTCATAGTTAAAAGTAACAGATTTCGTCTTTTTTAACCTTTATATTTTTATAGCGGATAGGATCAGTCTGAATTCATTTACCATCAAAGCGTATCCCCCTGGGTATAAAACAATATATCGATAATGAGGCCCAGTTATTATAAAATCTTTGTTTAGAGCATGATTCTGTGTTTATTTTGTGATGTTTTTTGAAACATTTCATTTATTACAGTTCGTCAGTATGCCATAAAACCAAATCAATTGTGACCCTAAAAGCTTTATTATGTTGGATACAAAGGGCGGGGACCATAAAAGTACATGTATGTCAATCTGCGTCGTGTTTTCTTATCCATGGTAAGTCTTGCAATGACATGTCCATAACTGTTCTGAACAATAATAGGTAAGAATTGTGCAAATATTACACCCTCACCCAGAAAAATCAACTGACCCTAAGCTAAGGATAGTTACGGTTTCCCAATTTAGGGCTTAGTTAGTAAGGTGGGAATCAAGAAAGTACAAAAATCCATGGATGACATTGCAGAAATCTGATGACAATTGACATTGCAGTAATATGATTCCTTCGTAAGATCAGATAGGTGCAGCAATATTATGTCATAGTAAGATCAGATAAGATAGCACTTTATTACCCCGAGGGAGATTTGGGTTACATAAGCACAAGGTCTCTTATTACTGATAAACACACATGCAAATAAACTTGAACATTACAAACATAATTAATATTAAATGTGGCAGTAGCAAGGAAACATGGTAAATGTTCAACTATTAGTTATCACACAACCAGCTGGTATTAATGAATTCGGGGACGTGTTTGTTCACAACATTTGCAATCATAGTCGGTGGCCAGAATGAAGAATTTGATACTTTGAAAGTAAACTATGCAAGTTATCGCTCAATATTGTATTTGCTTTATAATGACGTTTATATGTAGAGATTTTATCACGATACTTCTCAAATCTTGCTTGTTCCGATAATCTGGCTGGCTAGTCAACTAGTGAACTTCAGGAAGGGCTAGTGACATTTCCTTGTGGACGACCACTCGGTGTCAGATAATTTTTTGCAAACTAGCCAAAATATGAATTATGTCAAACCAATGGAAAGATATGGCGAGCTCACCAGGTATGCCATATTTTGCAAGCAAGACTATTTAGATTGTTCAATTCCTGCCATATTGGGACTGCAAGAAAAGTATATTTAGATGTTATTACTGTTTACAAATTGAAAAGGTTGAAGAATGATTTTGGATGGTAAAGAAAAAATCCCTGTAGTCTTTCGATATCAAATATATCAACTCAAGTCTGCCGAGGTGTTTTAAACTTTTATCGACTTGTGTTGATATATTTGATATGAAAAGACTCAAAGGCAAGATTCGCTATGTCTGTATCCACTGACTAAAGTTCACTGATTAAGGGCTCTAAATCTTACTGCCCACTGACTTCTCCATCAGGCCCCGATTATACAGTTGTACTGACATGCCCTGGTTCGACAGTTGTACTGACAGGCCCTGATTATACAGTTGTACTCCCAGGCCCTGGTTCTACAGTTGTACTGACAGGCCCTGGTTCTACAGTTGTACTCCCAGGCCCTGGTTCTACAGTTGTACTGACAGCCCCTGATTCTACAGTTGTACTGACAGGCCCTGGTTCTACAGTTGTACTCCCAGGCCTTGGTGCTACAGTTGTACTGACAGGCCCTGGTTCTACAGTTGTAACGACAGACCCTGATTCTACAGTTGTACTCCCAGGCCCTGGTGCTACAGTTGTACTGACAGGCCCTGGTGCTACAGTTGTACTGACAGGCCCTGGTGCTACAGTTGTACTGACAGGCCCTGGTGCTACAGTTGTACTGACAGGCCCTGGTTCTACAGTTGTAACGACAGACCTTGATTCTACAGTTGTACTCCCAGGCCCTGGTTCTACAGTTGTACTGACAGCCCCCGGTTTTATAGTTGTACTGACAGCCCCTGGTTCTACAGTTGTACTGACAGGCCCTGGCTCTACAGTTGTACTCCCAGGCCCCTGTTCTACAGTTGTACTGACAGCCCCTGGTTCTACAGTTGTACTGACAGCCCCTGATTCTACAGTTGTACTCCCAGGCCCTGGTTCTACAGTTGTAACGACAGACCCTGATACTACAGTTGTACTGACAGCCCCTGATACTACAGTTGTACTGACAGGCCCTGGTACTACAGTTGTACTGGCAGGCCCTGGTACTACAGTTGTACTGACAGGCCCTGGTACTACAGTTGTACTGACAGGCCCTGGTACTACAGTTGTACTCCCAGACCCTGGTTCTACAGTTGTACTGACAGGCCCTGGTTCTACAGTTGTACTGACAGGCCCTGGTACTACAGTTGTACTGACAGCCCCTGATACTACAGTTGTACTGACAGGCCCTGGTACTACAGTTGTACTGACAGCCCCTGGTACTACAGTTGTACTGACAGGCCCTGGTACTACAGTTGTACTGGCAGGCCCTGGTACTACAGTTGTACTGACAGACCCTGGTACTACAGTTGTACTGACAGGCCCTGGTTCTACAGTTGTACTGACAGGCCCTGGCTCTACAGTTGTACTGATAGCCCCCGGTTTTATAGTTGTACTGACAGCCCCCGGTTCTACAGTTGTACTGACAGGCCCTCATTCTACAGTTGTACTGACAGGCCCTGGCTCTACAGTTGTACTCCCAGGCCCTGGTTCTACAGTTGCACTAACAGGCCCTGGTTCTACAGTTGTACTCCCAGGCCCTGGTACTACAGTTGTACTGACAGGCCCTGGTACTACAGTTGTACTGACAGGCCATGGTACTACAGTTGTACTGGCAGGCCCTGGTACTACAGTTGTACTGACAGACCCTGGTTCTACAGTTGTACTGACAGGCCCTGGTTCTACAGTTGTACTCCCAGGCCCCAGATCTACAGTTGTACTGCCAGCCCCTGATTCTACAGTTGTACTGACAGGCCCTGGTGCTACAGTTGTACTTTTTGGTGTTGTAGAAGCGACTACAGAAGGAGCTGCAAGCGCTCCTCAAGGACCCGCCAGTTGGGGTGAATGTGGACACAGAAAGCATCCAGAAGAATCTATCAGAGTAAGTACAACTCTTTACTTTCCTAGTTCTGTGTGATTCTTCATGCTGTGAATCACATGTTATATTCACTGTGTTTTGAGGGACAACGTAAACTTTAGGCACATACTTCCCCTGGGCATGCCAGAGTCAAGTGGTCATAGGTTTGAAAAACAGATTTGCCCTGATTATGATTCTTGGTTTGTCAGCGCCATACCCAGGCTTGTAGGTTTCATCAAAGTGGTTACAGTATGTGACCTGCATCACTTCAGGCTTTTCTCCTGTGTTTTGATGAGACGCTGTGATATAGCTGAAATACTTGATAGAGGTTTTAAACAAGACTCACTTACTCATGTGAGTGTTGCCTAGATCCATGTTGGTGATGTGCATGTTGGTGACGTCCATGCTGTTGACATCTATGTTGGTGACGTCCATGTTGCTGTCATGGCTGTAGCCAACGTCCATGTTACTGACATCTGTGTTGGTGACGTGCCGTCGCTGACATGGGTTTGCCGACATGGATGTAGCCGACGTTGACGTCGATGCTGCTTGTGTCAGTGTTGGTGATGTCCATGTTGGTGACGTTTACCACGTCGATGTCAATGCTGCTGGAGTCCATGTTGCTGACGTAGATGTTGCTGATGTCCATGTTGACTGCACACAGGTGGATTGTCTACATCAATGGTGCTCCTGAATCTCTGTATGAAGGTGAGAACTTCCAGCTTCATTTCAAGTTCGGCTCTAGGTACCCCTTCGACTCTCCCCAGGTGAGTTATCATGGTTATCTTCAGAGCAATCTCAATAAAATCAGATCTTAGTTCTCGCTATTACCATACAAAGATCTGAGGACATCCCATTAAGGGTCACGTCAGAACGACCTTTCATCCAACCAATCAGAGCATCGCTTACCAGATCATGAAAGTGACAGTCGGAATGTGTTTTCTAATCATGCGACCACGAAATATTTAACGCAGGGTATTCCGAACAACAGTTACGGGTTTTATGATTATATCCATACAATCTAGGCCATCTATAAGTCATTCCAGAATGTCCTGCTTATCAGTTTTAAAATGTTTAATCGAGAACACGTCAAAATATGTTTCGAAGCGTAGTTGCCAGTTTGAAACTAGTGTTGTAAAGCTTGAGAAAGCTGCCTTCTGATTGGCTAAAGTCAATTTCTTGTCAGTCATTTCATTGGTCGGTCAAAATTCGCGAAAGGTCGTTCTGACGTGACCCAAAGTGGGATATCCTCAGATATTTGTTTAGCGGTAGCGAAAACTAAGATCTGATTTTAATGAGATTGTCTTCAGAGAATTTTATGATCATGTATTAAACATTTGGCCTCTAAAGGATGCAATTTCTCTCTTTTAAATGTAGAATTGAAAACCTTCATAAGGTACTATTAACCTTGTTAGCGGTACTCTTTTTACATGAACGTACACCTTTACACCCAACTGATTACTCCAAAGCTTCAATTTGGGTTGGCATCTCTGGTTAAACCAATTTCACTCACTCACACTTTGTTTTGTCGGTACAGCGGGTAAAGGTTTACCTGGAATCTTTTTTGGCAGGTGACATTCATCGGGTCCAACATCCCTGTTCATCCTCATGTATATAGTAACGGCCATATATGTCTGTCTATACTGACGGAGGACTGGTCCCCGGCCCTGTCCGTGCAGGCTGTGTGTCTCAGTGTCGTCAGTATGTTGTCCAGCTGTAAAGAAAAGGTAAGTCGCCACATTCTCATGTGCCTGTAGGGACTCTCGTTCCCAGCAACCTGTGCTGGTTGTAGGTGCCATCGCACCCTGACATAGTGGATCGTTCTCACATTATCAAGAACTGGATGGTCTGGTCCGGACTTGATTATGTACAGACTGCTACGTATAGCTGCAATATTGCAGAGTGTGGGGTTAAGGTATCATAACTGTCGAGCAGTCTGGGAAGACCCGTGGATATCCGGGTTACTGTCGAGCGGTCTGGGATTGTCTGGTCCAGACTTAATTATGCAGAGACCGCCGTCATACAGCTGGAACATTGCTGAGTGCAGCGTTAAACAAACAACCAAACCAACAAAAGGTATCATAAGGACTAGAAGACATTTGCCATTTTTAAGAGTTTTGCTAGTTGTTATCATTATAAGGTTGACTAAAAATGTTTGTTTCTATCTCTGCTTTTCTCAGCAACAAATTCCCAAGGGGACAACTGAACAATGAAGCCACTGAAACATAATAAGGGGATGCTTTGAAATATTTGATATTTTCTGTTTACATCCATAAGAACATTTTGGACTGTTTCAATACATGTTCCAGCGTTAGAAATTGGCACTAGTCCTGTAGTCCTTACCAAACTGCCCAATAGTAAAGGTATCCTAAGGACTGGTAGAAATTGGCCCATTTTAAGTGTTTTCCTATATGTTATCATTATAAGGACTAGTGGCCAAAAACTGATAGTTTCTAACCCTGTGTTCCCATGAGATTTGGCCCGCTCTCTTTAGGTTTTGGGTGCATAAAAAGACATTTTGTGTAACAGCTTTCATTTACATGAGGGATGGATAGTGATGCAGATGGTTTGAGCACAATAATGTCTCAGGTTGAGGCCCTAATTCATGTCACTGTTGCTTGTAATGTGATGGACATTAACTGGTGTGACTAAAGGATGTGACTGTTTGCTTCTTTCAGAAGAGGCCTCCTGATAATGCAATATATGTGAAGACATGCAGTAAAAACCCAAAGAAAACTAGATGGTGGTATCATGGTAAGACAAGATTATCATTTTTATCCCCCCGACATATAATGACGGGGGGATATTGCCGTCTGTCCGTCCGTCCGTCCGTCCGTCCGTCCGTCTGTCTGTCTGTCTGTCTGTCCGTCCGTCCGTCCGTCTGTAATCATTGTTTGTCCGGAGCATATTTCCTAAACCGTACAACCTAGCTTCACAAAACTTGGTACACTTAACAATCAGGCACAGTAGAAGTGCCTTTTAGCCCCTGAAATATAATTCTAAGGTGTACTATTTACCTATATCATATACTATATATATGATGTGAGCTACATAACCTAGTACATTCTCTTTATGCCTTTGTGTCATGAGGCTACTACAGAGCTATTCATATGCGAATCTGCGAGGTTATTGTTATTACAATTTCATGAGATCATCAGAAAGTGAGCTACATGAACCAATATTTAATAACCTTCATTACATTTCTGGTTTTGGCATCAAGGAAAAAGATTTCCTTGCCAATCTAAATACATTTGAAGGTACACACAGTTTACCGACATGCCACATCGGGGGGATATGTCATGTTCGGATGACTCTTGTTTGAAATGGCATTTGGGTAATGTAGTGGTTAAAGCGTTCGGACGTCACGCCGAAGACCCGGTTTGATTCCCGACATGGCTACAAGGTGTGAAGCCCATTTCTGCTGTAATATAACTGAAAAATGGACCATCCACCTTCAATACTTTTCTGACAGCCTCCATGATTTAGTGGATAGTGTCTTCCGGGGAGTGGATAGTTGGTGGTTCAATCCCTGGGTGTGTTATACCAAAACACTTTAAAAGAAGTACTTGTTGTTGCCCTTCCTGGCGCTGGGCATTTAGGGGCTAAAACAAGGACTGGTCGGATCAGAGTCAATATACTGTCCCTGGATGGGGGTATTCATGCTAAACTACACACATGCACGTTGCTATATGAATGGTGTAATCTTGTAGACAATGTTAAACCCATTTTCAATTTCAAGTCAAACATGTCCAAACGTCTCTCCATCTCCCTATGATCACTTAGCACAGACTCTTATGGGTGTATCGGTTAGTTGAGCTGTCTTATGTCATTTAAACTAAATTAAGGTCGCCCATGGGTCAGGATTTTCTTCGTTTCATAACAGAATGGACATGTTATGCACTGGATAATAAGCATTATCTAGGACATATCCTGGTCTTCTCTGTTAATTACATGTTTGTAAAATTTAAAAGAAGACCCTTTTTTGGATGAACTAAATCTTTCTGTTTTAAATGACAATAGGTAGCATGATATACAATTAAGACTTTGAATGAGGTCAATACATATTTTTATGGACCCGAAAAAAGCAATATTTGCCCGTGGACTAAGTCTGAGGTGTATATTGCCTTTTTTGGGTCCATAAGAACAGGTACCTCTTTTAAAGCCTATAATTGTTTTGTTGTACTGTATAATTAAATAGAGACATCTGATTGGCTTAATTTGGGGAATCACTTCCAGGTAATTACCATTCATTTTTTGTAATTCAAGTCATTTCAGTAAACTATCAGACCTGACTGTGTGTCAATTTGCATTTCTGTCAAGTAGCATGTGACTGCTTATCAGACATTATATGGAGTACTAGATCTATTAGCCAGTGAAACTGGACCAAACAGAATTGTTTTAGATTTGGGCTTTGGACTTGTGGCTTAAGTCACAGATTGATTATATGATAAGAAATAGATATATTCATTCTGTTGCAATGCTCTGTGACGTTGCTTGTGTTTCTGTTTCAGATGACTCTGTATGACACAACATTGTGGCAGTGTCACTTGTTTAGTGGTACTACACCTGGGCCTGGCAAGTAATCCGTGAGCTACACCACCTCCGCCTGGCTCGCTAGACATATCAGCAAGCTGGGGTCTCCCGCTATCACAGCAACACTTGCTTCAGTCTCACACACTTTATTTATCGCCTCATATGTGAACACATTCTCCCTGTCTGCAGAGGAGAGACACAGGTTCTGAAGAACAAATAACATATTTTTCTGTTGTTGTTTTTTTCTTTTCTAGTTGTAACACAAGCATTTGACAACACATCACTGATTTGTAATTACCAGCTATTTCAAGATTAAGGAAGCTGTACTTATTACTGTTCGATGTCTATCTCAAGTGCATATATTTTTATAGTCTTGCCATTTTGTAGAGCAAGCTCCTTCCCAGCGCGTGACACCTTCGTTACACTCTCGGTAACATCGCTGCCACCAGTGTGGGCGTGGCCATTACAAGAATCTTGAAATTTGCCCTCCAACCCCATATGTAGTAACGTTTATACTTCTTTTCATGTCTTTGGGAATGCCATCATATTTCAATTTGAAAAGGTTTACGACTGACCATGTTTTCCAGATGAATTTACTTTGTTGTTTTGATAATCAGATTGGTTCGAGATTGCAGACTAACGGAAAATCAACCAACTTCTCCCTTACATTCTTACTATATCAATAAAACGATAGTTTTAATGAAACAAAAATTCAAATTGACAAACGAAGAAAGTAATTTAGCAGCGATAAGTGTATTCGGCGTCACGACAGTCGTCACTTGTTTGTAAACATAACGGTCATTCGGTTGCGAGTTCAACTCCAAGCATAGTTGTGGCCACCTATTCACAGTGGGGAGTTTTGACTGGTGGCAGCGATAGTATAGAGAGCTCCAGGAATGTACTATCGCTGTGAGGAGCTTGTTTGTAGAGTAGTGAAGGGAGATAACTCTGTAATCTATCAAGGGAGATAATGTTGTTGGCACAGCTGGAGAAAGAAGCCTTGTGTTTCATTTTTGTTTATTTGCACCAAAAGAAGGTTGATATATGTTTGTGAGTTTGGAACTATGTATACCATCATGATTTGTGAACAAATGTTTTTTAAATATGTATTCTGTGAAGCTTTTTGATCAGCAGCTGCCCATTGTTAAAGTGTTTGGGTTTTTAGTGTGTGTCTGATCATGCTGGATAGACTCTCTGTTCCCAGATAAATTCAGCAGCAAATATTCAGGCATAGACACCTTGATGTCATTAATTAATATCTTCATTTTTTCCTCACCTATATATTTCATTATTATTGATAGACTGAGACAAGGATGCAAATATTAGATTGTGTGACATTTATCAAATGGATGCAAAAAACCGATTGAATATTTCATATATTTGACTCATCAGTTAAATATCATTTATGAGCTGAAAAAACAATGTTGGGGTTATCAGTAAATTGTTTTCAAAAGTTTCAATGAGATAATTTGTACTTTTCACATGGCATTTATATTGTTTGGCTTTGCATTACCTATGTAAAATTCTGTTATGGGTTTATGTCCATTCCCATTTATAAAATTAGATCTATTACGATACTTTTCTGTGTGAATTTCTGATAATACTTCCATAGGATGTCACGTCAGGTGAACTTTCAAGTTGGACAATCAGTGTTATGGCTTTTAAATTCTTCGTACGAATGAGCGATTCGTGTAGACGAGCCTATCTCACAATCAAATTGGTTAGTTTTGAATGCAAAATGATAAAGCAGCACAGTTGTGGATATTTTTAACATCCTGTTATTTTTTTAGCAACATGGCTTCTACACCGCAAGAGTGTACTGTCAAGGGTATATTTATGTTGTTTGTGGATTTTGGGTGGTGGGGTAGCCAGGTGGGTAAAGCGTTTGCTCCTCATGCAGAAGACCTGGGTTTGCTTCCCCTCATGGGTACAAATGTGTGAAGCCCATGTCTGGTGTCCCCCACCGTGATATTGCTGGAATATTGCTAAGAGCAGTTTAAGGACAATACTCACTCACTTTGTGGATTTTCTTTTAGATTGAAATTTCTGAATTGAGGTGGTCAAGAAATGAAGCCAAATTGTTTTTGAAAGCCGGAGTCTGATTTGTTGAAGAACCCACACATCTTTCATTCCTATTGGGTGGTCAAGTTCAGTCAGGGTTCATCTTCTATGGAGATGTCAGATCTTCACAGAGAGAGGAATCATATCAAAGTAAAACATCAGAGTTGGGTGGGTTGCATCCATTTACCCATCTATCCTGGTGTCTCTACACTTAAACCCCCTTGGTCTGGCAATACCATGTTCAAACAATCTGTTGTTTATGTCCAGAAAAGTAAGAGCTGTTACCCCAGACACACGGAACAAATGTTATTTTTCAAATGTTTAGATAGGAGATAAGAGAAGATTTTTCCCAACCATTATACATTGATGTGACAGTATTTGACTAATTTGCTTTCTCTTGGGAGATGTTTGTCATCAACTGTTTTTTTTAAAATTTTGGCGCAACAAATATTTGCAGGCCATTTCAATTCAGGTTTAGCATGTTTAGTAACTGAATATAAAGATATGCTCTTGATGAGCAAAATCACTACCAAAATGGAAAGAAAAAAACGGCTATGATGTTATTGTGGTTCTGATGAACAAGTGCTTGGTGTTTTGCAACTGTGGTCAGGCTTGCTGACTTGGATGATGCATGTCATCGTGTCCCAATTGTGTGGATGGATGCTGATGATGGCAATCACTGGATTGTCTGGTTCAGACTCGATTATTAATAGACCGCTGTCATATAGCTGGAATATTGCTGAGTGCGGCATTAAACAACAAACAAACAAACAAACAAAACATTGTTGCTACTCCAGCCTGATTATCAGGTGAATATCATCATGAAATCATCTTCAGCAAGTAAAGGCTAGGAGGAGTTTTATAGTCAACTTTCCAAATCAAGATGGCTTGATTACGTTTGGTATATTATTGGGTAGCCTTGTATTTAGTGGAAAACCTGGACTGGCGTGTGTGGCATTAATAAACTCAGTATTTTGTGTATACAACAATTTTTTGAGTTCATTTTGAAAATAGAAATGTGAATATTCAAAGAGAAATGTAAGGAGTACATCCTATCAAAAGTGGACACTATGGTTTAACACAAAACAGCTTCCTTGCTTCAAATCCCCTTATAAAAGTGAGCTGTCATTCCTGTAGTCAAACATTCAAACATTAAGCAAACATTCAGCTGACAATTAGAATACAATTAGGCAACTGAAATACTCAGGTTAGTTTGGCTATACTCATTGCAACCATATTTGTGCCAGATGTCGTCATAATATTGTAATAACATGCTCTGCTACCTCCAAACTCGTCTAGTTTAGGTTATTTAGTGAGTCAATGTTGAATACAATTTTGAGTACAGTTTTGAATACAATGTTGAATACAATGTTGAATACAATTTTGAATACAATGTTGAATGCTATGTTGAATGATGCCGTATACTGAATCAAACTTACATTAATTTTCCTGATGTAAAACTGAAGTTGCTCAATGCTTCTTTAGGCCTTTTAATTTTTATTTGTTGGTTTACAATACTTTTGGCCTAAAGTTTAAAATAGGTGGTCAAAACAAATAAAATACAAAGTTTGTATTTCCAGATTAGTACTGCTTCTAATGGATGAAAAACATACTAGTTTTAACATGTCAATATACTGAATATACCAAAAGATAATTGATTGTTTTGGATTTTTTTATGAATGATTTTTATACATTTACCATTTCTTACGAGCAACAGTAAAAATCAGGTGTGTTTTTCATTTCACTTAATTGTAAAACTGTCTTCCAAGAAAAAAACATTGTCTAAAGTCAAGGTTTTCTTCATCTTATTTTATCATTTTTGGTCAGTTGGCCTCGTAAACCAACTTAAAAAATCTTATGAGGCCTAAGGTTTACTGACGTGCAGATGCTGTATGTCCTGTTTCTATGGCGACAAGATAAAGATGAGTAGTTAACAAAATCCGAAATTTTGTACAAAGTTGTCTGCCAAGGGCACTTAGTTAAGAATCCTATATCAATTCCTGTAATATACTAGGTGGTGATAGGTGCATTTATTAATGTCTGCATAGGAATATTACACAACTGCCCTCTCACACGAAGCAAAATACATAGTTTTTAAAGTGATCTTGGGGTGAGTAAACATTTCTTGTTTTCAGGGGGCATGGGTGGCCCAGTCGTCTAAGGCCTTGTCATTCTCTGGCATACCAGAAACCTACAATCATAGGTTTGAATCCCAAATTTGCTCTGATTATTTTTCTTGGTGTGCCAGCACCATAACCTTTTCATGGGTTTCACCTAAGTGGTAAACGTCTGTGGCCTGCATCACTTTGGGCTTTCCCCCCACATCAAGCTGACACGCCATGATAGATGCTGCCAACTTCCTTTTGGTAAGCATGATTCGGGACTCACACGTGTGGCACATGGGTACATATAATCAGAAATATGTCGGCTTACTTCTGAGGCCGACACAGAAAGACTCTTGTTTAATTGTATGCCACGATCATGTATACTTCATAATTCAGGGCTTGTGAGGCTAAAACGATTAGCTTACGACTTGATCAAATTTGGTGCTTTTTGTCATCTTACTTTGGGAAAGAGCTGTCCTTGAAGGCCAGAGTTTGTCTTGAATGAATTGCTGGGTTTTTGTTTATGAGCAATGGCTGAGAATGGTTTTTATTAGCCTTATATGGTTAACACTGCTAATCCTGAATTATGGCTACATTAGCAGTGAAGTAACATTCCTTCTGCTTTTTGTGTGGCCCAGCAACACGATGTAATTAATACTACTAATAATCATATAATTTTTTGTAATGTATGACAGTCCCATTGAAATCAGATCGTTTCTTGGATGAAAAAAATCTGATTTTATTGGGATTTGAATTTTGGCAAATTGGCATTTATGTTTTTGAAACCATATGACTTGGTTATCCTTTTCAGATATTTGTTTGCATAACCTACTGTGTATGTATATGTGTAAATACATGTATGAAGTTCAACCTTAATACAAGGTGAATGTGTATAGTGGAAATCATGCTTACTTGTCTGTGTGCAAGGGTTCTTATGTTCTGATTCCAGTTCTTTAGTAGTGGATATTTTTGTATAAACGGGATCAAAATAGATCATCTTTGGAACTACAACAGCATCAGCAACTTCTGAATAATATCTACGGCATCATCTACTACAGCA